GGGGTTTGTGTCGGATGGTTGCCACGTTGCTGACGCGACGTGACCTGTGCATCTGGTACTAAAAAAAAGGGGGAGGGCAGTACCATACTTACATTTTGGCAGCATGGTGCCTGGAAAGAAGGACCTTCATGTCGTGAAGGTGTTCCAGAGACCAGCTAAGAGTAGATTAGTGAAGGAACGATAATATTGATATAACAAACCTACCATTTTTCCGAATTCAACAGAAACAGGTGATGAATCCTGTTTCCGGGGTCATCCCTTGGTCTCTTTGCCGCCGAACTGCATCCTCACCCAACAATGCCCTCAGGCTTTGCTTATACCCAGTTCAAAGAGGCCGTCCGAGTATTCGACGCGGGCTGTATGTCACCGGCTTGATTTTCGCGCTCCCTTTTGGGCAGCCGCATTTACGTTCCGGAAGAGGAGGTATTGTTGGAGGGTGCGTATTGGGTGCATATAGAGCAGTCGATGAGCTGGCGAATGAAACAGCCACCTCGGGAGGTTCGAGATGGACTGTTTGAGGTGTATGTGAAGCGGCCGATGGGGTGGTGGCTGATAGAGGGCTTGGATAAGCCGTGGAAGGTGTGTGGGAAGCGAAAGGTGAGCCAGAGGGTATGGCGTTCGCTGCTGAAAGTGTGCGATGGTCGGCAGGGGAGGTTGGAATGGTCAGTGGAACCAGAGATGGGGGATTTCCCCGAGAATCTATCATTCGATTGAAAGAATGTGAGTATGTTGAGTAGGTCAAACAGATAGCTTACGCACCTGAGGGGTTTCCAAAGTTATTCTCCATGGCCGGTGTGAATTCTTGTCCAAACCGTGATCTGTTCAGATGTCGGTTGCATAAGCAACGGCGCGACAAAGAAATTTGTGGGACTTACATGCCTTCTGAGTTTCCGGGTGATCCCAAACAAATTGGGGGATGTTTCCCCAGCTCTTCGACGTGTACCGATTGAGAATCTGAGTCTGTCGTGGTTGAGAGAGACGATAGCGACGATGGTCCAAGCAATGCGTTATCCTCTCAGCAGCGATCATGTGATGATTACATAATTTAATTTTCAAGCTCAGTATCCGTATCCGCTATTCTCCACAGGCATTGTCATCCAGCCATATTCTCTCCCAGTCGATTCAACGCCCTCCCATAGAGTTTGATAACTCAGAGCACGTGCTTTTTCTCCTAATTGGCTCGTGTACAAACGACCACATTTGGTCCAACTCCAATGCCATATCATCGCGCTCGATTGGAGCATGGAGCACTCGATATACCCTACTACAAATGGGGTGCTACTCGTATTACCCCTCGAAAATGCCAGGGAACTATCAGTGAAGAAAAACGCCGTGTCTAAACGATGTTTTGAACCATGTCCCGCAAAGAGCACGGTTTTGCATCTAGCTGTCAAGTCAAACTCACGACCACTGTAACGGTAAGTAAAGCCATTCAGCGCTTCTTCATCTTGGACTCCAAATACCCTTCGATGTCCACGAATCCCATTTCCATCTGACTTTATAGATCAGGGCGATATCTGAAGCACGAAAGCCATCTCCTGTATCAAACAAACAAACCTCAGCGAGGACACCCATGTTCAAACAGACTATGATCTACACCCCAATCCAAATCCGTATTTGTATTCAAGAGGCTTCTCCCGCTGTTATGTCAAAGGTGGCCCTTGCGGAGTCGATTCCCACCTCTCTCTTTTGGATGGACGAATGGTGTTAAAGTCCGACTAGTAGGCGCAATGTATCTCTGCTTTCACAAAACCACAATTTGAAATTGGTTTTGAGCGCTCACTACTGTTGCAAGACGGTGGGTGGCCCGAGCATCCGTTGGAGCTAGTTATCAGAGTTTTTGGCGTTGGATATCATGGCATTTCGAGACGTGTGGGTATTCCATGGTATCTGTGTGCGAGGCGCAAATTCCTGTTGGCGTTCTCTGCCCAAATTTACTTCCCGGAACTCAGTTCGGTGGGCACGTTTGGTTGGCTCTAAACTCTTTGTTGATCAGTATTTAGGCACTTCACGGTTGGGAGTCCATTCATAAAGTCGTCCCCCCCAAATTCAAGCAAATAGGGGTATTCGACTTGGCTGTTATCGGTATTACCGACCCAAGCCCAAGTGTTGATGGCTTTTTGGAGGCGGTAAGAGGCGGTAAGTATGTTTTCAACGAGAGACCGGCTTCCTTTCGTGAAATCATATCGAGGGTTCAGGAAAGATCCGAAGTGCGGGCAGCAGCGGACGCACCACTGCCGGTCATCTGGTCATTTCAGAGATCTAATCGAAGTGACAGAATGTCTATTGACGACCGAGCTTACCCTGATTTTTGTGGTGTACCCTGGTTAGTGGTGATTGACAGCGAGTCAGCAGGTTTGGAGTTACATAAAGGGTCATTAGGCTGCTACCAGCTCTGCTACCGTGTTGAAAGTAGGATGGCGAGGAGGTTGCTTGAACTGAACTGTGTTCCCTTGTTCTATAACAGTGAGACAGTTAGCGTTCTTGACCGCCGTTGGTTGACCGCCGACTTGAATGAGACTGATATTGAATGGCGGTGGAGAGCTTGTTAGAATTGGAGAGCCATGTGACGCGAGGCCCAGCTGACCATAAACCAATTGTAAACGAATGCTCTCAGGAACGATTTTTACGAGCGACGACTTGTCCTCTTTCCTTCTTCCGACATAGACTCTCTCTCTTTCCCCTCTTTCTATCCATAGATATCTTGTAGTATCCTCAAAACAACCCCAAGGTCCCTTATTAGATCCGACCACAACTCAAGCACCATAAATTTTTGTCAGACTTTTAGGAACAATTCAGTCTTCTTGGGTCCGCCATTGTCCTCCTCCTCCTTGTTCTTTCCTCCCACTGAAACAACGAGCAAGGTAGAACTCGTAGAACCCACCACCACCAATCACCGCATCTGTACAGTCACCGGAAATATCCCATCATGGCATCCGTTCACCCCATTCGTACACTCGGACCATCGCCCATCGCCATGGCCCACAGCACTTCCATCAACCAGCCAAATTCGTCCGTAGACCTGGACGATGACGATCGGAAAAGCAGGTTCCAAACCAGCCCCGGGGGTACCGAGAACGGCAACGGTAGTGGGGGCGGCGGTACTGCGTCACTCCGGGAACGGGCAGCAAGCCAACCTCCACGCTCGTCCGACCAGGCCTTCCTTTCCTCTCCGTCCTCCCAGCACTTCATTCCGTCCAGCCTCGGAGGCAGCGGAAGCCCCTGGACCGCCTCGCGCATGTTGAGTCCCACCCGTGGCCAGCCTGTCCCCATCCGGAGCTCGTCTTTCTCTTCCAACCCACAACAGGGCCAGTTCTCTTCCGCCATGCGTGAGCGCGTGTTTCCTTCGACATTTGAGGACGATGAGTCGGAGGGGTTCTCTGATACGTATGATGAACGATACGTGCCACCTTCCCTGTCTAGGGGTCGCTCGTATGGACAGGATCTGAGTCGCAGTCGGTCCCAGAGTTTGGCTGTCGCGCATACTCGTCCAGGGCCCGTTGGGAGTCCGTATACAGGCTCATCAGCGATGCAGAACTGGAATGAGCCGTACTTGACGTCCAACACCACTCCACTGAATATTCCAGGGGGACGAGGATACGGGGACATAAAACCGCCAGGAAGCAGCCGCTATGGTTCCCTAGGAACAATTGGCAGGTCTCCCACCAACCTCCACTCTGCTTCCCCTAATAATGGTACCTTTGTTGGTAACGGGTACTCTAGGCAGCCTGCCCCGCCCGACATCTCCAACATGAGCCCCTTCGTTAGAGATGTAGGGCAGATCCTTCTGGATGACGGATCTGCATTCCGAGAGCTCTGGGCTGGGATGCACCCACCACGCGATGAGAATGGTGGTGGAGGCAGTGGAACCACCAGTCGACGCCACAGCGTCAGCGTCGTTCAGCCTAGACGCGGAAATGTTGTGGGGTTCAGCGCGCCTGGCAGCGACTCTCCCGAAGAACCTACTCGTCTCCCGTTCCAGTCCTCAGGGTTTGGCCGTGGGGGGCTTTTGCTCACTGATGATGACCTTGCGAGTGACCTTGGGTTGCTGAACATCAACCCTAACGAACCTCCTCCCCCTTCTTCCTCGTCCTCGCAGCTCCCTCCCAGCCAGCCAGCTTCGCTGCCGATCTACGCCCCCCTTTCTCGCAGCCCACCCTCGAAGGATCTGATGTCGCAATACCAGTCCATCAACCTCACCATCCCAAGCAACCCATACACTTCGCGCCAGACGCCCAGCGATGGTGGGGTGTCCGCGGGTGGGAGCAGCTCTCCACACGGGTTCTATGACCAACAGGAGTACAAGTCGAATCGACAGCAGCCAGAGCTTACAGCACGGTATGTCCCAGGACAAGGGATCCAGTATACGTCTCCCCAGCAGCAGCAACAACAACAACAACGGCACCAACACGGTATCAACGGTCCTCAATACACACGTGCCCGCGCCCCATCCTACTCCGGCTCCAGCGGCGGCGGACTCACCTCCCCCATCTCACCCACAGGCCACCGCGTGATCAACCCCCAACAACAGCCCTACTTCCCACAACAAATGCAGAGAAGGCTCTCAGACGCGCAACAACAACCACCCTCCTCCGCCTCCAGCACCTCTGCGAACTTTGCAGATCTAGGAAAAGGCGTGCCGTTGCACTCCGTACCCTCCTCCTGGCCTTTATTCATCGTAGAATTCAAAGCAGGCCGAACGGATTTATTTTACCTCACCGATTTATCGCAGGAGATCCATGTGGGTGATTTGGTTATCGTCGAAGCGGATAGGGGGAAGGATTTGGGAAAGGTTGTGAATGATAGTATTACGCTTGCGGAGGTGGAATCGTTTCAGCAGCAGCAGATGGAGAGGGAACGGGCGGCGGCTGGGTTTGGTGGTGATGGTGGGCAACAGGGACACGTGGTGGGGGGTACGCCTACTAGCCCTGGTGGTGCTGCTGGTGGGGGAGGGACGACGACGGGGAAGAAGGAGATTAGTCCGAAGAGGATATATGGGAAGGCTGGGCCGCAGGATACGCAGTATGTTTCCTTTTTGGCTTTGTGGTTTTTGATTGAGGTGTTTTGTAGGCTTTTGTTGGCTAAAACGCAGGACGAACTCAAGGCGCTGCAGCTTTGCCAGAGCAAAGTTAGGGCGAAGAAGTTGCCGATGGAAGTCATTGATGCAGAGTATCAGTGGTACGCGTTTAAACCCACTCTTTTTCATTTTTTCGTCTTTGTAACGCTTTTCAATGGCAGGGACCGTCGTAAATTGACTTTCTACTTCATCGCGGAGAAGAGGATTGATTTCAGAGAGCTTGTTAGAGAGCTGTTCCGGTGCGTTTGTTGGCTTTGTGTCGTGATGTTGGCTAACACGTTGTGTATGTGCAGGCTCTACAAAACCCGGATATGGATGGCATCTCTCCCCGGGTTTGAGTAGGATGTATCCCATCATCACCATCATGAAAGACTGAAGACCCAAGACACTTACAAGAACAAGAAAGAGCTTACACGGAAACGGAGATAACCCCACCAAAAGACTCAGAGAAGCAGACGACTCCACACAAGAATTTCATACATTACAAGCGGCTGCTTAAGACGACGCAAACGCACAAGAGACCCTCGGACGTTTACAACAAAATTGTAATAGTTAATGCCAATGCGGAACTAAACGCTCGCGACTTTCGACAAATCCCAATCCCCCTAGATATGCAACACCCTCTTCATCCACATTCTTCTTTTCTCGGCCTTTCATTTATGTCCTCCCTTAATGCTTCCCTTCCCCCTCCCCTTCTCAGCCCAATGCCTATGCGCCACCCACCCAACCAAACAACGACGGCAGGTCCAACGAACATTTCACCCCCACCTGATTCCGATTTTCGGCCCTCTTCTTGGAATCACGTACGATTACGAATGGACAATTTCGCGGGTTCTGTCTGCCTCGTCTAAAGTATCACTTTTTTTTTGCTTTTCGCTTTCTCACAAATGTTGTTTTTTTCTCCCTTCTTTCTTCCTTCCCTTTTTATGTTCGCCTTCGTGTGGAGAATACGACGGACTGCCACATTCTTTTCTTGATTTTTTGGGTACGATGGGGAGTGGGTTTCATGCATTGCTAAAACAAAAAAGAGAGATTATTACATGTATCATTACTGTATGCTGGTTGTTCAATTATTTAATATTACATTTGCCTACGTAGGCCCGTGATGGGTGATTGGGTGGTTTTGGATGGGGAACTTGAAGGGAATGGGTATAATATGATATGGAGGCGTCTTGATGAGAATAGATAGGAAGAATACAGGCGTTGGTGGTATCGATACATTGGGATCGGGGATCCATAGGGCGCTAGTGGATGCTCGGAGATGTCATGATGCGGCTGTCGTAGTGCCGACTTTCCGTTCCGCGGTTACTTTGGACAAGGGTGTCAGCACGCCTATTTTGTAAACATAGTAAGGACGACGACGTACCCCATGTTCTACGGTCCATAGGACACTGCTGCTTCGACGCAGCTGTTCCTATCCATTTCAGCAAACAATGCATGTGGAAGACGTGTGTGCATTCGCCCCAGACTAAGATGAGTTACATTCAATTAATGTACGGGGTAGAACGAATAGAGACGCACTGAGCGGACAATCGTCCCCTGGGACTTTACACGACGGACAGCACCCTTCATAAGGGACCCGACAGATACCACAGACGTCGCCTTCGTTGTCGTTGTCGGCGTCTTCTTGCTCCGCGGTGCCGATGTCCCACCGCCACTGCGCGACGGCGTGCCAGTGCTTGACTACTACTTTCATGTTTGTCGGCGTTGGATGTGGGTGATGGTAAAGAAAAGATATGTCGTCGCCGTCGAGCAAGGAGTGGGTACGAAGACTCGACGTTGAGCACCAAGGTGTTAGAGTTGGAGTTGAACCAAAACTGACGTTCAACAATGCTGACAATTGTTTGGCTTTGTGTACGCGTCCTTACGCGTTCCCTTCACTACAGTCTCCTGATCAAAAAATATCTGGTGATCTAATTTCTTCCGGATGGACGAAGGTCGGTTATGCTTATTCATTTTCATAATATGATTATCCCGTAACGACCTCGCCGCACAGACCTAGAGCTACCAGCTGAACTTGAAGAACGGTTGAATATCCTCACTCACGTCGTTGAACTCCTCGGAATCGACGATGTTTCTTTCGCAAGGTGGGATTCAAAGTCAGGCCTGTATGTGTATCACCGACAAATATAGCTACTCGATGGCGCTCTACCGCCTTATCGACGAGTCGTTCTCTCTCTCGAGGACATTGAACCGGCTGAGGTTTGCCGAGGAAGAACTCAAAATCCATCTCGCGTCAACGAAGCACGAACTACAGTTAATATCTCAGTTGTGTTTTCGAATTGTCTCTGCAGGTCGTTTTCTCATCGTGTTCTTTTTAGCTGGAATGAGACAATCAAGTCTGGACAATCGTCAGAAGAGAATACTGCAAGCATCGAACGAAGGAGAGAAGTTCTCCTCAAGAAGGCGAAAGAGTACCATAAAGAACTTGAAGCGGCTATGGTAAACGTCTTACCTGTGCGATTTCAAGCTCTTAGCTGAGAGCAAAGCTCTTCTTTAGGCGGAAATGCCAGAGCCACGAGTAACTGTGACTCAGTTGATCAAACAACAGGAAAAGAACAAACTTCTGGAACAAGAGATTGAAATCAAACGAGCAAAAGTCGCTGCTTTTCAAGGGTTACCACCTGTAAGTCGAGAAGCAACAGGTGGTTGCGCTAACTAATGTTTCGATAAGAACCTCGAACTTGCACGACACGAATTGCGAAATGCTCGCAACGAACAGATGGAATTGATCCAACTCAGGGAGCGTCTGTTAGGCAGGATGGCCGCGGGTGTCGCATGAACTTGAATTTCTGAATGATTACTTATCTCACGATTTCTTGTCGGGGTCAGGAACCGCACCATCAAAAACTACCACTTTTGATGGCTGCCCCTCCGCGGTTCTTGGGCAGCTCTACGATGCCTATTCAGATAACGACCATTGTCAACCATCTTCCCCGAACTGCCGGTTTATCCTACAGCAGCACAAGCGACCGCCATGTCTTGATTTGGTGGTCGAACACCTCTACCTCACATCCCACCAGCCTTGCAGCCCAAATCATTCAACTGACTTGTCATGCAGGGAACTACTACGCCCCAGTCGCCCTCAGCACCACCGTCACACTCACACACACAGAATTCCTCGGGTTGTTCGCTCGAGCACGGGGTTTGCCAGATCGTCGGTGGTACCCGGCTGTAGGGCTTAAACACGGAATTTGTGGTCGGACTTCGCAAGAAGCGTTGGACGATTCGGTTCGCGAAGTGCACCTTGTGAACCGTTGGCCTGAGAATTATCTCCCGACTCCTCCGCATTATCGTAACTGATCTGCTGAATTTTGTAACGAAAACAAAGATGCCACGCAGTACTTCCTCTGTATGTAATGACGAGACTCGGACGCTCCATTTCACAACGTCCTCCATAGAGTCCGGATTATTATTCTGAGAATAGAGTCAAGAACGTCCAGGGGGTTGAAGTTAGGTCGTATGTCACGTCGTAATTCCCGCTTGATACCGCCAAGGAGCCCCATAACCCCGTGCCCTAGCGGCAATTTCCTCGTCGTAAGGAATGCATGGTATTATTCAGTGGACTTATTGGAGGCCAGCGTAATGGAGAATTGACTGGAGAATCAACTGGATGTTGATCGGACCCATTGAACGGTTTGAACAAATCAATCATGAGAACAATCATCATGTGGATTAGAGAAGTCGCTGCTAGAAGAATATGGGTGTAGTACCAGGTCTGTGATGTGATGGCTTTGAGATGGTTTCTTGTGACCCCACATGCTCGCCGGTAGAAGTCTCAATAAAATCTCCATCATGATCCTGGAGAAAGACTGGAAGATATATCAGAATATTTGAAGATGTCTTGTAGCTCGTCGTATCATTCCTAATCATGAAGGGAAGAAGAACCGACCGCTGAGAGAGATTATGCTCAGTGCCAGCGCCACTACCTGAAGATACTTTCCCCGAAAAGGAGTGAGGTTATGAAACGACTCCTTCGCAAGTGGCCACAGGAAAATAACAGGCTCAAAGAACGCAAGCTACCGGTAACCCGGTGAAGAACGCCGTCGCCAAGTGGTCACCGGCCAGGATTGGGCTGGCTTCCATAGATTTAGATGTCTGTCGTCCTATATTGACTGTCAGCAAGTCAACGTAAATATGATATCGGCTTCGGCCAACACTAACTTGGGAGATTTCTTGACACTCGGAAGAGATAGAGAGCGCTCAGCTGCACTACGAGAGGGACACCGTCGGCCTTCAGCATATCGAAGGCAGACAACTTGAACTTTGTGAACTTTGAGTAACCTGGCAAAATTACCCCGGCCCAAATCCCGTTCGAAGGCTCGGCTCCAATGGAGCTCCGTTAATTAGCCTGGACAAGGTTACCCGGCGTTTCAATACTAAATACATGTCCCGGATATGCCAGAGAGCGAATGAAGGTCGGATGAGTTTTGCTCAGAGAGTTGTTTGTTCTTATTTATTATTGGTGTCCTTGGATCAAGTCCCGTTCATTACCAGCTTCATTGAACGACGACACGAACGGGCATAGCCAAGGAAGACCCACGCTGAAATAATTCAAAATGGACTCAGGATCGAACTTTTCCGCAAAACTTGAGCCTTTCCTCCTAATGGCTAAATCGCTAAAGGGCGCCGCGGCCGCAAAACTGATTCAAGACGCCACCTCCGCACCAGGTGTCTTCGTTTTCTCCGAGTTGCTGGAACTGCCGAACATCCAGGAGGTGCACGACAAGGCTTTTGGGGTTGAACTTTGATTGACATGCTGCTTAAGTTAAGCAAGAACGAACAACACCAGAAATTCCTATCACTCCTACAGCTGTTCGCGTACAAGACATATCAGGATTATCTTCGTGCGTCAGGAGACATATGTTCATTCAATCTCTGACTGGCTATCTTAGGATATAAGGATGCGCTGCCGCCTCTGAACGCGGCACAAACCATCAAATTGAAGCACTTGACCATTGTCTCTCTAGCAGCGGAACGGCGGGTGAGTCATATCTAGAACGATCAGAAAACTCGGTCATTTACCATTGGTTTAGCTGCTCCCGTATTCTGATCTGCTCAAAGCCTTGGACATGCCAAATGTTCGTGAGCTAGAAGATCTCATCATCGATGCTATCTATCTCGACATCCTGCGCGGGAAACTTGATCAGAAAGAGGAGCAGCTGGAAGTGGAATACACGATGGGAAGAGACCTTGAGCCGGGGAAGTTGGAACAGGTGCTATTCGCCTTGCAAAGCTGGTGCGTTACTCGACTCTCTTCATGTCGTTGAGGGGCTCATACATTCTAGGGCGGAGACAACGTCCGCTGTTCTCGCAACCCTTGACGGGAAGATCAACTCTATTGCAGATGACGCCGCAGCGAAGAAGATCAACCAACGGGAGCACGAGAAGATACTGCAGGCGAATCTGAAGGACGTTTATGACAAGCAGAAGGACAAGAGTCTAGGAGCCATGGGTAGATCTCGTGTGTATGGCGCTTCCGGATTTTCTGAGATGATGGATGTGGATGAGCCCTTTGATATCGTGAAAGGGAAGAACCGAAAGTATGTGATCCGTTTCTTCGACATGTTACCATTGACTGAGTGCTATGAAGGGCTTCACAAGACACGATAGCAAAACCGCTACGAAAGCGAAACAAGTTCTAAACCCCGAACTCTTTCTGTATCAGCATGTTGTACAATAGCCCCTCCACGCAATATATTCCATTATACCTACGGCAGACTTTTCCCGCCACCGCTATCGCTGATTGTCGTTACGTACAAATTAATCATTCCCTGTCGGTTGTCAGTACATGTCAGTGCGCACCGTTCATTTTTATGTAAGTGAAGACCGCTACCTCCAAATTTAGGCGGTTCGCTCGTGCATCGCCTCCAGTCGCACCATCTCGCATCATCCTCTCTTCAACCTCGGTTGAATGACGATTTGTTACCTGGATAACACGTCTCATGCCACTTTCAAGTGACCTCTTGCCGATGTATTTCAATTTTCAGCTTCCCCGATGATTCTACCGTCGTTGCAACAGTTGTGCAACAGTCGCTGGTAGCGTGGACGCGTGTCAATTAAAAGGCATGCTGCATCGATGCGGCAGTGCTTCTGGAATCTCTGCTTCTCGTCCTCCCATTGACGCCGTGCCTTGTTCATATCTTACGTGAAAACGTTATCCGTGTCATGCCGGTCCTTCAACTTTTCCCTGGGTAAGCAAATACTTGCGACACTTTTACACTTCCTGACCTTCTAATCACTTACCACTACCACCTCCCCTTCTCCTTGACCTCTTTTGTCATAACAAGTTGCCCTATGCACGCAGCAGCAGAGGCGCCCCTCGCAGACGATGGCGGAATCCTTCCACCCCCTCAATTCCTATCCGTCGACGTTGCCCCTCCCCCTTGCTCAGTTGTCGACGAAGCGCTCTCCGAGACTCCAGTAATCATCATTGGGCCATCCTCCCGACCCCTCAAAATATACAGCTCGACGGCAGCCGCGATTGCCAACTTCAAACCGACCCCTCGCGAGATCATCTGCGGGATAGCCCCCCATGTATTCGACGAATACAAGCGGAGACATGGAAAACCATCGCGATCGCATTCAAAGAGACGTCGATCCGCTGAACCACGAACGGGCGGAAAGCCGTCGCCACTCCGAGGGTCGGCCGTGATTTCATGGGACGAATGTTCCATCTACGTCGGTACGCGGCTACTTTTTTCCATGGTTCGTTGCTGCTGCGGAATGCTCACGTCCTTTTGCTCACAGAGTCTGAACAAAGGGTCGAGGAGACCGGCGCTCCCAGCCGATCAGGTGATTTGAAGGACGAGTGTCCCGCTGTCCCGAAATCTGGTGAAACCCTTGTTAGCACTCAAGAAACCAAGAGTTCGGAGGACAAACGTCTTAAAGTGACGTCCATAATACCTTCCCGGCCTCCGCCAAAACACGATAAAAATCTCTGCTTGCGGAGATTCCGCTTCGACATATTCAAGTGCGTAACGCTTACACGCCCATATCTCATTGATCTTTTATCTAGACTTACTACGGGACCACAGAACCTTCGCCGTAAAATTCAATCCTGGGCTTCGACACGTCTTCCCTTCCTGAGCTTATCATTCCTTTATTATCCTTTCTGCTCCCTTCAACACCTTCTACACTCAATAGCTAGAGAGATAGACTCCTGTTATCTTGGAGTGCAGACCACCTCACAGATCTGAAATCGACGATGACCTACACAACACATTGTAAAGTTATATATAGTAAGCATGGACTTGCAATTGTCAATGTATCTTCCCATGACGAAGGCGCTCAAACGATGATGGATCTCTGGCAAGCCAGGTATTACACGCGTTATTTCGAGATTCGGACCGGTTTGGCGTACTGGGGCACATCCGGCGCGTGAATCGAGTTGACAAGTACTTCGGCCATCACTGGCAAAAGACATTCACTCTGCCATTGAGTGGCTCATGTGAATGAAAATTTGGTATGTCATATATATAGTTGTCTCTACAAACTGGGACACAACACACGCACAACACATCGATACGCACTATCGCTTGACTATCGCCGACCGGTTACTGTGTTATACAATTCTCAAATAAAATACCAACTCCCCTTTGTCCCAGGTGCGAGAAAGGCGCGTTCGTTCCAAATCGTATCCACCGTCCATCTCACATAAACAGCCCCTTCTCTTAACAATATGTCCAGAAGTGAGGCTGTCGAAGCCCGTGGTGAGCTAAAGATGTCGTCTGCAGAGACTTAAAGTGGTAATTTTATTGGCAATACAATGAATTCTACGATTGTTGGCCAATGGTCTATAGCGAGTGCCCAATAGCGGAAGCCATGACGCGACGCGTCGATCTAATTTCGGAAGTCGCGTCCCCAAAATACTCACGTGATGTGCTTTTGTACTTTTTCCAGGGTTGACAGAATCCCTTCAGTTAAATTCCTTCACCTCCTGACTTTCATGCGTGCTCTGCACCTCACAACAGATTCGTATCGAAACGGGAAAGGCCTAGCCTATCCGTTGCAACTGGCTAATGAGTCCTGGAAAATGTTCGTCGTTGGTCCCTTGCATCTAGTTTTTTTGGGCTAACAGTTTCAGCAGCTTGGCAGTATCAGTGCTTCAGTCATCTAGACGTTACCCGACGCGTTAAATGTGATGAAATTCTGAATGCGGCGAACCTACTTGATTATTCAATGTGCTACACTGGCCGCTTTCTTTTGCAGTGATTCGTCTAAGACCCACTCCCTCTATGAAAGCCTCTCAACTCTTTTTCATAGGGGGATCAGTTATTAGTATGACTGCTCTGTTGACGCTATCAATTAGGATCAAATGGAAGTGCTCGTCAGGGTGAGTTGCCAATCAGTCGGTGGTGGTTAACAAGAGATCTAGAAGTACTTATCAATTGACAGGTTTCGTCAACGTTTGAAGTTTCTCGCCTCACGGAATGAAGAAGTCTTTCCAAAGAGGACAAGAAGCCAATCAAATATTTGATAAGATATACAATCCGAATCTCGTGAATTCCATGCTAATCCTTGTCATAATCCTAAACCTTCCCAATATCGCATCGTCTACTCATCCTTCCCCATAAGCTCATGGACGATATCAACTGCACGCTTAAACTTGATCTTGTCCTCCGGCGTAGGCTGCACCGAGCTCTGCTCCCGAGCACACCCCTGTGGCCCCAAATTCATCCACTGCAGATCCTCGCTGCCCCATGCGATGCTCGTGTCTAGCCCATAAATATCCTCTGACCCTGGAGGCGACTCAGTCGGGATGCTGTGCAGGATATCGTGTAGTTCGTTGAGGAGCTCCGCGGTGTGCTCTTTCGAGGTATCAATCGATTTGGGAGCGAGATCTTGAAGGGATGGGGCGTCGGGTTCGCGAGTGGCAGCAGCGATGTTCAAACAAGATACATTAGAGGGCTTCGTCATTGTGACGATCGCGCTGGGATTTGGGGGCGCGAAACCACCAGTCATGCCTGTCCGGATGGTTAGTGGTCAGTGTGGGGATGGCGTGGGGACAGATACCTTTCTGAAGACGAAGAGAATATTCTCCTGGTGCGACCATTGTGGTGTCTGTCCGTAGAGAGCTGGAGTTGGGTTGGTTTGAGTGTTAGGAGAGGATACTTAAGGCTTGATAATCATCACCGTCCATTTGGGGTTAGGGTTCGACGGTGATCACGATAACCGGAACCACTGTCACTGTTAGCTACGAATGAGCGCTTTCTTATGCATTCGTAGGTGATGCTTCGCCCTTTTACAGATTTATGATACTGGTCGAGTTGTTCCAAGTTATCGGATGATTTTAGATTTCAAGATTCGTCGCCTTGAAAACCAACAACCAGCATTTTAACTTAGAAGCTTGTGCATATCGATATCGTCTTAAGCACCATAGCACCACAAGACAGAAGGAGAAGCTTATCTTGAAGCATGGTCAATGAGGGAGTCCTCTCGCGATAGGGAAGCACTTGAACACCTGACTGGGAGATGCCGCTATCAATTGTGAATTGTGTCAATCACCACCTCCTTGTCCTCACAAATAAATGAAAATCGTATCAATGGAGACTGGGTATCAAATAATCAGTCTAAAGTAGCGTGTACGATGGTCAGTTTTTTTCTTCTTACTATGGGCACACAACTTACTTCATGTCTAAATGGGAACGCACCAATATTAATAATGGTAGCCTCTAAAGCTCAGCAATCCGTCATCCCATTTTGAATCTGGCCCGCAGACTCATTTCCCCGATCTCTTTAACTTCGTCCTCAGTAAGACCAAGGCCTAACGGAGATGGAGCAAGAAGAAGGGCGTATTCCGCCAACAGAGAAGTACGAAAAGGCAGGATGTCGTCCGTCTGCGTAATATACTCAATGATTGACTTTCGCCAAATAATAAAAAAAAGGGACATACACAAATGGCGATCAAATGATTTTCCTTGAGGTATTGACGAATGTGATGGGACTCCAATGCGCTTACTGTTTTGCACCTGCACCAATAGCAATTTGGAAAGTTCGCGACAAAAAATGTTGAACACTGCTCACAATAAATTAGAAGTTAGGCAGATCTCAACGCAGATGTTATTTTTTATCACGATATCCATAGCTTCCTTGTTGAGAAATGTGGCGTGCCCCAAGCGATCGGGTTGGAAAGACAAGAGCTTCAGAGTCTCCTCGGGGGTGCTAGAAACGATCTAAATATGGGTATAAATGTATGCGCAGGGGTTTTTAAGTTGTAAGGGGTCTCACCTCGGCGATATGCAACGTGATACCCAATCCTGCTTTCTTCGCTTCACAGAAAAATGTTTGAAAATCCGCAACGTTCCCCATGGATGGTTCGCCGCAGAGATCAACCCCAACAAGTCTTCTTCCCTCTCCTTTTAGCTTAAGTGCTATATCCAAGCATTCTTGCCAAGTCTTTTCGCCAGTTTTGCGATCCAAGCTCAGAATTACGCCCACCTTTTCCTCATATTTTTCCGCCTCATTCAGAACGGTTCGCATATACAATTCTCTGCTCATGTATTCCGTCTCTCTTGGTCCCGTACGAAGTTCAAGATAATTGCATTGCGGATGGTCACCGTCCAGGAAAGCATTCAGAACACCACGCGTCGCGCAAGCCAGGCTTTCAGGCGTCGACGTCAAGTGATAGATGATTGGGAATACCGAAAAGAAATCGTCTATCGTCTCAAGCTCAGAACCGTAAATGAGTCGTTCTATCGTGGCGTAGATTGCATCGCCGTGTGTGGATGATGGAGAGTTTACTAAGTATTCCTTGCCAAGCTGTTGGATGACCGCAATGGGTATAGAACCGTTGAGGTGGGCGTGAAGTTCAGCTTTTTCGAGAGATTGTAGAAAAGTAACCTGATCAGGTTTCAATGAGGCGAGTGCTGCTGCGGCAGGACCAGCGATGGCCATTGGAAAGGGTGGGTAGTCCGAGTCAGGGAGTTAGAGCGCCCTGTTTGCCGTTGTTTTTTAATGGTTAACCAGAACAAAACACTCGACCTGTCGGTGATTTCAAATTATTCGTTTTTCCTTATGGTATACTTATGAGAGGCAAGGATAGGAAAAAACGAAGATCAAGTCGTTCTACAACCTCGCCCACGTTTATGCTTCCTCTCGAAAAAATCAGAACACCGAAATGACCGAGAAAGCGACCCAACAGCTCATCGAAAGGTATATGGTCCATTTGGTAAGTTTTGGATGCGCATTTGACTTCGAAGCAGCCTGAGTGCTGAGAATTGCGACAGAGAAATCAGAAAAATAAACATCTTGATCTATTGGGGTAGCCCAGTCCGGGGTATGACCTTGCAATACAAAGCCAATGAAAACGACGGTTAAATAGGAAAGATTACAAAGGACTCACCTCCAAAAAAGGTCTGCATCTGAAGGCCTCTTATCCTCCCTTGGTTCGTACCTCGTAGAACCAAACCATTGACGCTGATCACACTCGTCCCATCTAAGAAGAGTTCTAACTCTCCGTTTGCCTTTCCAACGTCGTTGAGTTTCACGCGCTCAGCGACAGTGGTCCATTGCCCAGGCGTCCAAGTATAGTTGCCTCTCCCAATAGAAGCCCCGAACGTATCATTGCAATCTGAATCCGGCAATGTGCATAACTTGCCGTTTGCAGAGAAACCCGTTTCATTGGCTGGAGGGAGGTATGTGTACATCTCCCCAGTACCATTGGTTCGCCACATCAGGCGCGCCGAAAAGCACGCGGTGTTTCTGCTCCCCCCGGAACAGGTCATTGCAACCGTTTCATTCTCTCCGCCGTCTGAACGACTCTTGTCAGTGATCACCACTCGAGGATTCGTACAGTGGAACTCACAGAATCCTGGGAGCTTCCCGCCCATGACAAAGTTAAATCCAGCAGGAAACCACACGGAGTATGCAAATGTAGCATGCGTCGCGGTAGAGAGGTTAACGGACGCTGGTCCAGGTGCGTAAAATGACATACCACCCCTGGGATCGGCGTCAGGTCTGTACGACCCCTTCGGGTAGTGTGCTTTCATGGAAGGCCTGCCGTCGGGCGCAGGGGCGTAGGTGTGAACTGACCCCGACATCTCATGGGTCGGCCTGAACGTCGAGTCATTGAGGGGGAAAGGGTGGGAATCTCCAGAGAATGTTGTCCAGTTCTGAAAGCTTGATGATAATGGAAACAGGGCCTGCTCCGTAGCTACAGCGCGCGACACGAGCATAACCATCTGCTGAGCTATCACTCAGCGCACTGGAAGGATGGTCAAACGATTGAGAGCGGTGTAAGACAGAAAGAACGGACGGGGAAGTAGTCTTTGAAGGGCTCAATTGCGAAGTAAAGAAGAAAGAAAAAATCACGGTGAACAGTCGTCTGTGGCTAAAAAAAAGCTGGCAGAAGCTGTCGACGCGTTGCATTGAAACGACGACAGAACAAAGTCACACGATCCCTGAATAGATTGCTTGTCAATGGCCGCGCCTAAGCGCATAAGTACGGATGTCGTCAGAACCTCACTAGCATATCTTTTTCTTGCATTTTCTGCGCAAGGGTTTGTGAACTTGGATGGCAGCTGGTGAAGAAAAAAAAAAGGCTTCTTAGGGGTTCTTAGGTAAGCAACGACGAATTGCAAATGGGGGTGGTCTATAAATAGACTAAGCCTATAATCAGAACTCAAGCTCAAGAGTGGAGTCGCAAGCAGTCGATTACGATTCGTTTAAATTAGAGACTGTCGGATGGGTCACTAATATCGCTGTATAAAATTAACCTACAGCCCTAAGCGCCCAATTGAAATTGAGCTGCTGAAAAACATGTGGCCATGGCGTCAAATGCCCGTTCAGCCAGTTCAACCAAGAAATCTACGACAGTCGAGACGTCTTTTCAGAAAATGAGCCACCGCGGTGAGTCCAAGATCTCGCAATGAGTGATATACAAAAAAAAAAGAGGAGGTAAGGGAATGAATAACAAAATGAATTCGAGACTTATGAATTTAAAAATGCATCCTCAACGCGATGCTTCTAATCACTCTTCACACAGCCTCCGCCATCCAGGAAGTCAGTTGATTATAGCGATTTGCTCACTATTCGACATTCCGCGGAGCATAAACCTTGGACAGAAAACTGTTCAACTTTTCTGAAAGCAACGCTTGTCAGTGATACTATTTGATTATGTAAAAATGTTATGTAACTTATGTTCTTTCTATAGCTCTGCGGGTGCCAGAGATGACGGCGATCACGGCCTACGCACACGAAAGGTCAGTCAACGATCTTGAGACTTACGAATGAAAGGTTCGGGGTTGTTCCCTGCGTCGTTTTGCAACGCCCCCCACGGCGATTTATAAGGGAGTTGTTTATTCAGACAGGCTGACGGGCAACAATGTGTCTGAAGCTCGCAAAAGGTTGGAAGCCCAAGAGCTCACTGAAATGGCAAAGAAAGCCAAAGAAATGTGCAGATTTGTCACGTGTGTCACACCTCAAAAAGTTTGAGCAACGACCTCGAGGAGGGCGATTTCTAGGAGCTGTTCATCACTATCTCCACCGAACTATTCCTTCACCAAGAGCACTATCATCAAGTGGTCCCCAGCTCAAGCGCCTCCCTCCCTCGAGTTCACAGCCCAGTTTATTATTCGTCGTTGCAAAGTGCCAGCCTTGTCGAAGTGCTCTAGTGTGCTTGGTCTCCTCTCCCGACGTGATGAGGCGGACGCCGTAGCAGGTTTCGCGAGTTCGCTTCCAGCACTACTTATCCCAATACGCACCCTACACGGAATCAGTGCTTTTGGTCCCCAGTTTTGTGTTTACACCTACGACACGGCCACTCCAAGCTTAGCCCCTTCTGTGATTGCGCGCGACCGCACTATAATCGCGTCTCAGGCTCGATGGCGGTACAAGCGAAGTTAAGAGAGGTCGTGGACGCCATCAAGATTATGGCGGCTGCGGGGAATGGTTGAACTAGGTGTGCCTTTCAACCGTAAACGATTCCCGCCTCGTATCAACCGGACATCGTAGCCTCTTTCTCTTTCTTTTTGTCAAATTTCTACAGTACAATTGTAGGAAGATCATGGTTGTCATCTGGTAAATACCTACCAATCACTCCCACTCCAATTCATTCTCCTTGAGTATGCACGAGCGTCTGTCGGATACGAAGCACGACGATCTGTCAAGCGCCAAAGAAAGCGGCAAAGCACCCGGATGTCCCCATTGGAACGCCACCATGCCGGCGCTACTCAGAAGTTACTGATTCGGCGCGTTGTTTCTTCTTTTCGCCTGTTCGTCTCCCTTCATTGCGTTCCCTGTGCTTACTTATCGCGTTGGGACCATTTATCGAGCCAACGTCTACGTTCTAACCTCTCTGTTAACATTCGTTCGCCTCAGTACCATCATTGCTAAAGCACTTTGACCCGGCCCTTCATCAATGCCAGAGATTACACTGTTGTGCTGGATCCTCGGCGAGGACCTCAATAGTGTTTTTCCGATCGGGATAGAGAATCACAAAGTTGTTGGAGACCTGAAGGTCAAAATCCGGGAAGAGAATTTGTGCACATTGAAACATATCGATGCTAGGGCGCTAGCGCTGTCGATAGTGAGTGGGCCAAATAGTCGGTTTTCAAGCTCCTTGACAAAAACATTCCGCAGGTAGACATAGACTTGAACGAAATGGATACCCAATCTCTCAACAGCCATGTGGTAGAAGATGGAGTTGACAATTTCAATAGACTGGATGCGTGGACACAAATCTCGGAGCTTTGGGAGTTCCAACCTTCCACGGACAGACTTCAAATCATTATTAGGCTCCCTCCTGCGAGTCAGTGAAATTACTGCTCTCAACAGGAAATTTTACGAGTTACTTAACCCGAATCTTTCATTAGAAAAAGAGTTCACCCCAATTTGGAACGTTCTTATTTCTAGAACTGTGCTCGAAAAACTGCAAAGAGCCCTCCTGGACCTTATTCCCTGGATCGCAGCCCTTTACTTTATAATAAAGTCGTTACAAGCTTCGGCCGCCCAGGCTTATGCCAGCCTTCTACAGAGTGGTACACCCGACTTTATTGTGGGGTATATTTCCAATATCTCAACATCGGACAACCTCAAGTCTTACGGGGATATGATAAACTTTCATGCTGTCAACTTTATGCTTATTTCTGCTGGAATAATCGTAGCCTTGACAGTTCTGTGCCATCTTGTGTTCGCCTTCATTTTTGAAGTTCTGTAGCAATTCTACTCTCCTGTATTTTAGCTACTTGTCGTCAGGCCGCCGAATCTTGGATATATGTTCTCCGGCCAACTACCAATTGACAGCGTTTTTTTTTCTCGCTCAACAATGGCCAGAATTTAGGTGACTGTCGTCAACTTTCAAACAATACCACAACGTGGCGATGCTGTCAATTCTCCTTCGCCAGGTTTCGCCTGTTGAAAGGGCGATGGCGAGAGCTGGCAAAATCCAAAAAAGAAACTGAACAGGGAGGGATTGTAATCGCGTAAAATAAAGATATACAGTTGCCAGCGCTGCCCGGAGGCTAGCGGGTCTCGGCATCAACGACTTGTAAAGCAATCCAAATCATTCTCTAGCTGCTAAAAAACACGCGGTCCCAAGCGCGGAGATTGAGAAGTCCATGAGACGTTTCTCAGGGAAATGAGCGACAGGGGCCCCCAAAACCTCCATGACATACGGAATGGCAATAAGTACCACTGCGTCCGCCCGGAGATTTAGAAGGAGATCAGAGGAATGGTAGAACAAAGTTCTCGCCAACACGATTAGCTAGGCAAAACTGGGTGTTAGCAAAGATGTCGCAAGGGGATTGAAGGACTTTACAGCGACTGTGATCATCCCTCCCCTCCCGAAAACGAATCTACTATCTTTGAGGACTGGGCCTCCATATTCCTCTACGGTAACGATGGCAACTTCGTAGCTAACGGTCAGCGTCGAAAACTACAAGGTCCTTCATTCTGAACCTACCAAAGATTGTCATCGCAATGTATGCAATGGCCGCCAGAATGCATATGACTCTTCCTCGTGATGTCAGAGACACTTGAGCCGCAACGTGAGGAGGCGCAATGAGAGGCTGCGACTCCTCATCCTGCTGGGGAATGGGATGCTTGTCAGGTGAAGAGTCCTGGTGTCGGCGATGATGGAGCTGGACATAGAGGAGTCGAAGAAAGGCTACAGCAAAGAGGCCAGCAAGAGAAGCGAGTTGATCCATGGCCATGATGACTTCTGGAGGGGTTTGGGAGAGTTCAGTTCAAGAAGCTCACAGCATTACAATACGCTTCGTCGTTTGAATAAATCCATGCAGTGCGAGCGATGCGAGCGGTGATTACCATCTTCATGTCCGAAAAGGCCTCAATGCGCGTCAATTCAAACCTGCCTTGTCCAATCTTCAACGCGATGTCGGGCGCTGGGTACCTTTCATAGGATCTGTGAGTCGAACGACAGGACGCGTCTCTGCAGACGGACTGCCATCCTCGTCACCCGAGAAGGCCTTCAAAATGCACATATATGGGAGCCGGGCGGCCCGGTCCTGACTTACGGCCGACTGAAAGCTTGGCACCTGCATCCAGCATTCTCTTCACGGCACTGGGCAGATTCAATTCTCGCCGCTCATATTACATATCTTAGTGAGGATAGGGACAGGCTTTCCCTGACGCGCCGTGTAAGCCTCTCTCCCCATCAGTTTTTCACCCGGGCGTCGAAAATGTTCAAAACGAAATTCGACTCGAGTCAGCCTGAAGCAAGAAGGGATCCGGAAACGATAGTGGATGTCCTGTGCTACGAACAATGTTTCTGCAACAGTTGAGCCACCAACGATCCCTCAAAAATGGTGTCTAGGAGAAGGACTCGGATTTCACCCCTCGCCATTTAATGGGCGCCCTTCCTCGGGCATCTCTGGCGCCGCTTCATGGACATGTCTTCATTGAACAACATCTATCACACTAAATGGAGGCTGTGTTCAAGTTGAAGACCTTCGAGGTTCTACGCGATAATTCGGTGAATCATTACCACCTAACAAAACCTCCCTGATTTGTCGGCTGTGTAGAGTCGCTCTAATTCTCTTTTCATTTTTTTTCAGCGCAATAGGGCATCCTTGTTCTGCCAAATTTGTGATTCTCCGATGGACCGTCCACCAGCAATCGGTGCATGTACAATTCATTCGCCGGCGGTGAAGTAAAAAATGCAATATTCAACACCTTGTCCAATGTCGCGAGTATATAAGGACTTGATACTGTCGAGAAGAAATCATCATCAACTTCCAATGCTCGTCCTCCAAATTCTCACAGCTGCCCTCACCATCTCCTTCGCCAAGGCGAACCCCGTCGCCATTGATGTGCGCAATTGGGATAGTAACCCCGCTGCGGATGGGGCTTTCAAGCGCGAAGAACTGGCTGTTACGAGTGCCACCAGCAACTACGCTGAATACATCCCAAGCCCCACCGAGACGAGCCTGACTCTTCGCTATTACCAAGAGCGGGCCACTTGCCTTGATCAATTTGTCTGGTATTGCCAGGTTCCCGCAGGAGCATGCATTGCTGCCTTGGGCGCTATCGTGTGTATTTTTGTTCTGACAGATTTATGTGCATCTTGCTAAAAAGTCGTTATTTAGGCGACACCAGTTAACCTCTGGTCTCTTGTTCCTTGTGCCATCGCCGCCGTTTGTGGATCGGTATGTAAAAATTATTTGTTGAGATGAAGTGTTATAAATTTTTATTCAAGGTGGCCCTTGTGTTCGGAGCGTTGTGTTGCAACAGCATCATCAAAAACTGCGACGGCTCAAGTTTCTCGTCGTCGATTACTAGTGCTAGCCGCGTCACTAGCAACATCATGGCAGAATTTAACGGCGGGGGAGGTCACGGCGACGCACCTTTCACCAGAGGTTTGCTAGTCGTTGAAATCAAATTCCTGCTGGCTGACCAATTAAGCAAGATACCTTCAAGACCGCATTTAACAACTATTTGCAGAGTCACGGTTCCGATATTCCTAGGTGAGTTCTGAACAGCCTTTGTAGATTGCGTCACTCTAAATGTCGGAATCGCAGTGACGATGACTTCAATAACATGTACAACAGCTTCTTGGCTCGTACTTTCGTAAGCCCTTTGCCAAATATATTATGTGTGGACTTGGATCTGACTTGAATGCGGCATGCCGTGTAGTGTAGCTTTGGACCAGGAGAAGCAGGGAGCGGTTGCGAACCGAATTCTGTCTCTCACGACGATGTAAGATCGCCTTTTCTTACCTGTCATTGACACATCCTGACGTTTCTCCCCTAGTTCAATAGCTTCCTCCACCGTCAATGAATCATAGGTTCAGGGTTTTCAACTACATTGTACATTTTTCTCTTTTTAATTCGATTTGGCAGGGCCTGTACGGTTTATAAATGTTAAATCAACTGAATGTGAGGGCCCTCTCCCGGTGAATCATGGTGCATGAAGGCCTGACAAATGTCCACACCCGGCAAGCCCTCAATGTCCGGAGGCAATTGGACCCGCGGGAGGAGCTGTAGTCTACACAAAAAAATAGAACTTGAAAAATATCAGCTCCAGTAGTACTATTCAAAATCCCCATGCGTCCGTTGCAAGCTCTCCTAATAATTACCCTTATTGAAATCCATTCATCTCAAATTCATCTCAAATTCATCTGCTCTGTATTTTGTTGGGTCTTTCAGCAGTAATTTGAGTTCTTCGCCTTCTGTTGCGGTCAGTTGTACCCGAAAATTTCCCTCGCTTTACAGAAGAACCTTTCGTAACAATTTGCGCCGCGAGTTCTTGAAAAGGGGTGGTTCCCGGGTTAATTGCCTTTCCGCGTAAGAATTGCAGTTTTGGTAAATGGTAATTCTCCTTCTGGTAGTAATGGGGACAATAGGAGATCAGGAACCGAAAAGAGTGCGATTGTCGTCCACCTTGAAAACTGAGGCTCCACCGGTTCGTGTCGCCACTCCGTATGCTGGGGTTGGACTAGAATACATAATAAGCGTTAATGGCAGGATAAGATCTGGAGGAAAGGTGTTGTGCCTACCATACGTGACATGGGCGGCGTTGACTCCGGGTAGAGCATGGGGCTCTGCCACTTGCACGCCGTCATGTCGCGAATCTTCAAGGCGAGGGGAGTTATCCACGAAGGCGGAGGGATCACGATTCACGAGCACATGAAGGACGAATGTCTCTCGCGTCGCTGAGAGGCCTGAAGCAGACCTTTGATCTTGTAGAAGTCAAAATGCGAGACCATCACAATAGCCTTCATGATCAAGCTAAGCCTGGTGACTCCATATTTCACAGTTCGCTGGGTAGTTACACAAACACTCCTGTAGTTGTGAAGAGGCAATTCGAACACCTTGACGGGAGTTCGTCGCAGGGGATCGCATAATCGTGAACTTGAGAAAATGTGAGATGCCAGACGAGTCGAAGTTGAGTCGAAGTATGATTTTGTGTTTGTAACGCCCATGCGATCGAAACCCTTCCTTTGGCTGCTACATACCACCGCTGGATGAATACGATCAATATGTCAGTAAAATCCTCTTGTTCTACTAGCTGATCCTTACAATGTTACCAGTGGTAATGAACAAGGATTCAGCTCATCGTCTGACCTGAGTCCCGCCAACAGACTCACGCCGAGCGGGACACCCAATGGCCACGAACTCGAGGGGGGAATCTCTGCAAACCAAATGAGCAAGTCAAGTGGAACAAGCGCAGAATCATCCGAAGAAGTATCCAAATGGTCAAAACCCTTCAATCACCTTCCAGAAGAACTAATCAACGAGATATTCCTCCACTGCATCAGTAGAATCACAAGCTCTTTCACTTTCACTTTTGGCCTCTTTCACTTTCAGAAGCACTTTTACTTTCACTTTTGGCCTCTTTCACTTTCACGACGCTTTCATTTCCACTTTGAGACCTCTTTGTGATAGCTTTCTGGCTTTCAACAGCTTTCACCTCTTTAGGAATTTAGACAGTGGATCAACATATATGTTAGTAGGCTACTTCGTGTGCATGATGATCTACATACTTATTAACGTAAAAAGAGTTGGAGGAATCTAAGGTATTGGAGGGATTTGAGAGTGAGGACAAAATATTCGTGAAGTCCGTTGGAACTCCGACATCATGTGATAATGTTGAATTCTATTTCCTTGAACATCGCACCACTCTCCCTTCCCATTCTTTTTCATTAGTGGTCGACGTCGTCCACTCTTGGGGTATAACGTCTGTTTTTTTGTAAGTTCTCTTCCTCATCTCGACAAACACTCCCACTTACGATCAGTTTGAATCGCAGCTGTCTCTTGCATGCCAACCAGCCATCCTTCATAGCAACGCTACAGGGGGCACCATAATGCCAATCCACAAAGCTCACCACCCACCACAACCGCCACAACCACTCCCCCCGACAACATGCTGTCCTCAAGGGTTATCCCCATTGCCAGAGGGCTCACACAGGCTTCGTCGGCGAGCCTATTGAGGGCTTGGTAAGGCTTTCTTTGTTACCTCTGCTGAACAACGTCCTTATACCACTCGTATCGGAGTCTGAGATTTCCCAGTCGTCAACATCTGGATTGGAGCTCGATAGTACAGGAACGGGTATAGGCGTGCTGGAAGTTGACGAGCGTTCGATGCCATGGCGAGTCGCAGAATTTAGGTGGTGAGGGAATGTGGAAACGGTACGCTATGCTTCCTTTCTCTTTCTTCTCTTTGCCCATCATCCCACATGGAGCCTGTGACGTTTCTCCCTCCTACATATCCCTGCCATTCTCCCCTGGCGATTTCCATCCCTCGTTTTGTCACGCACCCCTCTTCTACCTTTTTCCGAGCTCTACTCTAGTCCAGAACTAATACCCATCCCAGGTCGTCATCCGTGCTCACATCCAACACAGTTCACGTGAAGGTGCTTCACGGCCTGCATATACCCAACCATCGCACGTAGGTTCGTCCTCCTCATTTGTGATTTGGTTTGAAAGCTGACGAAGAAATACCGACCATCGAAACCGACAGCCTCTCCTCCTCGACATGCTTGCATCTCACAAAATGACCAACGTCAAACTCGTCCGGCACATCCACTTCTTCCAGGACCCCTCACAAGCTGCAGCGCAATATGCCGCTCAAGCTATCATAGGCAAGCACGCCGATATCCTAGGGCTGATTGAAGGTGTTCGGCGTCGATAGACTACTTCGGCGATGGTTCTCCAGGCCACAGTTTGATATTGCGTTAGCGGATCATGATGAGGATGGACTGGAGGGTCACGTCGTTCTAGTAATCAGCACCATTGTTTTACAAATATTAGAAATCTATTCGCTTTGAACCCTCTTTCAAACCCTCTTTAAGTCACCTTTTGAAAAGCTGTACCTCTTTCGTGGTCCCTTTTTGGACCACTTGCAGCCCCTTTTGTCCCTTTTGAAAGCCGAAACCGCTTTTGAAAGAAAAGGGACTGGGCTTCCAAAAGCGGAAACGCTTTCACGCTTTCACGCTTTCAAAAGCGGTGAAAGCGGCTGAAAGCGGTTTTGTGATTCTACTGCAGTGCGCCTCCTCGCCGATTGAGATTTGCGGCGACCCACCCTGCACTCCATGGTCCCTCGCACAAGTAAGCCAACGCTGGCGTACAATAGCGCTTTCCGAACCCAACGTCTGGACATGCATCAGTGCAGACCTAGACTTGCTACCCGCTGTCCAACTGAGCCAGTGCACACCATTGCTCAACTTTTTTCGAGGGTGCCTTCGCCGATCGCGTGACAGGCCTTTGTATCTACATGTCAAGGCTTTACAGTGTATTCACCCCCTTCTTTACCCACTTATCGACCTTTGCTTGGCTGAAGCTTATCGATGGCAGACGGTGTCGCTTCATCTTTCTTTATCTCCGTTCTTAAGCGAGTTTCAGCAGAGTCGGGGACAATTTCCCTTGCTGAAGGCTCTCAGCCTGACACACGAATACCCCCTTGCGCTCCCAATCAACGCTTTCGTAGCCTCACCTCAGCTCACCCACCTCACCCTCTGCAATCTCCCTAACCCAATGAATTGGTTGAACGTCTCCTGGAACCAAATAACACACTTTGAATCTATCGTACTGCGGTACAGCCCAGGAGAACTTGACAAAATCCTAACGAGCATGCCTCTCCTCGAAGAGCTCAAAATGGTCTGCGGAATGTTATTATTCCCAATGTCGGATCACAGCGCAACCAACGAAGCCATCTCCCTACCCCACCTCCGCTCATTACATGTCTCAGGGTGCGGAGAAGCCCTCGACCAGATCCTCAATCCACTCCACACACCCAGCCTTAAACACTTGGCTTTAGAAATCACAGATCGCTTATCAATTCACGGAACGCTTTCCCCAGATCTGGTCGTCTCGGCTTTTTTAATCCTACACTTCAGATCAACGTTCACGCTTGGCTCTCTATCCATTGACGGACTACCCGTTCAGGGTATAGTCGAGATCCTCGTCTTCGTACCGAACATCACGCGCCTCTTCGTTCGGAGCCTAGGTGTCACAGAGCTCTTCCCGACATACCTCACATTAAACCGCGACACCATAAGGAGACCATTTTACCATGAATGGGATACATTGAGCAGCTTCTTCCTAGTGCCCAATTTACGGGACTTTGTCATGGAAGACACGTACCCATTCACAGACTCCGCAACGCTCGCTTCGTCTGCGGGCGCGTTATTGAAGATGGTCAAGTCGCGATTAAACCCTCAAGGAGACTCCGAGGGTCGCTTGGAATCGGTCAGCGTGGTGGCCTTTCTTGAAATTGGGTTGTCCGATTCTAGTACGTCGGCGTTTTGTGCGTTGACGGAGTTTGGGGAGGGGCAAGGGGTCAAGATAAATGTGGATGTGAAGCGGAAGGGTGGTGCCCTGCATGATTTGATGTCGCTGCGCAGTGCGAATTGATAGCGCTCGTCAATCGGCAAAGCCCACATAACATTGGAGAGGCCACTGGTAGGATGTTTATGCCAGCTTGAGATCCCAATCTTTCAAGCCTGCATGATCTAATGGTAGAGATGGCTTCCAGGTTCAATTCCCAGCCATGCTTATGGTTATGACTTTTCCAACTCTTTTGTCTACTAATCTACAAGACTTTGGCTTTACATAACAATATATGATAGGCTTTGAGTTGAGGGTTGTGATTCATAGCACTTATGCCATGAATTGTACCGTTATCTATGTGAAGAAACTCACAGTAGTTTTACGTGGGGTTTCTAATATTGTTCTAATACCTTTGTGGACGGAGGAGCTCATACATTTGTCCCCATCCCCTTTACTACTAGCTACGCGTCGATCACGTGTGACTCTTTTTTGCTTCTACACATGAACGACGCGCGACAATACGGCGAGCTGGGCACCCAACTCCTCCTCGAATCGCGTCGATCAACGCAGACGGACACATTTCTAAAATACAACGACACCCTCGTCCGATCCCTCATCCGCGAGCAGCGCGACCTCGAAAAAGCCATCGACGCCATCCCATTCGAGGGCGGCTCACCACCTCCTGCGTTGCTCATCATCCAAACCGCGATCAACCGCAACAAGCGCTGCTTACTGGCCTACCATGCACACCGCGTTGATCGACTGAGGGATCTATATTGGTCCGTGGGCGGAGCACTCCCTCATATCCTATCCAATCAGGAGCTGAGGGGAAGGATGTCGCCCCATGAGGTGGACTATCTAAGGCAGTATAATTCGTCAATCATGGAGTTCCGGAGCGAGTTTACGCACGAGTTGGATGTCACGGCGAGTATAACGATTCCGCCGAAGGATATCCATGCGCTTGTGAGGGTTGTGAGGGATTGTGGTGTTATTCAGACAGAGCTGGGGAGTATTGATTTCAAGAAGGGGCAGAGATTCATGGTTAGGAGGGCGGATATTGAGCATTTGATTGTTCAAGGGTATTTGGAGGAGGTTTGAGGCGCTTTGTCGTCGGTTCCTCTTTGTTTGGCTGTCTGTCTCCTTCCACCATGCTCAGTCGCCATGCATCTGCCTCTTCCTCATCCCGCAAGCTTGTGAGCCAACGTTTTGCTTTCGCTCTTGCTCGCAGTCAACCACGGCGACTGGTCTCACAACCATCTCTCACATATGATCATTTAACATCCTCCCATTCCACCGCCGACCTCGCCTCGCCCTACCGTTCCGGCTTCTCCAATCTTGGCCTACGCTCCAGCAAACCTCCAGATTCCATCCCGGATTCAGACCCAAAAACATCCTCTGAAATACCAGACCAAGACTGGGAGCTTCGCACAGGTCCGTTCGTTTTTCCGTTCAAGCACTTACAATCATACTCATCGACATGCAGGACGCGCTATCTACGTATTACAACAAACATTGCCCGATTTCTTCGCCACGGGACTCATCACCTCCATCGACAAAAGGACAGGGGCACCAGTAGCCCCATCCACCAGCATCCCAATAGCCAGCGCCAATCCCCTCGATGACCTCACCTTCGACGACGACGCAGAGTCCATCTACAGCCCATTCGTTCAGTCGTTCTATACACCCCCCGTCCCACTCCCAGCCCCATTCCCCAAGACCCTCCATGTAGAAGGCAAATGCTCTGCCCTAGCGCCCGATGCTAATTAATGTGCTGTATCCATAGGCCTTCAGCTGTACCTCGCCTGTTTGGGGTTCGTGCGACATACGATGAACACGCTGTACTCGGATCTTGCAGTCGTGTTGACAAAAGTCGTTGTGAACGCGCCCTCACCACCGACGACGAAATCGCTGGGAGGGTCTGCTGAGATGGGGGTGACGAAGAGGGGTAGGGAGAAGAGCCTTCTTGTGCGGCAGAACATTACGGGAATCGCCAGGGTTAGTGGGAAGCCTGGGGAGTGGATAGTGTGCGTCTTCTCTCATACGTCTCTGATTGACTTAGATCTGATTCCAGCGGATACTTAGGGAATCAACATACACCTTTTCGCCATCCACAGGCCTAATTTATAAATACGTCATCAACGTGATCCGCCCTGCACCTCATGTGGCCGTGTATGAGTCCCTACGGGCGAGCATGGGCAAGCTGCTTGGGTTGGGTCACGGTGGCGGTAGTGCGCCCAGTCCGAACGGGGCTGCGTGTAAGGGGGCGGGGAAGGTTTAGTCTGGATTGAAGACCAAGTACGCAGGCGAGCGCCAGGAATGCATTATCACCCCTCCTCCACTCTGTTAGTCACGAGTGCATCCTTACTCCGTCGTTTCCTGGAATCAATACGTTTGTAATTGCTTAATATGCATAATATTTACTACATCAGTGACTTGGGGAAAACCCTATCCAACATTATGAGCTCTCAACATGCATTACAGACAGTCGTGGACGTTATGAAGTCGTCACCACAATTCAGGCCAACTCACGATGCCAGATATTACTAATAATGCCAGGTCCCGTTCATATTTGACCCGCGGTATCATCAGTTTGTGGTAGCAATGCTAGATTATGGTGAAATTGATTTTCTCCTCTTGTATGACGACAGAATGGCTGCAGTATTCTCGTGGGTCTGGGGTTTGCCGTGCATCGCTACAATGCTACGAGTAAATAGTTAGTGACCGTCTTGCCTCTCCGGATATAAATAATTGTCCTCGTCTCGTGGCACAATACCCGAAAGCTGATGAAGACCCTTCCGCCTCACATCCACATTCATCTTGACCCCTTGAGCCTCCCCAAACCCATAAAACGCCGACGTATCAAAATCGAACAACCCAACGCCAAGAAGGACCACCACGCTGACCGATTCCAAGCGACCCTCGGAGTCTGCTTGAGGGTCTAATCGCGATTTGACCATCTTCAATAACGCGCCCGCGGACGAGGTGAGCGTTGCAGAGTCTGTGTATGTGTACGTATCTTCCATGACCAAGTCCCGTAAATTGGGCACTAGGAAGAAGCTGCTCAGTGGACCCCATTCATGGTAGAATGGTCTGCTTGTGGTGGTGTCGCGGTTTAATGTGAGGTATGTTGGGAAGAGCTCTATGCCGCCTGGGCTCCGAACAAAGAGGCGCGTGATGCTCGGTACGTGGTCGAGGATCCGGGCTATACTCTGAACGGGTAGTCCGTCGATGGATAGAGAGTCAAGCGTAAACATTGATCTGAGGTGCAGGACTAGAAAAGCCGAGACGACCAGATCTGGGGAAGGCGTTCCGTGACTTGATGAGTGGTTTGTGATTTTTAGAGCAAAGTGTTTCAGGCTGGGAGTGTGGAGTGAAATGAGGATCTGGTCGAGGGCTTCTTCGCACCCGGAGACATGTAATGAGCGGAGGTGGGGTAGGGAGATGGGTTTGATGGTTGCGTTGTGATCCGACATTGGGAATAATAACATCCCGCAGACCATCTTGAGCTCTTCGAGGAGAGGCATGCTCATTAGGATTTTGTCGAGTTCTCCTGCGCCGTACCGCAGTACGATGGATTCAAAGTGTGTTATTTGGTTCCAGGGGAGGATTAACGAACCCAATGGGCGATGAAGTTTGCAGAGGGTGAGGTGGGTGAGCTGAGGGGAGGCTATAAAAGCGTTTATTGGGAACGCAGGGCGGTACTCGAGCCAGTTCAGGCTGAGAGCCTTTAGCAAGGAAAGTTGTCCTTGACTCTGCCGAAGCTTGCTTATGACAGAAAAGTGAAGCGACACCGTCTGCCATCGATGAGCTTCAGCCAAGCAGAGGTCGGTTAGTGGGAAAAGAAGGGGTGGAAGACGCCGATAAGCCTTGACACGTAGATACAAAGGCCTGTCACGCGATCGGTGAAGGCACCCTCGAAAAAAGTTGAGCAATGCGTGTGTGCGCTGGTTCGATTGAACGACGGCCCGGGGTAGCACGTCTAGGTCTGCAGTGATGCATGTCCAGAGGTTGGATTCGGATAGCGCTATTGTGCGCCAGCGCTGGCTTACTTGTGCAAGGGACCATAGAGTGCAGGGTGGGTCGCCGCAAATCTCAATCGGCGAGGAGGCGCAGTGGAGGAATATCTCGTTGACTAGTTCGTCTGGAAGGTGATTGAAGGGTTTTGACCATTTAGATACTTCTTCGGATGATTCTGCGCTTGTTCCACTTGGCTTGTTCGTTGGTTTTGCAAAGATTCCCCTCTCGAGTTCGTGGTTATTGGCTGTCCCGCTTGGCGTGAGTCCGGTGGCGGGACTCAAATCAGACGATGAGCTGAATCTTTGTTCATTACCACTGGTAACACTGTAAGAATCAGCCAGAATAGGAGGATTTTACTGACATATTGATCGTATTCATTCAGTGGTGGTTGTTGGGTGGTACTATGTAGCAGCCAAGCTACAACAAGGTGTTAAACAAAATCAAAATCAACTTTGCTTTGACTCGTCCATCCGACATTTTCTCAAGTTCACGACTATATGATCCCTTGCGACGCGACGAATTCCCATCAAGGCGTTTGCTTCGACTGTTCATAACGTTGGCTTGAAGGCTATTGTGATGGGCGGTGCTTTTGAAATACTCTCGAGTCGATCGGTATCCACCGTGGAAAACGTTTGGACGAGTCCTCAGTCTTCGACTGTCCTCGATGAGCAAGGGCAAAAAGAGAATGTGGAGTTTCTGGAACCGGAATCATACGGAACCCCTCAGTCTCTGTTCGTTGACTTCTTCTTTCACCTCCATCGCAATATCGACCAACTCACTAGGAAAAAGCACCCAGATGACATTGAACTGGTGCAGAATTGCACTGTGAGGATTGTGCGCAGAAAGGGCAAATCGGCGCCATATAGACAGGTACTCAAAGCTAACGCTGCCTACATCACGTATGTTTCTCCCAGACCTCATCCGGCCGTTCACGTTTATTACGCAATCCAGCCGAACCCCAGCATATGGAATGGCGACACAAACTGGAGGAGCCTCGATTGTCAAGGTGGGTAATGTTTAAGGACGACAATCACACTCTTTTCGGATCCTAATCTCCTATTGTTCCCATTAGTATCAGGAGAATTATCATTCACCAAAACTGTAATTCTCATCTCGAAAAGCAATTGTTCCGAGTGCCACCTTTTCTTCAAGAACTTGCGGCACAAATTGTTACGAAAGGTCCTTGTGTACGGAAAAATTCCGAACACAACTGACCGCAGAAGACGAAGAACTTAGATATCCGTTGAAATGCGGGAGCTATACCATTGGTCGGGATATATAAAGTGCAACTTAAAAAAGTTTGTCCGATGGCCCTCAGCTCACATTGAGATGCACACTTACACATTCAAAGGCCGCGACCTCCTCAATTCAACCATCTTGGATGCCTCTCTCCGGCCGTGCTTTGTAACAAGCACGACTTGTGGATTTTTTGGCCGTCGTTCCACCGAAATAATTGATCTCTCGGGTACATTGGTTGCGACGATTCTTTGGAAGGACAAGGCACTTGAGATTGGTGGGACAACTGTCAGCATAAAATTCATGAAATCGAAAGAACCCAAACATGTTTTTTCTCTCAAGCGGTCCGTACGTTTTTTTATGCTTGTGTTTGATGCACAGCTTCAATTTAGTATAGGGATTGGCAACGTTACTGGCAATGGTGTACTTCAAGCCCCCAGTATTCAATTGAATACGGACGACGAGAATGGACGGTATGCACCGTCCGTACAACTAATATTCGTGAAGATGCTAATATTCAAACCTACCAGGCCACTGATTGCGCCAATTATTCAAACTGCGCCGTCTTCACCTCCTATAAACGTCGTTACTTTAAGAAGTCTCAGCCCGCTACCTTCACCACGGAGGAGGCATTGCCGGAAAAAGAAGCACTCTTCCTTCTTCTAGCTATGCTCAAGATGGAGACACGGAGAATAGATTTGCAGGAAGTGGGTGATCTTGCGTTTCCTCTTCTGTGTGTGCAGATGTTTCCAAAATTTGATTGTGGTACTCTAGTAGTGAAGCCATAGTTTCAATCCTCGACACAAATATAGAGCTCAGTTGGGTATAGGTTTGTTGTTAAACAGTGTTTATCAATTGGAGTTTACACTGGCTTTCCCTTATCAGGCTCAAACAGCAAACTATGCATTTGGGGTGAAAGCGGGTGAAGGGATGAGGTGGAATTTCACTTTGGATGTCTAATGCCCTAGAAAGTTAGCCAGAATGTCTTTGTTGAAACTTTTGATCACTTATCAATAAACATGTTTCAAACACGAAGTTAGACAGGTTCTGAGTGTCCCTTTTCAACTGTTGAAGGGAGTCGAGTTTATATCCAGCAAGAGAATGGGCAAACGGCGGCGGCCCGATGGCCCACCTGAATGTATTTGGTTCCAAGGGTTGGTCCAAACACTGTTTCTAATTCCTCCCTAGACATGAGCAGGCGAACGTGGCGATATTCAGGTTGACGTTCAACTTGACGCCCAAACTCCTTTTGTTATTCTCAAAGCGAATACGCGGTTGGAGTTCTAGAACTCACCGCGCTCTTAGCAAGGCGTTGCTACGAAGAACAGTCGCTCCAGCTGGGGCATACCATCAGCTTATCGACGCTATTCAACTTTCCCGTAGGGAAACTCTTGCGAAGCCGTGGTGGTGAACCGAAGTTCAAGGTTGTTGGATTTGAAACTCATACACCAAAAGTGCTCGTCCGGTGGACCAACCACCTAAATGCCCAGCGTTGCACCTTCCGAAGATGTCGACTCGGCGGTCCGCGTAGTCGTGACTCCCGCCCAATCCTCCTACTTTGCGGGGGAGACCTTCTCCGTGACCATAACATTCAGCAATACCCATTCTTCTTCTCCTCCAGAAGCAGGTCCTTCCACTGCCAATTCCCGGCCACAACATAAACGCGGCGCGCACTCTATTAGCTCTGCGCCGCTTGCTAGGCCTCCTACGTCTCCTGGTACCCCACGGATGAGTGCACTTCCACCTCCTTCACGACCGAAACGAGGGGATGATCTGCCAACTAGGAAAGGACTTATTGGGCGGGCTAGGACGCCTCAGAATTCGGAGAATCTGCCTGATTTGATTGAACAACGGAGAAAGAAGTTGTTGGCCAAGTCGTTGTCTGTTTCTATTGCTCCTCTTGAGCTTGAGGAACAATTGGCTGTGGGTACTGTTGCAACTTCAGCGCCTCACTTCCAGCGGTCTTTCAACGACGTGCGGCGTAAGCGCGCCTTTCCTGTTTTCACATGACATTCTTTTCTAATGGGTGATATGCAGCTTCCAATTCTCCTCAAGTTCCGTCACCTCTAGCAAGAACGGATGCACTCTCATTATCCTCAAGCCATCCCCACGCTAGAAAACAATCCATCCTCGACGGCCAATTCTCCCTGGACGTCTTATCACCAACAACATCCGTCCCACCCTTCCCTTACTCGCCCAACTCATCATCATCCTCTTTCTCGCTAGCACTCGATCCCATAGTCGAAGGCGCGCAATCGCCTTACCTCTCCACTCCCCAACTAGCCTCGCCAACAATAGAATCTTTCACACCTGCTCCTCAGATAAACCCAAGGTCCAACGCGGTGTACGCATACCCTTCTACACGACACCGTCCTCCCCCCATAGGCCTTGGCCAGCCCTCAGCCCGTGGGGATGCCGAAGCTGCACGCTCAGCTTCGTTGCCACACTCAAACGTTGAGCTGATTCTGTATTCATATGCCCAGCTAACGGGGACTGTGTCAATCACACCTGGAGCATCATCCACTCCAGAACAACTCCAGACGCTGAATGGAGTCCGGTCGGCTTTGCTCAAGCAGAATGTTATTGGCGGGGGAAGTATGAATATTACGTCGTCATTACACCAACATAATCCTCCCTCGCCGCGGACGCGTCATGGCCGCTCATCGTCTACTAGTTTTCTTTCCATGCTCTCACCGTCGTCCCTCATGCCGTCAGTCACCACCACCCCACCTAACTCCGCTTCTCGTTGGCGGTCTTCCTCAGCATCGGCTCAAATCTCATCAATACCTCCAAGTAACAAATTCTACAACACCAACAGCAATACACGCGGGCTGGGGGTGAGCCTACTAGGCAGCGGTAGTACCGTAGATACTATCACCCCGGAAGGTCCTTTACCAACGTTCCAAGTCCAACCAACCATGTTGGCTGTAGATCTCTCTCTCCAGCCTGGAGAATCACGGAGTTGTGCGTCTCTCTAAACTCTCTTTTTCTTATACCCCAATACCAATACGACGACTTGCTTCTTTTAGATACGTATTCGATAACGCTCCCGGACAACCTACCCCCAACGTTCCGAGGCAAGTCGTTGGCGTTTTCGTATGAGCTTGTGGTGGGGACGTGTAGAGCTGGATCTTCGTCTTCGTCTTCGACTGGGCGAAGTAGTGCCAATAGTGTTAGTCGTGTGATGAAAGTCCCGATAAGGGTGTATAACCACGTTGCAGGTGTGTCTTTTTCCTTTACCCTCTTTCATTTTTGTTGATAGCCTGATAATGAATACAGTGGGTTTGGCACCCAAGCCATATGATATCCTATGGCCCGTGAACAAACGTCTGGACCCACACGCGCCTGCTCCACAAGCCAAGGTGGTGGAATTGGTGGGCAAACCTGTGAATAGCAATAACATGCTTTCCTTCCCTACTAGTCGTGCGTTTTTTCATCTATTTCTATTGAAGTACATGAATGAGGTTGAAAGGCGTTAGTAGCGTCCGCGTCGTCCTTCAAAAATGGATCACTGGAAGAACTGAAAGAATATGCGCAGAGACTCGTAGCGTCTCTTCCTGCTCCACGTTCGAATGGGGATGATCAGGAAAAAGTAGAAGTGCAGTCGGCTTCGGACGGTGTGAATGGGGATCATGTTCATTTCGTAGATCCGGAACGTGTGATGCAGTTGGAGGAGATGAGGAAGAAGGAGACAGAAGCTGAGGGTGGGTTGACGGGATGCAGGGAGGCGGTTGAGATTTTGACGAGGAATCCTAAGAAGGGTAGGTTGTTCTGTCCACTTGATGATGAGCTTGAAAACTGATTTTGTGTGTAGCTTCGTATGATGTGAATAAGGATGGTGTCAAGGTGGCCGTTCTGACATTCACAAAGTGTGCCTTCCGCCTTGGCGAAACTGTGTGTGGTGTTGTAGAGCTGAATGATCGTATGGGTCGTGCTAGGGTGCTTCAGGTATGACTTTTCTTCCCCTCATACGCGTCTTTTATCATGCTTTCCTCTTCAGCTCTCCGCAATCCTAGAAGCTCACGAGACCCTTCCATCAACCATCTCATCACCCTCAACAGCACGACACCTCCGACGCGTCCACGCAGAACACTACTCCTCCTTCACACTCAACACCCTCCGCACCACCTTCTGCCTCGACATCCCATCCGACGCCAGCCCCGCTTTTCAGATCCGCATAGGCACTTCTTCGTCGCAAGCATGCGGAGGGCTGGAGTGGAAAGTCCGTCTTTGTCTCCTCGTAGCCGTCGCCGCTGAGACGTCGCATCCCGGAACGGAGGGCGTGAGGATGAAGACGCTCGTTAGGGTCGGACCGAGGGGCGAGTGGGGCTCCTCGTGGAGGGCTCCGGACCATGTTGCGCCTTTGGAGAAACCTGATCGTGCAGCGCTACTGGAACAGCAGCAGCAGAGGACGAAGAGCTGGGCCGAGTTCCTTGCTTCTCCCTTACTTTTGTTGAGTACGTCAAACAATAGTGAGAGGGAGTATCATGATGGAGATGAATTTGTAGTAGATGGGGAGGAAGGGGGAGGAGGAGAGGGCGGGTATGATGGGATCAAACCTGACCTTGCGGGTGGCGTGGGCGTTGGTGTTGATTATGGGGGTGGGGAAGAGGGGTGGAGGGAGGTGAAGCTTGAGACTGTTGAGTGCGAGGTTCCGATCAAGGTGTGGCCTGGTAATACGGCGTTTAAGGCTATGGATGTGGTTTTTGATGTTTGAATAGAGGAGTGGTTAGTTTTGCTCTTAGAAATTCGAATGGAGTGGGGGTGGATTTGGACTTGTACTGCTTCGAGTCACTTGTATTGATAACTTTATTTGCTTTCGTGATTATTAGAGCTTCCCCCTCCGCTGGCCAGGGTAGTCAAATGATGACATGGGAACCGTATCCGAAATTCCAAAAATACACAGTAAAGGAAAGCGTAATGACAGTCTAAGAAATGGTATATCAGTGGTATAAGTCCGTGGTATGTATGTAGCCGCAAAGTTGAAAGTGTTGGGTAATCTATTGCATTTTCGCAGAGAGCCCGCTCCCTAGAGTTCTCTCTTCTCTCTCAAGGTAATCTCTTTGCAGATCGTCGAATCCACGGAAGGTAGCTTCACCGCAGAGTGATCTTACAATGTCTGCCATTTCGTCGAGGCGCTGTAGAGTAGAGTTGTGTGAGTGAATGTATTGAATGGGAGTGGTGGAAGCATACAGAGATGAGACTTGATAGTGCCACGACAGCTATGATCAGGTTTCATCAGATTAAGGATACCCGCGCAGAAACCATTGTGTGATTACATACCAGTTGAATGAACAGCCAGTTGATCGTCCTACAAGTGGTCGAATGAGCACAACATGTTACGCCCAGAAGTGTATCGCTCACCAATAACACGTCCAATGACAACTCCTCAAATCCAATGGTTGACCCATCGACTCTACCAGCCGTGAACTCCAAAGTATCGTCCTCGGATATACTGGCTTCTGAGTCTTTGTCAGCATCACGGCGCACTTTATCAGCAAAGGTCCCCAAGGCTAGCGTTTTCATGCCCGACTGCCGTTCGTAGAATATCAGACGCTCTCTGAGTTTGGGCATGAATGCGGGGAGGGGGTGTGCGTTTGTCAGTGCGCCAGAGAGAATAGAGAGGACCGAAAAGACGTCTGAGAGCTGAAGAGGAGTTAGTCACGTTCTTTCTAAGTCGGTTACAGAGAACTGACAAAGTTTGGATTGAGGAATGGCGTCTACGAGAAAGACGGTCAAAATTGTGGAAGTGCGCCGTCAGGATTACACGTACCCGGTTGACAAGTATCCTACACCATTTGATATCAAGCTTCGAGAACGCAGTGATCAAGATAACCAGAGAAGTGAGGGCCCGTGTCCTGGTGGGTACTATGAGAAACCATAGCAAGAAAACTACACTTTAACTCACTGTACTTTGTAGAGCTGTTGGTATTGTTCTTGAGGCCATAAACCCCTGCGTAAACGTTAGTCGACTCCTTTTGAGCTGAGCTGCAGAACACTTGCTGAAGTTGGGGCTCAAACTTGGCGGTTTGAAGACTTGGGGCAACCTTTTCCAAGCGTTCCTGGTCGTATCACATCAACTCCCTTGCTGAAAGCCGACTAGAAAGCGCTACCACACACCAACACGTTGATTACCCTCTTGGCGATCACCCGCACACGTTTCTCCTTGGTGCATTCCGATTCGTCTTCAACTTTTTTATCCGCAAACTCTGTCTTCTCGACATTGGCAGTCCTCGCCTTTGCTTCCTCCGTCAAGAAAGTTTCCACCTCTCCCGCGAATAGTTTCCCAATCTCTGCAGCAGTTGCTCCAAAGGTTTTGCGGACCAAGACACGAGTCGATACGGGAAATGGCAAAAGCATAACAACGAACTAGAACGAAGAGGATTAGTGATGCTAGAACTTGATGATCGACATGTAACGTACCGCTGCTGTGAATCCAATAATGACGAGCAAGCTGTCAGAAAGTATTAGTAAGTAGTAAGTAAAGTCGACCAACACATCAAAGTGAAGTGAACTAACGCTCTCTTCCACCCCAGAGAGACACCAACACCATAATTTACAAGCACTACTTCATTTGAGTTCATCCAACTGTAGCCCGTAACTATGATCGAGTAAGAACTTTCTTTGCATAGAAAGCAAAGGGTGCCTTACTCAATACAATTGTTACTCCCGTTATAGCCCAAAGTACCGTTTGAGCTCGAGGAGCGGCAATTCGACCGAGGAGGAATGGAGCGATGAAAACAACCTGTTGGATGATTGTATTTTTGGGATGTAGAACGGGAAATCAGGGCTGCTAACTGATGCAATGACCACTCCGTATGGGTTGCCATGTCCGCGTCCAGCAGCGATGTACCAAGCAACCATGCCAACTGCGTACAACCGCATTCAGCACTAAAGCACAGGGTTACAACATGTAAGGAACGCACAAAGTAAACCCAGAATGGTGCCCGTGATACGGTTCAAAAAGTCGGCGATCTATGCCATAGTCAGAAAAGAGGAGCGCAGAGTACAGGATGGGCTCTCACTTGATCACCAACGTACACCCCCAGGCCAGTCTACATCATTTTTAGACAAACAAGGTGCGAAATTGTTGGAACATACCTGAGCCATGATCAACGCCCACAGACCTCGGTTTTCATAATAAAACCAAGCACTTGTGTGACAAACCGATGGGATCCAAAGAGCAACTGACACGATTGCCAGCCGAAGAGCAAATATACCCTCGGCCGATTTAAGGAACCGGAAGAAGCTGCCAAGTCGGACAAAGAACCTTCCGAATACCGTCGTTGGAGGGAGGGCATCGGGATTCCTGCCTACAATGTCATTCACGCAGTTGATCGTTATGCCCCACGGATAATGGAGATGGACGTACGAGCTTCATTTCCATTCCGATTTTCCTTCTTGGGTTCCTTCTTTTCGGGCTCCCGCTGTTTCTCAGGCTGTTGCTCTACTTCATCATCTGAATCCGACTCCTCCTGCGCATCAGAATCTTCAAAAAAGGTTGGATCAGATGTCGCTCCCATGGCCATGATACCTTGAGCTCCTTCAACCTTGGTCCCTCTGATCTTGAGAGCGATCTGATTCAGACTGCCTGGCATCCACAATCGGGGTTTTGGCCGTTGCGTATCTAAATCCACAACACATTTCAGAACCTTCATTATATGCTCAGCGAAGGCCTCAATAGCCTCAGTGAAGACGAAGCAGATAAACAGGGATCTATGGTAAGTACATCAGTGATTGTCACTGTCGAGGATCCAGGTGCATACCTGGCCGAAAACATCTCGGGACTGTTCAGCTCATGGATCAACTTCTTTGTTACCGGGTCGAAAAACTTTTCATAGGGCTTCAGCAGCTTGATGCGCTGCACGTTCCTGAAGTCATCCAAAGCAGTCTCCACCAGCCGTCGTTGTTCCTCCAAGCCCGCGCTTCTTGCTTCTACATGGGTTTGATCGAGCTTTGTGAAGAATGCGGTCCATCTACCGGTATTGCAAGCTTTAAACCAGTCCATGGCAGCTCGCGTTGCAGATTCGCATGCAGACCGTAGATTTTCAGATGATGACGAAAGAATAGGTATAAGAGTGTCCAGGTCATTGCCATGGCGGGCCTCGCGTTCCTGAATCTGCCGCCGGAGAGTGGAAAATCGATCAACAGTCCTCGGCGTCTGGTCACCGCGGCGAGCTCTGGCTTCTACTTCCTTTTCTTCCTTCTCATCGCCAAGGTTGATATCATTGACGAGGACTTGGAAGGAATGAAGACCTGCTGCGCGAAACATGAGAGATTTGAGCTCTGCATTGGCCTTCTTGAGATCTTTAGGCCCAAGTCTGCCAATTGAGAACTCAAGATCAATGGTCCCAATCTGGATCAACAGAGACTGGGTCCCACGAATAAGAGCCTCTCTAAATCCGTTCGCCCTTGCAGTCGCCCTTGCCCAAGCTGCGCGGTCCGATGGACGTGAGTTCAGGACTTCGTTTTGGAGCAAGAGAAGCTCCAGCGTAGGTGTGAAAAAGTCTCTCTCCAGTATTGTACTGCGATCAATGTAAGCCCGTTGTTTCTTGAAGGGTAAGATACGTACAGCCAGACATGATTCAAACTTTCCGGGAAAACAAACACAAGGCACGCGATGGCGATGGCAACATAGTAGGTCGTTGGGATCAAGAATGTTTTGGCAATGGTATATTGTGGAGTTGGAAACGCTGTACGCCGTAAGGTCATGGTCACTGTACAGGAATAAGGTCCTCACAAGGTCCATAAGTGCAGATCTAGTGAGAGTCAATAAGTGGGGGAGTGTGGAACCAAGATACGTACGATATCCAAAACAATGCAGCCAAAGACACTCAAGAGTGCAAGATTGGGAATGAATGCACGCAGGACACCCATAAAAAATGTGCCAATGAAGAAGAAAATTCCATACACCGCAGAAGAGCTAAAAATGAGCTATTAGACACAAGTTGCGAAATCGCAATGCAAGACGTACCGTGGGTCAAGAAAGACGCCACTAAAAACACCCTTCTGAATCTGTAATGCAGGAGATATTCCGGCCACGAGGCTAATGGAGTTTTTTTTAGCACGGGAACGTGTTGCTTCCAAGACGCTTACGAGGACTGCAGCTTCCTCTGCTGCTGCACTATCAACGCCTGATTTCTGACCGACGCGGATGCCGCCATGGCGGCAGCACCCCAAGCCCAACCAACCAACATCCCTGGCCTAAGGGTCAGCCACATAAAACCTAAGACAAACGCTCAAAACATACCTATCATGAGAGTAAGCGCCGCAACCACGAACAATGAAAGTGGAAGCGAAGGTGGTAACATGACACAAATGATCCTATCTGCACGTCAGCCGCGTAATGTTAGAGGCCCAAAAAACGCACGCAGCAAAGAAAGAAGCCTGCCCCATGTTTAGCGAAGTTTTCTTGTCCACCATCAGCACAAGAGTGGCGGTCAGTGCAACACAACATCTGAACCAGGTTTTCATCGTTCGCCGTGACTTGAAAGCAGGTACGATCCATGAGAAAACCCCCGGTTGGGGTTTCTCCAGAAACTCGTCTGCCTGTTCCGACATCGCGTAGGGTGGTGGGTGTTGTGGAGATGGTAGGATGCAAAGCAACCTCAGGTAAACATATATCGGCCACGTGCAATTCGCTTTGAACGTCGTCGGCCCGGTGATTGGTGGTTGGCGTCAATCAGAGGGCTGCTTCGGGGACCGATTTGTTCTCAAGAAGCTGAAGAATCAGCATTCTCAAAGCCCGTGATAAGATTACAGAGGTGATAAGCCTTCGGCCCCCCTCGAAGAGACTTGGATGATTTCCAGATTCGGGATTGAAAAAGCGAAATTCACTAGAGAAAAACTTGAGCATTTCCGAGACTGTAGATGAAGAATGCGATCATACAAAGGTGCCAATCCGACTTGATGTTTCGACCACCTGTTAAACATAGAATTAGTCTGAGTTCCCCATGTAAATTCATGATAAAGTTGCAAATGATCATGTTTGATCGCATTAAATTTGCGGCATTTTCACCTGCCCACAACGTCGTCACCGCGGTCACGTGTGCTAACAACACGTCGCGTCACAATCTGGTCACAGTTCATTAGACGCATACATTTCGTCACCAAGCACGGTCTGTTCAGGTTTGGACGCGTCTCTCACCAGCATTTTCTTCGGTTGGATTAACCATTTTTAACACGTTTCTTTCAAGGTGTTCAAAACCTGCTGTTGAGACAGGTTGTCCTCATTAGAACACGTGCTGTGCTCGATTATGCGCACGTGATCTCCTTCCAAAACGATTTTCACCCCAGTTCTCGTTGCCCTTAGCATTTCTGTCAAAGAATCTCAAGGATTCACTACCCGGTGCCACACGAATTTTTATCTTACGATCACTGACACCATGGAGGACTTGTTCAGCAGCCTCCCATAGTGAGTGGACTTTTCTTACGAAACCATTCGGGCTATTTACATTAGCACCCTTTCGCTCAGTTTCAATCCAATGATGATGGTCAACACCTCAGGGACATGTGCAACAACTAGGCTCATACAATGTCGTGACTTGGGAGTCTACACGAACGATGTCTCGCGGAAGTTCCAGCGGTCACCCGAGGACGCCCCAGATCTCTCTCGCGATGACTTTCTCGCACGTAAAAAGATTATCAACCAGGTCAGCAGATACTGTGCTGATAGGGCGAGAGAGACAAAGTCGGAATACGAGGATCAATACGTTCCCATTTTGTATCTGTATGAGGTAAGCTCTCAAAGCTATTCAACGCCATTCCAAGCTAAGTAAGCGGCATGATCATCAGCTAGTGAAGGCATCTGCAAAACGCGAGGTACGCTGCAGTAATGGATTACAAGGCAGAATCTCCTAATACTTGAGCAGAGAGACTGGGGACATCTCGTCTTCACTGATATGACAACCACTCGATTCCTGGTGGTGATGATCTTTCCACCCACTTGCAGTAAGCAGCTCTTGCGATCATGTCCATGGCCCTAATGTCGTCTTGTAGACTGCGGAAACTTTTCGCATCACGACTACGATGCTCTCACTAAATACCAAGCCGATCGGTTCTTTTCTCTTCTGACATATCTTCACCACAAAGAGGGAAAGCCTAACTGGTACTTCGTTTCTAACATTTCATGCGTTCAATCTTTTCATGAGCTTAGGGTTCGCGCAACTTACACGACGTCAAAGCATGGCTACGCCATTGACTCGGTTTTCCTCAATGGCAAGGAAGCACCAACACCCTCTCAGATAAAGGGTCGAAAAGCAGCCAAGCTGCCCCCCATCTTCCATGTCACTCCCGAGACATTCGTTCCCTCACTTCTCCCAGGCGAGGTTGAGAAAATTGACAACCTCCTGGCGCAGCGTGGGGAGAAGGAACCTGCCCCACAAAGCGTGCGCGATGAGGTTTTGGGCACAAAGGAAGTGAGGCCCGAGGTCAGTTCAACCTGGAAGGCAAAGCATGGCAGACAATGCGCGTATTGTCAAGAATTCCAGGAAGAAGGTCTGATGCTGTGCGCCAAGTACGTAAAGTATTTTGTCCTCCATTCAGCCATCAGCGCTGATCAGCCATCATAATTTTGGTTGCTTTTTTCAGGTGCAAGCTTGTGTATTACTGTTCGAAAGATTGGTAAGTAAGAGGAACACAATTGAATCTGACTCAGGGAACTAATGATGGTTTTGACTTAGCCAACGCTACGCCTGGCCGACACACAAGCGAATTTGTAAGAAATTGGAAGGCACCCAGCCCGCACCCGAAACTAGCTGAGGGTTAAATGTTAAGCCCTCCCTGGGCCTGAACGTGTCTTACTCTGCATGTTTAGGGAAATTTGAACGACCACTGATTATTAAACCCTTCACGCCCGTTTCAGACGGGCTACATAATTGTAGTACATATCTAAATGTGGATAGGTACACTAGAACAAGTCATGTTGGAAAATCAAAAACCAGCATTGCTCATCCGAGGTCATCGGACAAAATTAAAGTGCATTGATCGCCTCCTTGATCGAATTTACTTGAAAGTCTAGAGGAAAAGATAAGCCAAAATTACTTATAAATTCCAATCTCACCTGTTAAAACACAAGTAGACGAGTATGCTTGCATTGCTGGAAGGGCACGCTGCACAACTCGTAAAAGACGTTCTTCTAGTCTTGAAGACGAGCCGGCGGGGTCTGCATAACCACGGGAGGCCCGCAAGATAGATACTTCGGTCGTGATGACATTACTAGCTTTGACCCAAATGAACTGACGCTTTGAAATCAACGGTTGCACCTCTGAAGCATATCCCGCGACTTACGCCAATTACCGGATTTATATAGCCTAAATTTCGAGGCTTTATCGAAGTAACTATTTCCAGGATAGACTGGGCGGCATTCAGACGCTTCTGCTTTGAGACTTCATTTCCGGGTGGGACGGCGTCATGTAGACAGATAGTGGAAATATGAAGCAGACTCAGAGCAAAGACGAGTCTGCGAACGTTGGCAGGATGCGGCACAGCCGAAATTCGATCCGTTGGGGGTAGCGATGCGATCAACCTCTCGATGAGGAGATCTAAAGAATTGAATGTGCCACGGAGAGTAGTCGCCTCTTGCTGCGGGATACCTATTTGGAGATGGATCGAATTGTCCATGATGAACAGAGGGCTGTAAATCCCTTACCGGTCTTGCAAGTGCGGCAAAAATCAGCCACGCTTTCCCATAAAATAACCGCCTTCGCATGAACGGCTTGCTTTGATGACCCTACATCTGAAGTCGGAATGTTGCTCAAAAATTTATGTAAGGTTTGAGACGTCTGTTGCGGGACAAACCGGCCCTGACAACAGAATGTAAAGGGAATTGAATATAATTTGAGGGTCATCGAACCTGTTCGTAATCCTCCATGTCGAGAGGCCATGGGATGTCAATTTGTGTATCGTGTTTACCATTGAGCGTGAACAGATTCGGCGTCTCATCGAGGGCCACCGCCCAAGCTTTGTCCAAGGCAAGAACTGTCCAAATTCCTATTATTCTCTCCGCCTCCTCAACAGCATCACGGGCTGGCAAAATCATGAGGGCTGTGTTGGAGGTACTCCGGGCGGGAGGTAACCTGTGTAGCCCTGCAGCGAGCATTGTCGAGACTGCTGATGTCACATAATACTTTCCCTCCGAAAAGCGCGCTTTGAAGAAAAAATAGTACGCGAGCAAAACATCTGCTTGAACTCCCTCAATAATTTTCCTAGGGTGATTTCCGGATAAATTTACTGCGATCTCTTGTGCAGCGCGGTTCAAATAAGCTGATTCATGCGCCATGAGCGACGCATCGCGGGAAAGATTGGCTCCCCACAAGTATACGGCAAATGAGAGTGCCGGAGAAGGGCGGGAGGGATGCCCAGGCGGGAAGGTGGTCATCGAATGGCGAAAGCGAGGAACGTTCAAGAAAAAACCGAACTCCGAAGAATGTAGAAGAAAGCAATCCAATCTTTGAAAACAATTTTGTCAGAAAAAGAATGATATGAAATGAAAGACCGACAGCTTTTCGATGACCTGCTTCGAAGGTTCTCGTGCGAAGGACTGTGAGGCATTCCGCTGGAACGCAAGACCCCCGGGCGGCGACTGGTTAGCCGCGTAGGACGACGGTACAGCCGCCGGGGTCGTGGACATCTGGGGGTCCTGGAGCTGTTGAATGCGAGCCTCGAGAACGGCGATGCTATCTTCTAGAATTTGTGCCATAGAGCGTTCATGTCCAGATATATATTCACAGTCATCAGGTCTATCTGCTCGTTGGCATCGACCACAAATTGGACGAGCACCATCACATTTCTAAGAAGGTAAAACGTCAATGACCGACTTCGACCAGGCGACGTGATATGAAGCCTACCATTTTCCTTCGACGACAGTTAATACATGCATCTCCTCTGCGAAGACTGGAACGTTCAGAAGGCGGTTGCGAACTCATTCTTGGATGGAAATGATGGTTTGAATTCCTATCCCTTTATACAACCGATTTTCCACAAACTAAGTGAGATTCCCATTTGTCGTCCAATTATATCTTCAGGCAAGAATGTGCTGGAAATTGTCTCTCGGAGTAACATTTACCGGAGCGCTTGCATTGAATTTACATGTGGACAATCACTGGAGTCTCAATGGTTGACCGCCTTGGGCCAAGTTATGCCGCCAGGTACAACGTTTCACCATTGACATAATATATCCCTCCGATCTTTTCAAGTCAGATGTTATCTCTGGCGTCGGATGGTAATATAACGACCTATACATTATTTTTTCAGGTCGTAAGTCAGCAGCACCGAGGTCGTAGCTCATATCAGGGCCCACCTAAGCCGGACAGTGAGCCTGAGGTGTTTTAGGTGTACCATAGCTGATTCATGTCACCGGAGGGATTTCAGAGCGACAATTGAATGTTGACGCGCATATCCTAGACGATTGAAAGTCCTCCGAAAATCGCAAGTTTGCCGCCACTTTTTTGCCTTGCAAGTGAGGAGTAAAGTTGAAGTTGTTCTGTCTGTCGTTATTTGTCAGTATTATTGTCAATGTAACAATGTAAACAAGGCAGTGACGGATCGATCAGTGATGGCGTCCAAAAACCCGTGCCCTTCACGACGATTTGCGGTTCAGTCAGCTCTATGATTGGCTACTTATGCGAGTATGTCGCTCAGTGCGCTGCGCAGGAGCCTTGCTTAAAGACGGTCAGTCATGTAGTATCCGCATAAGTCTTTTTTGATGATTCTTATTGGGGAGAATAGAGTCTAGACATGCAGAAACTTTCGTAACGATGACTGCCCGAGTTGATAAATGGCTGAGACTCTAAATGGCTTGAGAGTACCGACCAGCAGATGCAGACCTGTCACCTCTGAGTCGTATCTATCATCGCACTGGGCTTGTTATCTTGTTCTACGAGTCCTTGACTTCGTGAGTTCCACCAACGGCATTATCCGAACTCGTGCCCTTTATTGGCCAAACTCCGCTACTTGCAGAACAAAGACCTTTATTTTGAGGACTCCGAGTTGCTGTCGAGCTCCCACCTGTTACGGTTCTTCTGCGACGACGTCTCTGGAGAATAAAGGCCTCGCTGTCAGAGTGTCACCACGTTACCTTTACGGCCTGTCAAACTGTCACTGGGCTTTGGTTAATAAAGGATTGCTACCAATCGCCAGCTTTCTACAGCAATGGACAACTTCGCTCAATTTTCCTTGACGGAAGCAACAGTTTATCGGTTTGCTCCTGGCCCCAGACGGCTCAAAGAGAGTCTGCCCTCCCAAGACAGTGCTGATGAATCCGAGTCCGGGAGACTCGTTCGTAATGTATGTGTTTCTTTGTTAGTAAATGTCGTTTTGACGAACCCATCGTAGCGACCCTTGAAAGAGAGAGCATCCTCTATAACTGACAAAGATAAGGTCACGAAGGGACCCCAAGGACCCCCCATTCCCTCCAGATCCGTCATCTGGGATAAACTACCTGCATTCTTTACGGATAACCCAGTGAACATCCCACCGATTGTTCACCATGGATCGGTAGCTATCTTTGAGAATGGGACTCGCCTGAAATGGTATCAATCTCTCGACCTTGCCCGGTTATGCAATCGAGAGAAAGGTGAAATGGTTTGCGATGGTAATGTCTATAATAACACTGGGTTTATTTTGGGATACGAGATGGGGTATGTACACTACCCTCTTTATTCTCCGTTTTGCTTACGCTGTTCAAAGATACGGAAAGACCCCGACGGCACTGGCATTGATATGCTGCAATCCCGCGAAACCCAATAGGACGGAATCTCGATCAACGCTGTAAGTAGTGCTTCTCCATGTCTAGCTACGCTGATTCGTCACTTCAGAGTTCTTTGCCCGAATCAAGGGATCATGAAGCACTGGTCTTCGGAAGCTAAGAAGTTTGCTCCGAAACTCAAGGTGTGCTATTATGACTCTATTTCTACGACTTTTGGTGAGCTTTCGTCCATGTGACAATGCCAGCGCCTGACATATTTTTTATTTAGATGAAAAGGCGGATATCATTGTAATACACTTTTTCAGCCAAGAAAAACAGCTCGCTCAATCATTTGTAGCTTGCGACTTTTAGTCAACTTCGCAATCAGCATCGTATTGTCTCAAAAGATCCAAGCCACAAGGCGAAGACGCCGTTATACAACAGGCGCTTTTATCGCGTAATTGTAGGTACGTGATGAAGTTGACTTGACTTTTTAAGTTCAAGATTCTTTGAGTTTCCAACAGCTAATTCATGACCTAGATGAGGCACATTTCGGTCGGGATCCATTCACAAAGTTAGCGGCAGCCCTGTGGGCATTGCAAAAAGACCATGGCTTATGTCTGTCTGGTACTCCAGCTCAGGTTTGCCTCTAAAACTCCCAAAACACCTGCGATCCCAAGTTGACTTTATTACTTACAGAACTCTCCTTTCGATTTATTCACTTTGCTTGTCTTTCTAAACGTAACATATCTGGAAATCAACCGCTTGGACATTTTCCAGCGTCGAATTTATTCCCGGCGCCAGAAAGGACCAATCAAGGATCCGGGGGCCCGGAAAACCCTTGATGTTGGTATACCTCCCGTTTTTTTCAGTGCGATAAGGCCCTTACTGGTTATTTAGACCATTATGAAAGACTTTTGTATCGTTCGGGACAAAATCAACCCCGAAACCGGAAGACCAATAATTTCTTTGCCGAGCAAGACTGAGAAACTTGTCAGCATCACACTCACACATCACGAAAGACTGGTATATGAACATGTTCGAGCGATGTCCTTTTCTTGTTATCTGAGCAAGTTGATGCGGCTTCGACAAGGTATTCATTCCATGGCGGTCCGCATCCTTTATCTTATAATGCTTTGATCAAGCATGCGACCACGCCGTCCTTCTTACTGAGGCATTATCTATCGAAAGCCCCGTGACTGAAGAGGATACAACTGCAGACCTGCATCCCAAGTTAGATTTCTGCTGTTGGCCTGATTCGACAATTCAATGATATTTTCTACAGACTCGAGGACGGCAGGTCATCCAAAGCCATCTCTATCAGATCTCTGCCTCCAGACCTTCATAGTTCAAGAAGACTTTTCAAGGACACATACCTATCATCCAAGCTGTCTGCCGCTCTCACAATTTTGAAGAATCGTACCCCAGGCGAAAAGACTATCATTTTCGTCAGTACTCTCTGCTAGATCGACCACCCCTTCGTCTTATGCATGTGTTAGATTCACTTTACCAGCCTCATTCCCTCGCTAACAAATGCTCTTTTGAATGCGCGGTTATCCTGGGCAGAATGTACTACAAGTTCACTGCCCTCTCTCGTCCAAACTAACTGCAGCCCGTTGTAGATACTGGGGACATGACAGCGAAGGAGCGCAATGCTTCCTTGGACCAAATCTCGCAAGACAAGGAATGCACCGTTATGATTGTGTCGATAACGGCGGGCGGTGTAGGTGAATCGTCCTCAGTCTTTTCTTAATTTGGGCTTTCCCTGAACACCCCCGTTGCAGGTCTGAACATCACAGCTTGTAGCAGCGTGATATTCATGGAACCCTGGTGGAATCCCTACCTTGAAGTAAGTTGTCTCGGAGATCAAGGAGAAAACAGCGCCTGATGTCTGCCTTCCAGGAACAAGCGATTTGTCGGGTATATCGCATAGGTCAGATGAATCCCGTCACTGTTCACCGCCTGGTCGTGAGAGATTCGGTCGAAGAAGCGATTGTAAAGGCTAGTGTCATTGAAGCAGCTTCCGGCTTTACAAACACTTACACCACGTCGATAGACTCAAAGTCTGAAGCGGGAAACTATGGGTCAACTGTATAGCGGTTGCTCTGTTCCTGACAGTGTGACTGTGCAGCGTTGGCTTACTGAGTAGCGAAAGGCGCGATTCTGTCTTTGAATGTGCGACACTCCTGCTTAGTAGCAGATATCCTACCAGACGGATGTACTATGGTGTTAAATACCGCTACACCCGTTGTCTGTCCTCTCTCCATTCCACTGGCAGAACTAATGTTGTAATTGATATTGTAATTCCCAGATGTACATCTATTTTGGAAAGAGCGACAATTGTCAAGCGATGATATGAGCGTCCCCTTCATGGGTTTGCAGAGCAGCCCGGTCAAGGAACGCTTCAATGGTCTCCCGCTTTTTGTTCTGAATCTAATCAATGCGTTTCCAGTCAAAAACACATGTTGATAAGCAGAAAGTAATTACCTCAACAATCCGTTCTTCAATAGTGTTCCTTGCTAATATTCGGTACACATGAACATCCTTCGACTGTCCGATGCGATGGGCACGTGAGATGGCTTGCTCCTGCCGGCACAAAAGTTCCCTTCATGTGGTTTGGAGAGGTAAAGGTGAATGGTCCTCACCTCAACGTAAGGGTTCCACCAGGGATCCATAATAATAACATGGTTACAAGCCGTGATGTTCAACCCTGCTTTACCATCAGAGCTGAGAGATCAACTATCTTGACGAAAAACTCGCCTGTGCCTCCTGCTTTGATGGAGATCAATATGACCTGGCATTGTGTATCTTGAGAGATCCGCTTCAAAGCCATTTGTCGTTGGGCCGAGGACAAGGCGCCAGTGTCTGCCAGCCTCCTTAGAAAGTCTGTCAAGAATAAATGATTGGAAACGTACAACTAGTAAAGCCGGTATGTCGCTCAGCGAGCGCATCGCCGATCAGAGATAAGAGGGACACGAAGCTTGACTACACAGGACTTATTAGCGGATGAGTGTGAATTCGGAGGAAGAAGACGACGCACGAAGATGATTGTCTTTTCACCCCGAGCCCTGACGTCATGCACAATCTTCAAAACTTGAATCATTTTAGTTGATTTGTACTGATCGACGAAGATGTCTGCGACGGGTTGCAACTCCTTGGGAAGAAGTTGAACGTTCAGAACATAGTCTTGTGTTTCTTCGGCAGCTTTCGAAGGTAAGGTAGTGGCTTCCAGAGCGTCATCACACTCATCGTCCCTGGTTGTATGATCCATCAGTAAGCCGGTTTTCTAAGAAGAGGGAGGCGTACTCAAGTGGAACGTCATCAATTTCCAGGTAGCTCGCGGTGGCTGCGGCTAAGTCAACACTTTTTGGTTTCATTGTTGCGAGAAGCTTCCTCTCCTGTTCAGTCAGTGGCTTTAATAGGAGTCTTGGATCGAGGCATGCTATGAACCAAATCTCGTCAGAGAAAGTCACCTTAGACTTGGGCTGGACCTCACATTGACGCTGGCGCAACATTATCACAAAACCAAACAGAGGAAGGTCTGACATGTAATCGTACAGGACTTGCTCTTTGGCTGTCAGATCGACGATGATGATGTGATCCGGTTGTCTTGTGCTCAGTTCGATTAACTGACTCGAAAGGCCAGGCAGTGAAAGTGGCCTGTAAATCATAGCACCCCTTATTGCACCCTGAGACCAGAGTATGTCAATGAAAACTGTTGTCTTGTATGAAACGAACGTACGCACCAGCAAGCAATTATGCGCTAATATCCTGTTGGCCCGAGCGAGTGGTGCTGTAACTAGCCTGTCAAACACCTCAATGTTGTCCATACCCATATATCTGACGCCAATCAGTTGTAATTGTGGCTGAATATCACGTTCCTTATTCTGTTGAAAGGTCTCGACGAAGGGAAGGGACGTCAGTTAGGAGGAGGCGCACCTGCATTGGTGTACCAGTGAGCACCAGAACAAACAGCGCTCGCATAGTTATCATGGCAATGGCACCTTTGCAGTCTGGGTTTCGTATATGCTGAGATTCATCTATGCAAAAAGATTAACAGATGTTTAACGGAGAATCGTTCACTTACCCAGAACAAGTCGGTACCAGTGAATAACGAGCAACGGTGCAGTCTCCCAGAGAATGCTGATATCATCCTCAGTCAGTTTATAGTTAGCCGGGGGCCGCCCATCCTCTGGAAGTTCAAACCCGATGTCCTTTAAGTGTCGTAGGAAAACTTTGAACTGATGTACAACTTGATGAAGGGTACAAAGCTTTGTAGCGACATATTAGCCTCGCGCGCTTGGGATAAAGAACAGGAAAGTGACCTACTATCACATCAGCAGCGCCTCGTGGAAAATCAGTAACTTGTGTCAATCGGAGCAGAAAAGAGCATACGCATTGTCTTTCCTGGCCCGTGATAAATGTGTACGCCTAACTTTCCGCAGGACAATGAATCGAGGTGGTCTCTCCAGTGATACAGAAGACCTTCCGTGGGACATACAACTCTACACAGGTTGGTAAGTCCAAAGCGAGGATACATAGGGGATTACACTCACAAAGTAGTCGGAGTGATACCCTCTTCCGAAAGGGTTTTTGGTGGAGGATTATCAATGATCAAACCGACCGTCACGACGGTCTTCCCAAGACTATGCGCAGCAATCAGCAGGTGGCGGAAAGCAGACCTCAGGATTGCTTACCCCATATAATAAGCTAGTATATATCCTTTGGGAATGGATGGATCAGATCGGCTCTCAAGTTCTCGTTGCTTCAGTTTTATCAAGTCTAATGCTTGATACGTCTTTAGCTTCGTCATTCTATCGTCCCGAAAATAGACATCATGACCCCTTCGTAAGAGCTCAGGCAGAGTAGACGTCAGTGAAAGAATAGCATGATGCTTTGCTAAGGATGTCGAGGACGTAACGCGACGTTGGGTCTGAAAGTAAGGCAGCGTGAAAAAAAAAAGCAGTCACTCAAAGAACAAAAACGTACTGGTGACAAAGTAGCGCCCGTGCTTGCCCGTGGAGTCCTGGTCGAGCTTGTTTTTGATTTTGAATCTGGCGTCTTGTGAGCGGAATCTCTCTGTCGAGTCTGTGACAATTTTCAAATAAAGTTGAGATATCAGGGATGTAAATTCCTACAGGTGTAGACGGTGTTGATGGGGAAGCTTTCGTGCTGCGAAACTCACTTGCCTCACGCTTCACCGAGACTGAGGGTGTGCGTTGGCCCGTCAAAGGTGATCTCACTGGAGTGGCGTTGACGGTTGGTTTCGGCTTCCGAGCCTATGGTACACGCAGATTAAGTAGGGAAGAAAGATGAAGGTCCTGAATAGCTGACAGGTGTAGATGGGGTGGATTTGGGGCTAAATGGCCCGTCATCTTCGAGCTTCATGAAAGCCACATGGGCCGCCAAGTCAAATGGACGGAATTCATCGTCCGGGGAAGTTTCCCGTTTCAATGGTGTGTTGGAGCTAAGGGCGCGCCCCCGTTGTTCGAGTCGCACCTTTGTACTGCTGGGAGATTTTCGGACTTCCGATGCAGAACTCTTGATTTCACAAAGGCCATCGAACACCTTGAAGACGCGTCAAATTGAGTTTCTTTGGAGTTTCTTAGATGTAAGTTGCCTACTCTCAAATCAGGTGGAATTATGGGGTAGATCTGGAAGATTATTATCAGTCAAGGCTTTATTGGAACAACTCAGACACGTACTGAGTGAGGGGACGCATCAAGAATTGGAGGGGTTGTGGAGCCAAAAAGGTTGAGATGAAATCCAGAGAACATGGAGTCTGGTGGAGAGGCACGCCAAAGGATGAGCGCTGCAATTTATAGGATCCATAAATTGGGCACTGACCCCTTCATATATAATAAACAAAGAGGAACCGGCTTGCCACCCCCTGGGCCACACTATTGTGACCTGTGGGGGGATTGTTCAAGTCGATGATCAGGTAGCGCAACCAGAAGTACGTCTCGGCATTGTTGATGGAAATCGAAAGTTTGCCTTGACTGGTCGAGCTTCCTTGGACTTTAAATCCGGATAACATGGAAGCCGTCAGAATGGATGTGAGTGATATCGACGAGTCATGATCACAGTTGGGTCAGCTGCTCGCATTCGTCGAAGTCTGGTCGCAGTCGTTGAAGGTCATTATTCCCGGACAACTAGCAATTGGATATGTTATAAATTGAAAAGTTCCGACTCGAAGCGTACTCACGACGGATGCTGAGTGAACGTGTGGGATTTCTTTTTGCGAGGAAGTTCTAATATCAGCTTCGTAAAGTCTGGATTGTCGACGCTTGTGCTGAGATGCCTCAACAGGGCTTGGCGTGGTGGTGGGCGGTTTGATTTGGTCCTCTCCAAGTCCTCTCACGATCCTTGCCCCTAGCAGCCTCTCTTGCCAAATCTCGGACCACACGCTCAGGGGAACAACGATTCTACGTATGTTCAGCGGGACTACGTAACATTATCAGATACCTGGATTCACTCCTCATCCTGGACCTTAACCATTGCCAACAATGTCGGAGGCCACGTTGAGGAAGCGAGGCGCCTTGGACGCGACGGACGATGATGTCGAGACAATTGACGTGTCAAAGCTGGAACAACCGCGGAAATACAAGCCCAGGCCATTCTTCAACAAGACTTTGGGCAGCTTGCTGGTGTCGATTGTTCTCTTCCTTTGGCTTCAGGTGCGATGCCATCACCTTCTCTGTTCGTAACTGACGCCGGGACCTCCAAAGACAGATCTTTTGCAGAGCCTCCTGGGTTCCCGCATCTCAACGATTCAGGGATGGGAAATAGTGCCGGGAGGAGTTGTCAGGCAAGTTGACTTTTCAGCGGATATACCGAAGCGGGATGCCATCGTGAAAGCTTTCAAGGTACGGAGGGCAGTGTTCTTTACTTCGTTTTCATATATTGATCTTGCCTTGCAGCATGCATGGGCAGCATACGGTAGAAAATCTCCTACCTCGCAATGAACTCAAGCTAAAGTTGAATCGACAGAACGAGATGCGATGGGTAGCGACGAATACCACCCAATAGAGAAAAAAGGGTCGAATCTCACAGAAGCGGGGGGTATAGGATACTTCATCGTCGATTCTATCGACACGATGCAGATCATGGGGCTGCAAGAGGAGTACGAGAGTGCACGAAATTGGGTGGCGAACAAGCAATCCTTCGAGCGCGATGGAAATTTTAATACCTTTGAGGTTAGACTTCTTTTTCCCATTTACGCTTCCGGGAACTCACATACCGCCAGACAACGATCCGAGCCCTTGGGGGTCTTCTCTCTGCATACCACTTTTCGGATGACGATCCTATCTTTCTTGAGCGGGCTCAAGACCTCGCTGATCGTTTGCTCTCGGCTTTCGACACTCCCTCTGGTCTTCCAAAGTCAATGGTCAACCTGAAGATGCGCACAGGAGTTAACGAAGCTGGTCTTGCTAGCCTTGTGAGCACCGCCGAAGCGTCGACGCTCCAGCTTGAGCTTCGGTATCTGAGCTTTCTGACGGACAACGATGAGTACTGGCACAAAGCTGAAAAGGTTAAATTTATACGTTTTGACTGTTGTCCACATTTGACGTTCCTGTCAAGGTCATGAAAGTTATCAAGGCTGCGAGATTACCATCTGGGCTAGCTCCCATCTACATGAGGTTTGCAATCCTTATTTCTGATGGAAAGGGTGCTGACCGTATCCTCAGCGCAGATAATGGGCAATTCCTAATATCCGATATTCGACTGGGATCTCGCGGAGACTCATATTATGAGTATCTACTGTAAGATTTACCCTTCTTTTTTCGCGACATTGAATCTCATCGCCCTCAATACAGAAAGCAATATATCCAAACTGTACGATTATTCTTCAGATTACTGAGCTAATTTTTGCTGATTCTTGGCCAACAGAATCGCACTGAGTCCGTCTACCGCGAGGTGATAACTTTGTTCACTGGCACACAATCCATTTACTAACGCTGGACTCAGATGTACGAAGACGCCATGGAAGCCATCCACAAGAATCTCATCCTAAAAGGTGTCAAGAAGCATATGACGTGGACCGCTGAGCTCCTTCCGCAGCATCGACCTGCTAACCAAATGTTGCTCCCCTTCTCGATATACCCCTACTAAGACTGACCTTCTCTTTCCAGAGATTGGCGATTACAGCCAAAACAGGACCACCTCGTCTGTTTCCTTGGTGGGTCCCTGATGCTAGGAGCTACAGCCACAGGAGCCCGCGTTCGCAGTGTGCCAATACCACCGACTGCATCCGACCTCTCGAGTGTAGGCAAGCGGGATTGGACGACTGGGTCACAGTTGATTGAGACGTGTATGGATACTTATGATACCCCAACGTTCGTGACCATGAGGCTTTTTTTTTTTTTTGCCATGGATCACTGAATTGCGCTGCAGTGGACTGGCTCCTGAAATTGCGTACTTTTACGTCCCAAACGATGGCAGAGAACGTGTTGGAGAGCAGGATTGGTACATCAAGGGCAACGAGTATGTGTCAAGTTTGCGTCGTAGTGAAGAAGGCTAATACCTCTTTCTTGTTGCAGATCTCCGGCTAGCCCGTCCTATGATGCTCGTTATATCTTGAGGTACGCGTCTTGAACTTGAGACCCAGATTCTTCTGACTTGTCCAACAGACCAGAAACTGTTGAATCCCTCTTCATCGCTTTCCGATTGACAGGAGATGTACGCTATCGTGACTATGGCTGGAAGATATTCCAAGCAATCGAAAAGTACTGCCGCGTTGAGACGGGCGGGTACGCTTCCATCTTGGATGTTAGCAACACAGAGAGCAGGTTGGAAGATAAGATGGAGACATTCTTGATGGTATGCCGTTTCCCCCTTCTTTCACTCTTGAATGTAGCGTCTAACACGAACATCTGACAGAGTGAGACATTGAAATACCTATACCTTCTCTTCTCCGATGCAACCGTGCTTCCATTGAATGGTGCGTAGCCTGACTCTGAAAGAAACGACTACTGACGATTTTCTGCACAGAATATGTTTTCAATACCGAGGTATGTTTCCATCTTTCTTTCCTCATCCAAATTTCAATCTAACTTTGACAACGTTGACAGGCACACCCCTTCCCCATATTCACGCCGAGTATACGGACAGGGTTTTCTTGAGTCTTTTTGCTTTGAGGAATTCATAGGATACCAACCATAATCTATTAGAGCATTTTTGAGGAATTCATATCCCTTCTTTCTCGAGGTGCCGTGAAACCAGAACAACGCAGCAAACCACCAGAGAAGCAACCTGTTTGAGGGCGAGGAATATCGTCGCCTTCTAATGAGCGTATTCCGACCTTGTTTCAACCACTAGTAATACATGAACTATATACAGAGAGCGCAAGAGTAGATACATTTCCAAAAACGAGATAACCTCCATACTAAAATCTAATCACTATCAGCACCAGAATCACTGTCCGTCAACTCAGGCAACTCATCATCATCACTCTCCAAATCCAGCACTTCCACATTTCCATCGTTCTCCTCCACGTCCCCCCGTCCAACCACAACCCGACCCCCAGTATTCGCGTCCCATTTCGTGCTCTTCCGCTTAGGCCGGGAAGAGGAAGAAGAGGCTCGGCTTTCGTATTGGAGGTCATCTTCAAATTCGCCTTCCTCATCCTCACTTTCCTCATCAGACCGCGTTGCATCTCGAGCCTTCCCTTTTCCCTTCACTTTCCCGCCTCTCCTCATCACACCCTGCATCTTCCTCTTCGAACTCGACCCCTGCTTCCCCTCCGCTGCCTTCTTCTCTTTCTCTCGCTCGAGAAGTTGATCGTAGTTATCGAACTGTCTTTGTAAATCTTGCGCGAATACGTGGTCGTACGAAACGCATCGCATTCGTATAATATCGATCGCCTGAAAATCCATTCACCTCATTCACATCATACAAACACAGTAGAAGAAGAAGAAAAAGCATACCTCGTCCCCACGTGAAAAAGCCCTAATAACATCCCCCGAATCCACTTTCCGCCCTTTATTCCGTTTGATGGCCTTTATCTCCTCGTCTTCGAGGGATTTGGCTCTCTCAGCCACCTGTTCGTCCGTTTCAGGTTTCCCATCTTCCAATGCCTGGGGTTCGAGTGGGAAGACGTTGTGTTTCCGGAGTGCGATTCGCGCACGCATGGCTACGTATACGTCGAATGCTTTGCCTTTGATCAAGAGCTCTGCCCAGGCTTCTTTTGCCTGCGAACCATTTCGTCAACACATTAACCTAGGAAAAGGAGGAGGAGCGAACCTTCTGCGGCTGATCCTTAAACTGCTCCGCGCTCATCTGACCACACAGCTCACTCTCATACTCACCCAAATAACACCACATAGCCTTTGGCGACTCCAAACACCGACACCACGCCGTCCACGGTGGATTCTCCAGTATCTCATGGCGTGAAGCGAAGACGATGCCAGGATGGCCGGCGACGCTAGGCATGAGTGGGTTCATCTCGATTTGGGGCCATACCATGCGTCGGACGGTGCCAGGGTTGGAGGGGTTGGTGCTTGGTTGGATGTATTGGAGGAATTGTTGGTCGGATCCGCCGTAGGCGAGTCGGAGGAGTTTGCGTGGGACTGCGAGTGAGGTGGGGGGTGGGGTTATGGTGAGGGGTTCGTAGGATTTGAGGTAGGTGTCTGTTATTGAACGGGGGAGGGAGAAGACTTTGTTCTCCTGTCCAAAAATGAAAAAAAAAAATGGTGAGGGTGTGTCTTCATGGACTCGAATAAATGTACCTCTTTCTTTGGACGTTTTGAGGTAGTAGTCGGAGTAGGGAGTTGGGGTGGAGGGCGCTGAGAAAACTCAGGCTGAATGGAGAGGTTAAATAAAGCGTGATCACGTACTTTAGCAGAGATGATTGCAGTCCTCCTGGGTCTAGGTGTAGATGACTCAACGCGAGGTACTTCGTCCTTGACTAGTTGCCCCGAACCAAACTTTCGGCGCTTCGTAGAAAGTTTCGGACTCCTTTCAGCAAGGTCACCATTTGCAGGTCGTTTATTGGCCGGCCGGACACTACTTCTGCACGGAACACTGACGTATGGTATCAATCTTTTGTGCCTGTGCGGGGACTTGGGCTCCAACTTCATACTGGGCGGAGGAGACATGGATGGTGTGTCTTCCGCCTCCATTTCTTCGACACCGTGGTTTCGGTGCGGTGGTGACGGAACACGGATATATGGTATGAGTCTTTTGTGCTTGCGCCGGGACTTTGGCTCCAACTTCATATTGGGCGGGGCGAAATAGAGATGTTACTTCCACTTCCGTTTCTTCGATTCATCGTGGTTTTGGGGCTGTGGTGATGGAACACGGACATATGGTATGAGTCTTTTGCGCCTGTGCGGGGACTTAGGCTCCAACTTCATATTGGGCGGAGGAGACATAGATGGTGTTACTTCCACTTCCATTTCTTCGACATCGTGGTTTTGGGGCGGTGGTGATGGAACACGGACATATGGTATGAGTCTTTTGCGCCTGTGCGGGGACTTAGGCTCCAACTTCATATTGGGCGGAGGAGACATAGATGGTGTTACTTCCACTTCCATTTCTTCGACATCGCGGTTTTGGTACGGTGGTGATGGAACGCTGACATATGGTATGAGTCTTTTGTGCTTGTGTGGGGACTTGGGCTCCAACTTCATATTGAGTGGAGGAGACATGGATGGTGTATTTTCCACTTCCATCTCGTCGAGGGTAGAGCTCTCGTGGTTTTGGTGCCGTGGTGGTGGTGGGGGCGCGGTACGGGGCTGAGTGCTGAGTGGTCGAGAAGGAGGAGGGAGGTCGACGTATGCCAGCACCATTCGACGTTGAGGGGATATTGGTTCTGACTTGGGAGCGGTAGTACCACCGTTAGGCTTTGACTGAATGGACGACAAGATATATCAGGTTGCATCCCAAACCAATCTAAAGCTTTCTACCTTTGCATTCCTCCCCGTATCGTTACTCGATGAGCCTGCAATAACAGAGCTCTCAGCCTAAGCAACAAAATCAGCGTAAAAGCTCCTTCACCATCCCATCACTCACCTTTGCCTGTTTCTGAGACGCTGCGACGAGTCTCCGGACTTTTTCCTCTGCAACTTCCAAAGCGATAGCTTTGTCCCTCAATTTTTTCCTCAACGTTCCTTCCATTTCATCCTTCTTGATTAGCTGGATCCTCAACATGTTGGTTTCGCTGCATGAGGCCGAGTCGTTGGTATCCATTGACGCTATGTGAAAGGTGCACAAGCGCCCAACAAGCGCCTTGGGTGTCATGTTAAATGTTTCAAACCAAACATCCAAAAATAAACTATTAGCGTTGAACACCGATCGCGATGCGTGGGAATCCTTCTTCGTACATAAACCTCCCCGCCCCAGATATTCTTTATTTAAATCTATCCTTTCCCGCCCTTCACCCAAAATGTCCACCACATTCGAATACCCCCTAGTCATCGACGAAGCGACGCGTGTACGCGTATCTATATCTGACAAAGAAAACGCGCCTGCAGCCCTCCGCCAGACAACACTAGCGCTGGACGGTGGGAACATGAAAGGAAAGAAGCGTACTTTGACCCTGGTTGATGGCGGTAAGCTTGTTTTTTATGTTTAGACGCGTGTAAAAAGTATATTGACGCGTTCTTAGGCGAGTTGGATTTGAGTGGGGCGTTGCCCGCTACGCCTCAGGTAGTGGGCCTTTCTTGTACCTTAGTGACGCGTACTGACGCGTCGTATAACCTTTGCAGGTCGTCGAGGCTTTGAGGTTACGGATTCTACAGGTAAGCGTATCTCATCTTTGTCGTCGTCCAGGGCTAACGTCGAACTCAGCTCGAAGACCAGCTATATGCCCAAGCTCCACCTGCAAAACGCGCCAGGACGATCACCGGCCCCGCTACTTCCTCCTCTTCCTCATCCGAAGCACCCGTTGCAGGCCCGTCAAAGGCGGAGGAGAAGAAATCCAAGATGCAAATCAAGAAGATCTTTGATCGGTACGCTCAGTTCCCGTATCGAGTTTCTTCCCCTTTCTGACTTGACGCGTAGACTGAAGAAGGAATGTAAATCCGACGGCCTCAAATTCCAAGGATCACCCAAAACGATCAAAATCGACGAAGTATGGGAACAATCCGAATTCGAGGCGATCTTTTCTGGGCAGGGAACGCTTATCCAGCCTACGCCCAATAATAAGCCCAAGAGTACCGTCACCATCATCCACTTTGTATGTTTTCCTTCACAGAGCCCGCATACATCCCATCTTGACCACTTCTTTTGCAGAAAACAAAAGCCCAAGTTGAAGAATTCTTCGGTAATGAACTGAAAGATCTTAGAGGCAACCGATGGACGCGCGGTGGTGGTCCACACTTTGCGAAATCGTTGAAGCAGGGCCCATGTGATGTGCAGATTAACTCGTTCGAGGTCAACTACTCGAAGAATGGGATGAAGTGTTCCCTCAAGTTTGAAGTCTCTGAAGTGGGTGGGGGATATTGCCCGTATGGGCCGTCGCAGAGACGGGTTGGTTGGTTTTGATTTTGAAGTTTGACGATCTTGCACGCTTCGTTGATATCATTTCGTTCTTGGTATATTGTAGATTTGTTATAATCTTGCAGCATTCGTAGTTTATTACACCATAGTTTCGCCTGTCTATAATTACCTTTCGAGAGGCACTCGATTTCTAGCATCTGGTCACATACAGAATGACGTACACTCGAGTTTACGCCCCCTTCGGTAGCTTGACCTGAAACGTACCTACAAAACAAAGCATAGGTCAGGTCCCTCACTATTTAGCAGAAAACACGTACACTGTGGCATCGATGTGATCTCTGGTACGACTGTAGCGTTGTATCCTAACCGTGAAAGAGCACCGCGGATTATGCCTGATGGCATAGCTGCGTACTAGGGATTGACAAGATTAGCATAGACACAAGGTCAGGCCAATGTATAGGTAGACCGTGTACTCACTAACTTCGCGCGCCTGATGGCTTCCGGACGGCCTTCCCAAGACGATAGCCGCGTTATTGGCTTGAATGCGTTATCTTGGAGCACGTATACGCCCTGTAGAAGCGTTAAAATGATGGGCATACGAGCGCATATAATCAACGTACTCGGTGATTCGTCCTCAAATTATCGACCTGCTTGTCCCAACACGACGACCAGATGTCTTTGCAGATAAACTTGATAACGTCCAGCGTTTCAGCGAACATCGGTCGGTCACGACATAGCCTACATACAACACGGCGATCAGTCAGTCCCCTGACGCACGAAATGACGGTTGAGCACACCGTTCAGTATAATTCCCGCCAACGTGCATCCCAATAGCCTCCAATCTCACTCTAACAGCTTCCTCCTCCTCGTCGACGCCCCCCTTCCCAGCTGCACTCCCACTGCGCGAAGCAAGGCTCGTCACTGAATCTCTCGCACCCTCCTTCTTGAGATTGAGGGGCAACGGCGCGGGGGGCGGTATCAACCCCGCTTCTATCATCTCCTGCTCGATCTTCTTCGAGCGGGCGGTGGCGAATGCGGCGGATTGTTTGAGTGTGTTGACCATTTCGATGAGGAAGTAGTCCATTGCTGGGGCGTCGATGAATTTGCTGGGTGGATCGGCGAGGAGGGCGAGGGTGGGTTGAACGAGGAGGGTGCTTGATGAGGCTTGCATTGAGCTACGAGTTGTCATGATTGTTGAGTGTGTGATGAGTGTATGTAAATATCTTTGATCGGCGACAACGCTGCTCTTATGTGCTACCACTTAAACTCATGACCGTCTAACTTGCACTCACTCACGACCATCAACAATGTCTGGCATATCCTCCTTCTTTCCCTCCCGACGAGCAAACCCATTGATGAATACCTTGAATGCCACCCAAGACCGTGACCGCCCCGACCTCCTCGACGAGCTGCGTTTCTCACTCGAAGTCATGCCCGGCTCGAGGAAATACGTCTTCACTCCCGCTGCCAGAGCCGAGATCCTCAAGAAACTGTACATGCCTTTCATGGCATCGTGCCCTCAGCTGTTCCTTCCAAGTGGGGTGACGCAAGTCCCCCAACACGCTCTGTTGAGTGAGTACCAAGCGTCGGTCGGCTTCTCTGCGGCGGGACGAGACGATCCCGTTGTCCCTGGCCGACCATGTTCGCATATATTCAAGAAAGGGGAGAGTTGTTATCGGTGCAAGTACGTCACTCTACTCGATTGCCACTCCTCCTCGTGCTCGTCTGACCAACTTATCCATCTACAGAGACTGTGCACTAGACGACAGCTGCGTAGTCTGCTCGCGATGTTTTCGTGCGACGGATCATACAGGACACAACGTCAGCTTCTTCATCGCCATGCAGTCCGGCGGGTGCTGTGACTGCGGCGACGAGGAAGCATGGCGAAGACCCATTGGATGTCCTTATCACCCACTGCTGGGTTCACCTTCACCCATGGTCACACCTACCGGCCTACTCCCAAATGACGTCCCCCCCGTACAGGGCTATCCATACCGCGTACACGTTCCTACGGATTTACACGACATGATGCGCAAAACCGTCGCGTTTGCGCTTGATTTCTTGTTGGATACACTAGACTACTCCCCCGAAGACCCGTCCGTCCCCGCCAACGAGGCCGATCTCCGCCTTCAGCCCTCTGCCGACCCGATGATGAAAGACCAATACTGCGTGATACTATGGAACGACGAGAAACACTCGTTTGAAGAGGTCATCAAGCTTCTCTGCGACATGACGAATCGAAGTCGAGAAGACGCTACGCAGGTGACGCAAAGGATCGACGAGAACGGGAGGGAGATAATCGACATGAACACGAATGTTACCCGCCTGCTAGAGATGGCGCAGGCTATCACGCAGATCGATCTGGGTGTGACGATTAGGCGAGCGTATGATACGTTTTGCGAACAAGTGGCGGTGGTGATCATTGAGTGGCTTTTGGACCTTAGTCGAGCACGTTTGGCTACGGACACGCTTGTGATAAGGGAGATTCTGGCGGCGGAGTTGTTGTCCCCCAGACGGAAAAAGGAGAAAAACATGAGCCCGTCGTCTGCGATTACGCTTCCGGAGATCGCGAACCCTACGAGGATCGAGACGCTTTTCTTGTATCATACGCGGTTGTGGAAGAAGCCAAGGCTGAGCTTGAAAGAGATATATGCATCGTTGATATCTCTTAGTCGTACTCACAAGCTCACAATTGGTATGTTCTTGTTTTTCATCACTGAGATCTATCCTCATTTCCCCTACTACAGCGGGTCGCTTCGCAAACGTCTACCACCGCGTCCTAGACACCTACCTCCTCGTAGACCGCGATGCAGAAACCTCCATCAAATACTTTGCCCTCCAACTCTTCACCGTCCCCTCCGTCTCCGCCCACCTCGTCAAAAACCACAAACTCGTCTCCCGCCTCCTCTCCATCCTCCACTCCTTCTTCACGAACCAGATCTCCGACAAACACGTCCTCCACCCCTCCTCCTCTTCTTCCTCCCAACTCGACCCAGACAGCTTCCCATTCAAATCGAAGCGATTCATGCCGGTGTTTAGTGATTTGCGGTATTTAATCCACACGGACCCGGTGCAGGCGCTGATATGTCGCGATACGGAGTATATAGTCGGCTTCGCGAGGACGTGTCAGCTGTTCATGTGTGTGAACCCCAACAAAAGGGCGGCGACGAACCATGTGGAGTACGAGACCGATGCATGGGTTAGCGTCTTCAACGTCACCTTGTCCCTATCAAGAGTCATCAAAGTCTACGGGGAGGCCTATCGGAAGGCGTCTGCGGCAGAGTTGGTGTTCGCCATTACGACGGTCGTGCACCACATCTTGATGGTATGCACTTTGGCGGAGGATAGATTGGATAGGGCAAAGTTCAACCCGATCACTTTCCATCAGGTCGCGTTTGGGGATACGCAGTACCATGTTGTGGAGTTTGATGTGTTGGAGGGGTGGGTGAGCTTTCATCATTCGCTGCATTGGCTCCTTGCGGACTTGTTCAAGCATGTGGATTTGCTCACGGAGGAGGCTTTGAGGCCGGCGGGGTTTTATAGTTTGAGAGAGGTGATGATGTTTAATGTTAGTGAACAGGCTATTCTTACTCTGATTGACTTTCCACTTCGAGGTGACTTTTCCCCTTTTCCTTTCTCGTTTAATTGCCTTGCTGACATACACAAAAGTTTTGGCTATGATAGCTCAGATCCGCACAGGTCTCTGGGTTCGAAACGGGTTCGCGATTCGAGGGCAGGTACTGCACTATCGTGATTACATGCTTCGAGAGCTCTGCTACGACCAGGACCTGTACATTCTACAAACGGCACTGGTCGTCTTGGATCCCAATACCGTCTTTGTCTCCATCCTTGATCGGTTTGGACTCCTGGGGTACTTCTCGGGCGCCTTCCTGCATTCGACGTACGAGGGCACACAGCTGTCAAGTATGGTCGAGGAGGTGTTCAACGTCCTCATCACTATCCTCAGCGAAAACGCGAACGCCTCACGGATGCCTGTCCACCTAACTGTGAGGCGGGAGATCATCCATGCGTTGGCCATGGGCCCCTGTACCTTTTCTGACCTCGTCAAGCGGGTTGCGGAGCGTTTGGCGGACGATGTGTGTTTCGATAGGATGTTGAACGAGGTTGCGAACTTCAAGCAGCCGGAGACAGCCACTGATGCGGGGTTGTATGAGTTGAAAGAAGAGATGTATGATGAGGTCAACCCGTTCTTCTATCACTATACGCGGAATAAGCGGGAAGAGGTGGAGAATATTCTACGGAATAGGTTGAAGAAGAAGACGGGCGTCGCTGAGCCCGTGATCGTGCCTAAACCATTTGGTGTGACGTTTGGCCCGTTTGCGATAATACCGTCATCGTTCGAGTCGGAGGCGTTGCTCCAGGTTATGTTCTATTCCCTGTACAATATCCTGGTCCTGACAGAGTCGGCTGGGTCTGCGCCCCCTTCGGCTGAAGCGATCCTTGATCAGACGCTTCATCTCGTTATGCTCGCCATCGTGGAACGGCCGGATATTTTCAGCCATCTTGCGGCTTCCAAGACGTTTGAGGAAGAGAAGTGCCTGGTGAACATTATTTGTTCGTTTGAACATCACGATAAGTACAAGATGTACAAACCTAGGGTTCAGTGGATCCTTGGACAGCTGGAGGGACGCGTATCGGATGAAGTGAGGTGTCATAGGAAGGTTGTGGACGTTTCGCAGCCGCCTGCTGCTGACCCGGAGGATATGAAGAAGCGGGCTGCGAAGGCTAGACAGGAAGCCATCATGCAGCAGATGAAAGCTCAACAAGCGAGCTTTGCCATCAACTTTGACGATGCTGATGAAGACGACGATGAGAACATGGAGGAGGCAAGCGAGGAGCAGGTGTCGTATGGGACGTGTATTGTCTGTCAGGAGGACTTGAACTCTACCAAACTGTTTGGTGCGCTGGGTATCATTCAGCCTAGCAGGTTCATACGCAGGCATCCGGATAGCCATAACTCGTACCTCAATGAGGTTCTGCAGTCCGTTCCTTCCATGGATCGTACGACTCCGTCGTCGAACTTGACGACGTTTCCCCCACCACAAGCTGCAGCTCTTGATGCTAAAGCCATGTCTTCCCCCAATTTCGATGGGTTTCCTGCTCAGTACACGCGATTTGGGCTTCACGCGTCCGTATGTAGCCACATGATGCATCTGGAGTGTTTCCAGGTATATAGCATCTCCATCCGTCAACGACATCGCGCCCAGGCAACAAGAAACCACCCTGAAAGCATTCCTCGGAAGGAGTATATCTGTCCACTATGTAAAAGCCTTGGGAACGTCATTCTTCCCGTGACAGACCCCTCTCCGACGACGCTGAATAGTATTCCGTTCTCAGACTGGATACGTGCAGCTGGGATCACCATTCTCAGATCTAAACCGGACCCGCAGCTAGAGTCGTTACAGTTCAGGAACGGCACTGGAGAGTTTGTATTTTGGAGCGCCCAGGATCCAGGGTACGCTGGGTTGGTTAGGGGAGGGGAGGGGATGGAAGGCGCGAAGATGCTCGATACCGTTATGGTCGTGTCAAAATCACTCTCTCAGCAAACGAGACATCTTCGGGAACGACCGGAGCCTGAGGTAGGAGAAAGGGGTGCGGGGATATACTTGCCTGAGGAGCTTCTTGGGTATACGATATCCACCATTGAGACGGCCCAGAGGGGGATGGACGCTCCAAGTGGGCTTATGGTTGATAATCTCACAGAGGCGCAGATGCGCATGGTCAGAGGGCTGCTTTCCTGTTTGACGAGACTGGTTGGGCAGCAGTTCAAAGGGAGGCCTGATGAGGGACGTGAGGCTGTCCGGCAGGCTGTTATCAAACGTCTGCTTCCAGAGTGGAGCCGGACTTCCTTGACTTCGTTTTCGTACCCCTTGCTTCTTAGGGATCCTTTCACGGTGTTGGTGGAAACTGCGGCAGTTGCGCCAGATATGCTCAGACACGTTCTCGTCCTGACATATTATGCGTGCCTTGCTCGAACTGTTATCGGGTTGGTATACGTGCTCAACAAGACACGCAGCTTCACCACCGTTCAAATATCCCGCCGGGCACATGAAGACGTCTTTGGCGATGTGCGCATGTTCTTCATGTCCGTCGTCCGCCATTCCCCCGTCTTTGAACACACTGCGACTTTAGCATTCGAGACGTTTGGGGAAGCTAGGATTGAGAAGTTGCTTTACGCATTTACGCTCCCATTCCTGCGCAGGGCCGCCATTCTCTGTCGGTCTATCTTGCCTTCAGCTTTTCCCACTCCGAACTTTGGTTCACCTGCACCGTGCGAATACAATCGCCTTCTAACCATGCTTGGTATTCCCCCACTATCCGACCTTCCAAATCAAGATACGCTCCAGAACGCACTCTCCGGTTGGTGTGCACACTATGGGCACTCCCATGCTGCGTCCCAGTTGAATTGCGGTGTTGCGCTGGACTATCCAGCTGTATATCGACTTGCCCGTCTTCCACTTATTCTCGACAGCCTTTTCGTTCAACAAGACAAGGGCTTGACTTGTAACAGATGCAACACCCAGCCCACTGATGCTGCTATCTGCCTTATTTGCGGAACGGTGTGCTGTTTGCAGAGTAATTGCTGCATTGACATGGATTATAGCGAGCGTGGGGAATGTAACATGCATACTCGAGAGTAAGTCTTTTTTATCATCTTAGGAGTCAATTTGGGCTGACTGTATCAGATGTGGTGGTATCGTTGGCATTTACTATCTCGTCAAACGGTGCATGATACTATATCTCAACGCGGGCAACGGCAGCTTCACATCATCGCCTTACCTCGACGCACATGGAGAAGCAGATCTATCGATGAGGTGAGTTTTTTTGCCGCTCTTTCAGAGTTACATTCATCAACCCCAATGCCTCTCTTACAGGCGCGGACGACGCCAATACCTCCATCACGCCCGATGGGAGGAGATCCGCAAGATCTGGCTAAACCATGGGATCCCCACCCTCGTTGCTAGAAAACTCGAGGGCTCTTTAGATACAGGCGGCTGGGAGTCGTTATAGAAGTTTAATCTTTTTTGAAAGGGACTTACCCCACATCCACACACGCATCCTAAAAGCATTTGTAATATCACACAATGATTGTTGAAATCTGTCTTTTGTAACTCACTTCCACGCTGTACACGTACATTTTGTTGCTGATAGAGTTGTTCCTGGTACTTACGAATCTCTACACGTTATGCATAGCGGTAATTGCTGTTTCAATTGGAGGAGCAAGTCCATCGAACGGCCCTTCGAATGGATACGACAGGTACTTTCCGACCTGTTCACCTCTCCAGGTTCTGCTCAATCTTACTGGAGTCGAGACAGTGTTCGTTCACGTCCCAGCACCCGTATGATGTCTGCTACAGCTGGGCCCTCCTGCCACCATCCCATCATATGAGCAAATGTGAATGAAGGACAAGCTGAATGTTATCCTTACCTTCAACCCAGTCAAAGCATGCCTCATCGTTTTCATAAACACACCCGTCGGTATGTGAACCTGGTCCCCAACATGGTGAAGGAGATCCAAAAAGTTGATCTTCTCCCATGGTTCTGGGCAGGCTACAAGCGCAGACTTAACGGCCTCGAGGACCCGTTCTGATTGGTGTAATTGGCGGTTAGTTAAAGGGAGTCTATAGAGGTTGAGTGATGTTTTCACGTACTTCGTTGTTCCGGTTTTACTTTCTTAAGCATAGCTTTTGCTTCGTCGGACTCGAGATTGGGTCCTTGGAAGAGGTATGGTGCGTGTAGTGGGATGTCCGTGAGGTTCGTCAAACGGCCCTATGCGTGAGAGTTGGCTTCATTCAGCCATCGTGGGCTTAGACGACGGAAGTTGCTTTACCTCGAGTAACTGAATAGCATGTTTGATCATCTCGATACTTGTATATTGACTTGAGAGGGAGAGAGAAAAGTGTAAGTGAACGAGTCGACGAGAGAGCACCAGAACCCTCACCTCGTAGGAAACGCTTCCTTAATCTGCTCATGCACCCTCTCAGCCATAGAAGTTAAGCCCTCAGGCGTCGACGACAGCTGAGCGAGATGGTGCTTGTTAATGTACTCCAACTTCGCAGGGTCAAGGCTCGTGCTGCGTTGAGTGATGGAAAGCAGATCGAATTGCTCGAGGAGCTGCTGCATGGTCAAGATGGTGGTGCTGTCCGGAGCATCCGAACGCGCGGATGGTTCCTCGGAAGCCGTGTCCACATTATGTCGAACACCCCATCCTGCCAGAGCCAACCAGTTGAGGACGGCTGCGGGTTCCCAGGCGCGTCGCTGTAGTGATATCAGCAGATGTGTTTGGAGAAAAGGAGGCCAGATACGAACTATATAGTCAACCACTTGAACGTCACCATTGCGTTTTGACATTTTCGTTCTGTCTGGGTTAAGAAGGATGGGCATGTGTGCGAATTTCGGAGGTTCGAGTTTGAGGGCTGCGTAGAGGTCTAGATGGAGGGGTAGAGATGGAAGCCATTCTTCCCCCCGTAAGACGTGTGTGATGCCCATCTCGTGGTCATCCACGACGGAGGCGAGGTGATAGGTTGGGAAAAGATCGGATTTGAGCAGTACGGGGTCGGTGGCTAGTGATGCATGGGCATCTTTGAGTGGCCCGAATACTAGATCGGCACCGCGCGGTCGTTGTGGAAGATTGGAATCCTAAGGAGGAATTAGTCTCTAGAAGGGAGACGTGGAGGTGAAAGACACACTGACATTGAGTCGGACGATGGATTTCTCCCCAGCTCTCACTTTTCTGGCCACCTCTTCGTCCGTGAGATGTAGACATCGCTTGTCATACGACGCGTTTGAGCCAGAACGAGCGAGTTTCTCCCGAGTTTCCGTTAGTTGGTCCATGGAGCAAAAACACCGGTACGCATGGCCTGACTGAAAATTGCAATGAGCTGAGAACGATTCATGGAAACGAGGAACGAACGTGAAGCAGCTTGGTGGCATATGAACGATAAAGATCCAGACGTTCAGACTATGGTAGAGTTCAGCACATTCATTCTCAACAAGACACAGGGATAACCAACCTGAAAATATGGTGCATGTGGACCGTCTTTACCAGGTCCTAAGATCCAATTTGTCGTCAGCTTCTCCCTCCGAAAATGTCCATCGAATGGCTAACCGTAATCATATTCCAGCCCGGCCCAGTTCAACGCATGCCTAATTCCCTCAACGGACCCCGGAACGTATCGTGTCTGCCGAAAATATCCACATCAACGTCGAGCACAATGAACAATACGATTATAACATACAGCGTCGGTGTCTTCTACCCTCATGATCCATTTTCCACCGTGCCGTCTGGCAAACAAGAAATTATACAGTGCCATCCGAAGGCCGCCGAGATGAAGAGGGCCTGTAGGTGAAGGTGCAAAGCGTAGTAAGGGCGTAGAGAGGTGTAATGGAGCCATGTTCGCCTGCGCGACGCCAAATAACGAGCAGGCCGATTGGAATGTTGTCGACAAGTTGTCGAGACTCTGGAATTTGATGAGCTCACACCATCGGTCACAATTGTAGTCACCGGAAAATACACTAATGAAAAGGAGCGTAAAACAAGACTGTTGCAAGGATCCCAGGTGATAAAGGACGATTAATTGTGGTACGAAGCCAACAACGGAACACCCGTAAGTACGTCCATGTCAAGATGTGCGTTACTGCATAAAAACAAATATTTCTCCTCCTATCATCTCTGTCTGGGAGAGGACCCCTGAAAATACCCTTGGAACCCAGATCCCAATCCGGATAAAAATTCTGAAATTTTTTTGAAAACCCATAGCACTGTCCGGATAGAATTTGGGCCGTTTTGGCTGGAACCCGGAGGCAGATTTCCGGATAGAATTTGGGTTGACCCACCAAACCCAGAGCCACTTCCGGATAAAAATTGGTGCAGGTGGGGATCCAAACTCAAGACATATTGAATGTGAAAGTCATGAAAGTCATCAACTAAGCCATTAACATTTTAACCACTACACCAAGTGAACTTGATATTAGTTTCTCACTTTGACCATCTTACACCATCAATATTTGCATTTCTCTGCATTCTCAATATACCTCAGAGGGGCCACGAAATGGGCACAATTTAGTGTTTTGTTATCTAAGATGCTTGTAGGATGCTTATTAGGGCTCCAGAGGAGATGCCGAGCGAGAAATTGGTGTTTAAAAGCGAAAATTGGTGTTTAAAAGCGAAAAATTGGTGTTTTCAAGTGAAAAAAGCGAAAATAGAGGTTTTGGGTAACCCACATCTATGTCCGGATAAATTTTGCCCATACCTGGACCCAGATCCGCCATCCGGATAGAAATTGTCCAAAACTGTCCGGATAAAAATTCCAAAAATTTCGACTTTTTGGATCTGGGTTCCAAGGGTAATTTCAGGGGTCCTTCTGGGAGTCGAACCCGGCTTTCGCGCAGACATTTCAATTTATGACTGGCGCGTGTATCAACCAAGACACTAACAGAGATTGATTACCTTTGGCATTTGGAGAGATTCAACACGGAGTCGATTGTGCATGGTATGATGCATTCAATCCTAACATGCTTCATAAGTAGGAGAAAAGAAGGACAGTTTGTTGAAATGCCCAAGTCTTCGTGAGCACTCGGGTCGAAAGGGACCCTCACAAACGAGCGACTCCAAGGTCCTCAGATTACAACGCCAGGAATTCTAAATTGTCGTCGGAAGGACTGCCTGAGAAAACCAAATCAATTGAGGAAAGTTATAGAGTCAAAGCAGAAGTGAGTTTGGACTAGAAATGGCAAAACGAGGAATGACGACTATGTTTCACTCAACATCCCTCAGTTTCCAGCGCGTGAGTTTAATCCAGTCATGCATCTCAGGAACGTCGGGGATGGCACAAAGGCTCATAAAATTCCCAATGATTGTCCGCTTCTCCGTTTGCCTCTGTTAAAGCGGACGTCAGGTGACAAAACGACAATATCCAGAAGCGAGAACTCACAGTTACAATGTTCTCCTCGATCGAGTCTTGAACGACGAGGTGGTAGGTGTGGACATTGCGGTTTTGGCCTGAACGGTATGCACGGGAGATGGCTTGTTCCTAGTGGAGGTAGAGGTTAGTTTTCCGAACGCGTCTAAGGTTATGACCAAAGTTCAGACAACTTGCCTCAACGTAGGGGTTCCACCACGGTTCCATGAGGATGACGTGGTTGCAAGCGGTGATGTTGAGACCTGTATCAATCATTAGTGTCATCAATAGGCGAGGTAGGAAAAGAAACGTACCACTCCCACCCGCACCAATGGAGACAAGGATAACCCTACACGGCCGTGGGCCACGCTTAGATGAAATGCAGTTCAAGGCGGCACGGCGTTCTTCCCGGCTCATCGCACCGGTGTCTAAAATTGGTGGATTAGCAAGCTTCTGTAGCAAGAGCGGGAAACGACGAACAAAGGGTGTAGTCAAAGTACTGTCCATATCTATGTTCAAGGCCCGCCGCAAGCATATGAAGAGTGCGAGCAAAATGGGACTAAGTAAGAGATCTTCAGTTACCAAAAGGGGGTCCAAAGATGAAGGGCTTACAAAGATAATGACCTTCTCCTCAACCGGGATCCTATTCTCAAGAATATCATACACCGCCTGGAACTTGCTAGAGGTGTAAGGGATCTCCGGGTGACTGAAAATATCCTTGACACTCTGAGGAAGCTGAGATGGGAACCGTTCAGCGCTGATGAGCGGCCTGTCGCTCGTGAGGTGAGTGGGGATAGACAAGTCCGCCAGGTCGTCGAAACTGGTATTGTCAGCGAAATTGATGGGTAGATAGAATCTGAATAATCACCTCGCGCGCATCTCATCCGAAGTCGGATCTGGGTCCAAAGGAGGATCCCTTACTGAAAGCGGTGAATCAAGAAATTCGTCGTCCACAGGGATATCCGAGGTTGGTGGCAGCGCTCCAGCCAATAATTGCATCTGGTCACAGACTAGCAAAGACTCATCATGTCAGCATGGTGAAGCGTCCACAGTTGGAAATGATACGTGCCTTGACGAGCTCGAATTAGCGCAGTGTAGATACCTATCAAGTTTTTCGGCAGAAGGTACTCAATTATGTAGTTGTAAACAGCGCGTTCGACGGAATTCAAGGTCACAACGATGTCGTGCCGGTACTTGTTAGGTAGCCTCAGAAGCATTCGTCCGTCACTCGTGCAAGGTGGCCTATATTGCATCACCTTTTCGAGGACATCCTAAGGACAAAGACATGTCAGAGAAACAATAAAAAGGTCCAAAGTTAATCTCACTTGTAGCATCCGTGTTGCGTTCGCAATCAGCCTTTTGTCGGTGCCGCTCAGCGGTTTCGTGATATATCGGTCGAAATGTTCCAAATCCTCCAGGTTCATGTACTTGACCCTGAGCAACCGTAAATAGGCGTAGAAATCACGCAGACTGTTCTGTCGGCACACAAAACTGAGCTTTACGATCCAAGAATTACATGTTTTAAGTACCTGCGCAGGCGTCGCAGTAATAATAACCACAAACCACGTCAATAACGCGTGAAACGCAGCGAGACTTTTAGCCTCCGGGTTGCGCATGAGGTGACCCTCATCTAAAAACCGAAGATGTCAGCAGTGCATACACGTTTAAGCCGTCACGTTTACCTCCGAAAATCCTGTCCCACATAACGAGATACACTGTACACCCTAGCTCTTCTAAATGTGTGATTTCTTCCTTGGTAGGGTTTCTTCGATCTGGCAAAGGGAGATTGCTCAGTCGAGCGACCTCCTCTTGCTGTTCCCAGTAATCCACAAGTTTTGAATATCGACGCATGAGTCTGGAGTAGGAGATCAACTATAATGATGGTTTGAGTAGTACCAAAGCTTTGACATGAAGAAACGCAAACTTACGACGATATCCGCAGCCTCGAGATCTAAAAAATCTTGAGTAAAAGGAGGGGAATAGAGGAGGAACTCTCTTACCTTCTTTTGTATATTTCCCCTGGGCCTCAAAAACTCGCAGATCAGTGAACTTTGCTATTTCCCTGATCCAGTGGTCGGTTAGACCACCGCCGGGACAGACGACCCTATGAGGTGAACGCCGAAGCGTCAGCGAGACTCGAGCAATGAAAGGATAGAAACCAACAGCGTCGAACCACCTCTAGATTGGGCTACATGCAGTGCGACAGCTGTTTTTCCCAACCTGAACGAATACGAATAGAGTTAAAAGACAGAACTGAGGGGAATGAAAGATAATGACTCACCCCATATGATAACCTAGAATAAATCCTATCGGCCCAGAATATCCAGGACGTCGGACATCAGCTTCCCTTTCACAAATCTTCGCGGCGTCCTCCGCCTGATAAGGCCGCATAGCAATCCCTGTCCGAAACCGTCTCTCCAACGTACTGGGCGTAGACTCCGCGATGGAAAGCAAAGACTTCTCGATCGCCAAACCAGCCTGTAGCGTGGCTTCTCTTCTGAGACGGGGAGGCTTGGAGGGCTTGACTGGACTTCGCGTCCTTCGCGCGTACTCGAGTGGCTTCTTTCGTAGATCCTGTATATTGGTCGTGATTAGTTTTATAGAGAGGCTTTGCGACGCAAGACTGAAACTGACCTCTCGTTTAGGTGTCGAACTTGAAGGCAGCGCTGTGGGCATGGCTGAAAAGATGTCTTCTGGGGACAAGTTGAGAAACCCTGGAGTGAAAGACGCGCTTTTATATCATAGGGTCCAATTGCTTCAGTGATGGTGGCTTTGCTCGATCTCTTTGTGGCCGTGTTTTCAGGGTATCTTTATGATAAGACACGAGGGCGAGAACAATTAGACGTCGCAAAGGATGATGCTGCTGCTATAGGCGATAAAAAACGAGGCTTCCGTCGACAAAGGTCGAGCCAGCTCCGAAGTTTGAGCTACATGCAGAGTCACAGGTGTCTTTCCAGGGTTTTCACAATTGAAACGAAAGAAAATCACGGCTGAAACTAAGGCAATAACATCGCGCACCCGCAAGCCCATCGACAGAATTGGGTGTTCGAGAGAAGTTGTGCATAACTCGAAGTGGCCACTGTACGGTGCAATTTCAAACGGGGAAAGATGTTTGCAGTTGCTAGATTCGGAATTCAGCTTTATCAGCAGGACAAGGACGGCCCGGGAGACCCGGAGCCCCTCACTAAATCCTGCCAATTTGAATTCCTGGCAAAACTGTGGCTAGCATTGAACGGAAGCCCATAACTTGAGATGATTAGATATTACAGCCCGTAATATACAGAACTGAAAGCCACCAACGTACAGTAAGCGTGACTAAGTCATAATTTAGTACCAACTCCAAGTCAAGTAAGTCGTAAGTGGTATGTACGTCTACCAGTGTCCAAGAAGTCCAATAGATACTCACTCTAAATCCCTACCAACCCTGAGCCAAAAGTCCCAACAGAACCACGCCCAGCACGCGCCACCCATCTCCCATGCCTCCAAACCCCAAGCCACTCCGAATCGAAATCGCACCGCTCTTAGTACTAGGACTAGGCTTTGCCGTGGCCAAAGTTGTACTCGAACTGGACCCTGTCGCCCCCGTCGCCCCTGTCGCCACGGAGGGACAAACAGCGCCATTCTTAGCCAGCGCCGAAGCGGGTATCAGAACCTAGTAAGCGTATCATCGTCAGACGTCAGCCACCATATCCCAGTCACCAGAATTTATTCAACTCCATAGATAAAAGGCATGCATACCTGGGGCAACCCACCAACAACAGGCACGCTAACGCCCCCACTCCCATCCGCCTTGACGATAGCACAGGATAATACGTCTACCAGGACTTCGTTCGCGCTTGCCACTCCTGAGGCGACCCAGGTAGATGATTTGGCGGAGTTGCTGCCCAGGTTGCTGAGAAGCGCTACGAGGGGTGGTTTTGAGACTGCGAGAAGGGAGGGGTCTTGTTGGGTTACAAATTTAAGCTACAGTAATGTTGAATGAGCGTGAAAGAAGAGAACAAAAAAGGGGGGGGATAAGCGTACAGGCGTGGTAAGGAACGTGCTGTTAGCAGCAGCAGCAGCTTTCCGCGCCGCGTTGAGCGTAGTGACGTGCGTAACTAGCGGCTTGTTGGACGTGTTGAAACCTGTGGTCCACAGGCTACAGGAATAATTGAATTTAGCCGTGGTGGCGGGGATAAATGAGAGGAAGTCGTACGCTTCTTGATTAGCAGGCACCACACCCCCCGTGAACCCCTGCTCTTGTCCTTGATAAAGTATAGGAATTCCGTCTTGTATAAAGGGCCATGTCATGGCGTTTTTAACGAGCTGAATCCGGTCATTATGCCGTACCTCGATAAAAGGTGTATATTTATAGCTCACCGAGATATCTTGAGTGATAGACTGGAACCTAGGATTGTCATGATTTTCCAAGAAAGAACCGACTACGGATGGCGTAGAGTATGATTTCTGGGAAGCCGTGACGGAGCTGATTAGTGCGGATAAATTCCCTGTTTGGGAGCTGAATGCGGATGTGAGGGTGTAGTAGTTCGGGTAGTCGAGGACACTGTCCAATACCTCTGTCATTACGTTCATAATTAGCGCAGGGTCGTAGTTTGCAAAGGATGACCCGGAACGCACGCGTATACGGGGCGACATACCCCACATCCCCAATCAACACCTCCCCCATCGTAAACACCCCCGCGGACATTGCGAACGCCGGCCAAAAGTCCTTGCGAACATGTTTCGCTGTATCGATGCGCAGCCCGTCAATCCCATAACTCTTCACCAGCCCCTGGATCCAATTATTCATAGTCGACACTATACTGGGATTTTCGGTGTTCAAGTCCGCGAGGGGCAGGTGTTGGTCGCCAAGCCAGCACTGTTCGACGTTGGTCTGGTTGTTGAAGTCGGTTATGAAGCAGTAAGGGTGGAAGTCAGATGCATTTGAGAAGGGCACGAGTTTGGAAAAGTCAAGGTTTGCGTTGTCGGATGTGGCGACGCTGGATGTGCTCACGAAGCTGGTTTGACGGCTTAGTAGACGAGCTTAAAACAGGTTGGGGAAAGACTCACTGGTTCACAACGACGTCAACCATCAAGTACATACCGCGTTTATGTAGTGCACTGCTCAACGCTTTCAGGTCGTCCGCCGTCCCAAAGTGGGGGTTTAAACTCGTGATATCCTGAGCCCAGTAGCTATTTTACATCAAAAATATACCATGCCAGGCTTCGGTCAACCACGCACCCATGATACGCCTGCCCATACGCTGTCGTCTGCTCAACGTTCGCCACAACGGGCGAGATCCAAATCGAGTCGAACCCCATGCCTTGAATATAATCCAGACGATTGGTGATCCCGTTCCATGTCCCGTTACAATATAGTGCCTGCGTGGGGTTGCATGGCGTAGCTTGATTGTTAGTTTGCGAGAATCTGTCTGTTAAAAGCTAAATAGAACAGGTGAGTATTAAGTTCAACGAGGAAAGAGCAGCGTGCCTGGTAAATAGCTCTTCCGCGCCAGTCGCTCGCGCTCGCGGCGAAGGTGGTAGGAACAGCGAGGAGAAGCACAGAAAATACATAAAACCGCGTGGCGAACATGTTGCCAGCGAGGTCGGGAAAGGGTCGTAAAGAGATGCTGGGATGGTTGTCTGTGCAAGTTTGTATTTTTTTTGGGTCTCTCCTGGACCTAGACTGCTGATGTGGGCACCGAGCGGCGAGGAAGAAAGTATTTTTGAGTGCAATATTAGGCAGGGGAGTCCGATGAAGAGGCCGCAATGTATTCTCGGATCGACGGCCCATGGCACGTGGACAACACAAGGATTGTCCAAGCGTATTGAACCCTCAGCGGACGTATCAGCTCAGCACACACTGCCCTCTCGAGGCGCTCAGCCACTCTTTTGTTTCCTCCCATCCTGCTCTAGTGTGCCACGGGCCGCAGTACAAGGCATCCCTAGTTATAGCTTGAAGGCCCAAAAATGCGGTCGACAGACTGGAGCAATTGAATATAGCCGGTTTTAGGACATGCAGGATGACTTTGTGGTCGAAGGTATTTTTGGAACAAAGATTTGCGGGAATTTGGTCCAAGGCTGGTGACGCCACTCGCCAGCCAGTGTCTGAGTGCAACTAAGTACTTAGGCTCGTGACCAGCCGTTACCGGTCGTTACCTTTGAACTCCGCTGATCTAGACTCGCTACTATCATTAACGGGGTGTTGCAAATATTCCAATCAAACCACTATAGTGCCTCAAGAACTCAACCAATTTTTGTAATTATTTGACCATTGGAAAGCCTTAGTTCTAGGCTTTCATAATATGCTTTTTTCGTATTTATCTGAGGTGGGTGAGGTAGGTGCCGAGGCAAAAGAGAAAATCACCCAGTGTTGCAAATTTTGTCACGGTGGAGTCACGTCAGATCAAGCCAAATCAGAAATGATGAGGTGAGATTACAATCTCCGCCCTGTTCATCAGCACGCCCACCCTTCGTCGGAGTTCGAATGGGCTCGTCGTGAATTGTCACGCTCGCCCATTCGAACGTCCTTTTCATAGAGCTACTCAACGGATAGGCTCAAATTTATCTGTGGTGTTTAGCATAAGTATGTATCTCTGTTAGGACAAAGTTTTACAACTCTTCGACCAGTTTTGATTATTCTAGGTGGGCAATATGCTGTCAAACCACTGAATTTCACTATATCTACCCTCCTAAGCTTGTTTCCTGAGGGATTTTCCTCAAATAAAAAATAGAGTCATGTTAAGCATATTGGTTTACATTGTCTCAAATATTTTCAGAGGCTCAGTCCTGTTTGTTGAGGTGTGAGACAGTGATTTGCAACACTAGGTGAGTTTGCAACACTAGGGTCGTGATAGTACCAGTACGTTATGCAGTGACTTCATCCAAACAACTGTAACTTCAACCACAACAAGGACAACACCACCTATCAGACTTGGAAAATTAGGGTCACCGCATAACGACTGGGAGAGACACTTTTAGAGAGGTCCCGATTTGTAACAAAGACTTAGAGAAAAAAACGTTTGCGCTCACAACTTCATCGCTCATTTGCTCAATTCCCATCGGTTTTCCTCAGTTCTTTTGATACAATTTATTAATTACAAGGCTAGACTCTAGTTTTAACAAAAAATTAAAGTTATTTCGGAGGAAATGAATCAGGTGGAGCTGAATTCAAAGTTTTACTGTGAAAGGGTAAGCTGGAATTGGGCATTCGCGAGGGAGTTCTCCCTTGATTTGTAGTGGTGTATGGGGAATAGAAAGTGGGCATGTGGTAGCTGTATGGAGTGTAATTTTGGGGAGGGTGGTGCATGAGTGACAGGTGGGTGGAAATCGACCTAATGCAGGAACATCTAAACTATTGGATTAAAGTAAGCATATAAATTGATCAGAAAATATCAACTCACATCCTCGCATAGGTTTTCTACACCACCATTTGTTCAAAATGCTGATGGCATCTGGCATGAATCTCCGCTTGACAGATTACTGATGGAGGTCGCCCCGGCATGGAGGGCAGGTGTGTCGGAGCTTGGGGCGTAAATGTTAGAGCCAGCGGCTCGACACCTGACCCACAGGTTTTCAACTCTGCTCAGGAAGACCTGTACCGCCAATTTTCTTCGGGCGACGAAATGATGTACTTGAGATACAAATTATTCATAGTAAGATAATAAAATGATACATTGAGCACTTCCAAGTTCTTACAGGTAGAAAAGACATGGAATCCTGAGCTCAACATGAAAAGGCCCGTGCGAGAAACTCTCCAAAATTTCCCCAAGTCGTTTAAACTCCGCCCTATGTTTGGTTATTTCCAAACTTCAACCAGAACCAAACTCACCTTCCTCTCCACCACAACCGTCTCTCGCCCAGTTGCTTGCTTGCTCCCCTCATTATTTCTTGTTTTCATCTGTGTTCCACTACCAAGTGGTCTGCACCCCATGTAATCCTCCTCATGTTGTTCCGTTGGTTGTCCTTGTTACCCACCCGTGCGTCTGTGCGCGGTCGCCACCTGTCACTGTTCTGGGCTTTTGTTCCTGCCCATTGCCCCTTTGTAGTTCCTCCCCGACAAGTGGCCACTTGCTAATACTGACTCTCCCGGACAGGTTCACTTTCGCATTGCGCCACGTAGCGGCAGCCGCAGTAGACGCGCGCCTATCACCATCATCAAACCCAAGCTTGGCTCTCCAGACAACAGCTCAACGTGGTATCCGCCCTCCGCTACCCTCCTCTCATTCAATGAGCCAGAGGCTCCGCTTTGACGCGCCTTGTTTGTGGTTGCGCATTCAGCGGACAGCGCAAAGGGTGGTCGGGTGGGGGAATGTTTTTTGAACGGAAGAGCAGACACAGGTAGTAATTGGAGCTGCCTCATTTCTCACATCCTTCCATACACCCTATACCTTTGTACTATGCAGCCTGTTTATAATCCTTGCTTATGAAAATGTGGCCAATGTCATCCTCCTCCTTGCCCCTTGTATTTTATGGACTAAATAAGAACATGAATACCTAGTACAAATATGGCCAGGGAGAAATATTGAAAATATAGTGAATTTACGTAGGCTGGGCTGCCAGCTGGTCCCCAGCTGCCCCAGACAGGTAGTGCCAAGATCGACCTGGGCACACCCTGTTATTAGTCGGATTTCGATCCTGGTGTGGACTTGGATCATTATTGCCTGACAGGTGGGAAAACATGCCACACAGGGTTTGACTCTCAGGTTTTTCTCACATGCCTGTCATTTGGCGGTGTATAAAGCACATGGATCGAATGCGACCTGGGAATGGATCGAGTCAGTTGCGCCGTGTGTCAAAGTTCTTCGACAGCTGTCAAAAAGTTTCAATGACATCCTCGGCGCCGATCAAGGAATGCGACACGCACCTGCAAACCTGGTTGACAACATCCACACATTGATGGAAAGCCTCGACGAGAACAACGTATACCGGATTCAGAAAGGTCGGGTCCTCGATGACAATGACGAGCTCGTAAAAGATGTCATTGAAGTCGGCCTTCAAAATCTTACAGAGGGAAACAAAAACCCACTTTCTGACTATAACAAGGCCTTCCGAAACCTCCAGGCCCAACAAAGAATGAAGCCTGTTATCTCAGAACCATCTAAGGAGAATGGTCCTGCACCAGACCCAAACTTGGCCCCTCAGATCTCCAGAACAGCCATCCCACCACGACAGGAAAGCTTTCCAAGATTTGGTATGGGTAGGGAAGGCATGTTTGACGTGGAGTTTGACGTGGAGTTTGACGTGGAGTTTGACGTGGAGTTTGACATGGAGGATGATGCTGGTGAAACTATCAACAGCTTGTTTGGAGATCTTGAGGGTGACGAGGACGAACCTGGTTTTTCTACAACAGGTGCAGACGATGTGGCACTCGACATGGACTCCGAGTGGAATTTTGGAACGCCAGACCAGTCGAATGACGAGAGCGAGGATGATTCAGATGAGAACGATGATGAAATGATGTAGAATTACACGAAATTCGACTAAGTCTTTTGTGACATATGTGACTTGGTTAAAAGTGCCCCGTACTATGCCCTACCAGGACCTCGGCACCCCCGCACAGTCGGCAGTCACAAAATGTCACATTTTTTGGCGGAAGAACGTGACAGATTGTGACTGCCAAAATAACAGAACTTCGTCAATTCATCGTTTTTCTCGACGGAGAAAAGCGGAATTAGGTTGGATTAGGCCCAGGAGGTCCTCTCTGAAATTTTGTGGCAAGAGGTTTGGCGGAAGGGTTCGAACTCAAAAATGTGCCGACTGAGAGGGGGTGCCGAGGTCCTGGTAGGGCATAGTAGCTCCCAGCCGGTTCTTACAAGAACCTTTGGAGTCCGAATTTGTTCGGTGAGTAAGAACCGGTTGGTCACGAGCCTAACTGCCAGCCACGGAACATCGGGCGACAAAGCGGTTTCTGACTGCAAAAAGCACAAGTCAGGGCCATGGTGCCATGTCTGGAACCAATTTTAAAAAGAATCAAAAATCAAAAACTCCATAACTTGTCTACCATAAATTATGTTATTTGAAAGAGTGACTTAGCTCAATGGAAAGATTTGATTGAAACTGGTAATGTATGGTGAGGTCTCCAGTTCAATTGCCACGGGCTGCAATTTCTTTTCTCAAAAATATATTTGCTCTGACTTCTTCTTACTCTCCTATTTACATTTTTATGCACCAAAAATCTCACACCACCACTTAGAAATTTATAAACACCAGAAAGTATGGATATAACTCAAACCAATAGATTGGGAAAGAATTCATGAGAATTGACATTTTCCCCTTCCACCTCTTCCTGCACATGCTTACATCTGATCCTCTCTTGCAGAATCAAAGCAGACCATGCACCTCCTTTTTCTTGAAGTAGAACTGGATAATCCTAGTAGTGCTTTCCACTGTAAAATTTACCTTGTGCATTTTGGCCAAAAGAAATAAGTGAAATTCTCTGCTGAAGGCTCCTCTGGGTGTAAACTTGGAGGTTTTACTCAATATATATAACCATGCCTGAGGACATGGATGCCAAGAAAATTGATGTGATACCTGTTGTTGAGAGTGCAGACATATTTACTTTTCTCCAAATTTTCTTTCCCCAGGGCTGTTAGTGATGTTGATTCCCCATACTCTCCTTATAAATGTATAAAAATGGTTCAAGAATTTTGCAGCATAGTTGAATCCTCTGCTAGATTTTTCTCCTTTTATCAACTCATTCTGCCACTTTGTTTAGTTAATTTACAGTAAAAAATTCAAGGTGCTCATGAATTTTATAGAAATTATTCTTACAATTGGCCTTTCCTGATAATCAGGGAGCCATAGCTTCAAAATTAGGATCCTGAGTAGGTGAGAACCAGACACCATGGAGGGATACAGATGTTTCTTGCATTTGATTTTTTGTTTGTGATCTGACATTTCCTGCTTTGTGCTCTTCCTCAATATGAGTACCTCTGCAATGACCTATTTTTTAGTGCTACTTTGCATGTTCAACAACGGAAATTGGTGCAGTAACAGGCAAGATACATGTTGAGCATGCAGAATTAGTATTAGTAATCGTGTGACTCAAGCAAGGTGTCACACGTAAAAGATGCCTAATTCGTTCACAATAAGCCGGATATAGACATAAATTCTGAAATGGAAAGTAGGGTCTGATGGCACTACCGCTTTGAGAATTATGTCCAAATCGGGCATCTTTTTGGTTCCAGACATGGCACCATGGCCCAAGTCAGACTACCCAGCCCACATTGGGGCTCTTTTTGAGATGATTAGATCACCTTGCTTGTCAAGGTCTCCCAACGTCATAAATACCAAACAGGTACAAACAAACAACCCAGGGGCCATGGGGGTCTTTTCTTGCATATCGCGCACGCGAGCGGGCAAGCATGAACAAACAAACTTTCTACGGGCCATGGGGCTCTTTTCTTGCATATGGCGCACGCGAGCGAGCAAACCGGTGCAAACAACTGGTCTTTTCAAAACATGATATCGTCGTCTCTTTCTTAGGGCCAGCTCCAATGTTTATATACATAACTATGTAGCGCTATAGCTCTTGAACACTGTTTCCTTTGTTACAAAAAAAAAAGTTGGATTGTATTGGTGCAAAGCAGTGTATTTGTCAGCAAGCAAGGTGCCTGCTGCCGCTGCTAAGTGTCAGCCTCTAGTATTAAAGCCCGTAATGTACAGAACCGAAAGCCACTAACGCTCCGTCCGTACAGTAAGCAGGACTAAGTAATAATTGATGAGTAAATAATTATAAGTAATTGCAACTACATCTACTCATGTCCAAAGGAGTCCAATAAACACTCACTCTAAATCCCTACCAACCCTGAGCCAAAAACCCCACCAGAACCACACCCAGCATGCGCACGACCCACCCATCTTCCATGCCTCCAAACCCCAATCCACCCCGAATCGAAATCACACCACTCTTCTTTCCCCCGCCCGAGGTGCCACTGCTGGATCCCGTCGCCACAGAGGGACAAACAGTGCCATTCTTAGCCAGCGCCGAAGCGGGTATCAGAACCTATGCGTACCATCGTCAGACCCCAGTATCTATACAGCTTTATAAATAAAAGGCATGCATACCTGAGGCAACCCATTAACAACAGGCACGCTAACGCCCCCACTCCCATCCGCCTTGACGACAGCACACGATAACACGTCTACCAGGACTTCGTTCGCGCTCGCCACTCCTGGGGCGACCCAGGTAGATGATTTGGTGGAGTTGCTGCCCAGGTTGCTGAGGAGCGCTACTAGGGGTGGTTTTGAGACTGCGAGAAGGGAGGGATCTTGTTGGATTATAAATTTTAGCTATGATATGTTGGATGAGCGTGAAAGAAAGAGCAAAAAAGAGGGGGATAAGCGTACAGGCGTGGTAAGGAACGTGCTGTTAGCAGCAGCAGCAGCTTTCCGCGCCGCGTTGAGCGTAGTGACATGCGTAACTAACGGCTTGTTGGATGTAACAAATCCTGTGGGCCACAGGCTACCATAATAATTGAATTTAGCAGTGGTCGCGGGATGAATGAGAGGCAGGCGTACGCTTCTCGATTACCAGGCATCGCACCCCCCGTGAACCCCTGCTCTTGTCCTTGATAAAGTATAGGAATTCCGTCTTGTATAAAGGGCCATGTCATGGCGTTTTTAACGAGCTGAATCCATATCATCATGCCATACTTCAATAAAAAGGCGTCTATTTATAGCTCACCGAGATATCTTGAGTGATAGACTGGAACCTAGGATTGTCATGATTCTCCAAGAAAGAGCCGACTACGGATGGCGTAGAGTATGATTTCTGGGAAGCCGTGACGGTGTTGATTAGTGCGGAAAAGTTCCCAGTTTGGGAGCCGAATGCGGATGTGAGGGTGTAGTAGTTCGGGTAGTCGAGGACACTGTCCAATACCTCTGTCATTACATTCAAAATTAGCACAGGGTCGTAATTTGCGAAGAAAGACCCGAAACGCACCCGTATACGGGGCGGCATACCCCACATCCCCAATCAACACCTCTCCCATTGTAAACACCCCCGCAGCCTTTGCGAACGCCGGCCAGAAGTCCTTGCGAACATGTTTGGCAGTATCGATGCGCAGCCCGTCAATCCCATAACTCTTCACCAGCCCCTGGATCCAATTATTCATAGTCGAAACTATGCTAGGATTTTCGGTGTTCAAGTCCACGAGGGGCAGGTATTGGTCGCCAAGCCAGCACTGCTCGACGTTGGTCTGGTTGTTGTAGTCGGTTATGAGGCAGTAGGGGTGGAAGTCAGATGAATTTGAGAAGGGCACGAGTTTGGAAAAGTCGAGGTTTGCGTTGTTGGATGTGGCGACGCTGGATGTGCTCACGAAGCTGGTTCGACGACTCAGTTGACGAGCTAAAAACATGTTGGGAAAACACTCACTGGTTCACAACGACGTCAACCATCAAATACATATTGCGTTTGTGTAGTGCAGCGCTCAACGCTTTCAGGTCGTCCGCCGTCCCAAAGTGGGGGTTTAAACTCGTAATATCCTGAGCCCAGTACCTATTTTGCGTCAGAAATATACCACGCCCAGGCTGCGGTTAGCCACGCACCCATGATACGCCTGCCCATACGCCGTCGTCTGCTCAACGTTCGCCACAATGGGCGAGATCCAAATTGAGTCGAACCCCATGCCTTGAATATAATCCAAGTGGTTGGTGATCCCGTTCCATGTCCCGTTACAATAGAGTGCCTGCGTGGTGTTGCAAGACGTAGCTTGGTTAGTACTCAGCGAGAACCTGTCTGTTAAAAGCTAAATAGGACAGGTGAGTGGTTGAGTTCGGCGAGGAAAGAGCAGCGTGCCTGGTAAATAGCTCTTCCGCGCCAGTCGGTCGCGCTTGCGGCGAGGGCGGTAGGAACGGCGAGGAGAAGCACAGAAAAGACAGAAAAACGCGTGGCGAACATGTTGCCAGCGAGGTCGGGGAGAGTTCGTAGAGAGAAAGCAAGCAGTGCTGGGATGGTTGTCTGTGCAAGTTTGTATTTTTTTGGGTTACCTAAAGTCTCTCCTGGACCTGGACTCCTGATGTGGGCACCGAGTGGCGAGGAAGAAAGTATTTTTAAATTGCAATTAGGCAGAATTCGGCCCAGGGGAGTTCGATGAAGACGCCGCAATGTATTTTCGGATCAGACGCGATCGGCACATGGCACGTGTAGAACACGATTGGAACACTATTGGAACACGAATTCATCGGAATTGTCCAAGCAACTTGGCAGCGTATTGCTTATTTTGAATCCGAACCTCGAGGAAGTCACCAAAAATCACCCCCAGCGGAAGAATCTGCCCAAAGCTCTCGAGGCACTCAGCCAATCTTTCGTTTCCTCCAATCTTGCGGCTGCAGTACAAGGCATCCCTAATTATAGCAAGGCCCAAAAATGCGGTTGAAGTCCTGTGAAGACTGGACAGCAATTAAACATAGCCGTTTTTAGGATAGAGTCGTCATGAGGATGACTTTGTGGCTCTTTGTAGCTCTTTGTGGTCGAAGGTATTTTTGGAACAAAGATTTGCGGGAATTTGGACGACTCGTGATGGAGCATCTCACCCCTGCTTTTCCTCCGACGGCAACTAGACACCTCTGCGAAGTTTCTTGATTCCGGTGGGCCTGAATTAAAACTGCCCCAGCGGTCGAACATCGAGCGACACAGCGGCTTTTGGCTGCAAAAGCACTACTCAGCCCGGCAACATTGCCAGGACTCTCTTTAAAGTGCTGTTACCTGCGCTTTAGATTAGAACGTTGGACCTGGACACAAAAGAAGGCCGCCCCAGTTATGTTCTCCCGTGGTTGAAACAAGCAACTCCGTCAGCAGACCAGCGCAATCCATCCTTGTCAGCAAGATAGAGTCGTCATGCAGGATGACTTCGTGGTCGAAGGTATTTTTGGAACAAAGATTTGCGGGAAGCTGAACGACTCGTGATGGGACATTTTACCAGATTCTCCCCCGCTTTTCCTTGGACTACCTCTGCGAAATTTCTTGACTCGGACTCCCCTCACTTTGGACAAAGAACCGTACGGGTGGGCTTGAAATAGTACTATCACCAGCGGCTGAGTATCGGGCGACAAAGCGGCTTCTGGCTGCAAAAAACACAAGTCAGACTACTCAGCCAACATTGGGGATCTCTTTGAACTTCTGTTACCTGCGTTCTGGTACCTTGGACATGTACGCGAAAGTGTTCTCCCTTCTTCTCCGTGGTTGAAACATGCAACACCGTCAGCACACCAGCTCGATCCATCCTTGTCGACGCATTCATAAATCTCTGAAGCTAGAGCCTATGAATGTCTCGCAAAGCACCTTGTATAACTTATCTCAGGCGCGGACGACCCTTTGCTACCTGAAATTTACCTCAGGCAGGTAAATATCTTGCAGTGGCTTGCGTTCCTCCTGAAGTCGGATCCGCTGTTTGTTATTCCCTGCCGCGTCCCTGCCCGTACGACCCGCTTCGTGGAGCACATAGTAGAGCACTTGTATCTGATACAGGACTCAGGATACCGATGAAGACCGCCACAAGAATATCTTTCATAAACCCTATCTGGGCCTAGGTACCACCTTGCCCCCACCATTCACAGAACAGAAGGGCTCGTAAGCAGGCCTGCGCTCCAACTCCACTCCACTCCCACCTCGCAACTGTAGCTACCAAGTAGCTACCTCGTACAGTAACATAAATCATAAAATAACTACATGAATCATAAACGCACACAAGCCTCGAGCTCTTCCGTGTGCTACAACCAATAATACCTGATGTTACAATTTCCATAAATTTACTCCTTCACGCCTCCCAACTCCTCAATCTTCCCCTTCACCAACAAAGACGATGCATTCAAGGGAGTCTGCACATCCACAAGGGTATTATCCGAGGACGCCGAAACCCCTGCAAGAAACTGCGACCCTGGTGACGCAGCAGCTGTGCCCGCGCTCCCCGGTCCAACTCCAAGAGCCGCGTTGTCAATCAAAGGCGGCTCGACTCTCTGCTGCGACCTCCGTTTCGAAGACCGTCTAGCCTTCACATCGACCTCTTCCTTCCTGTGATATGTCGGATACAGCACACTCTTCCACTGCTCCGGGAGACCAGTGTATTCTCCCGTCGTCGAGTCGTACCCGACATGAAGGTTATGTACGCAATTGGACGGGTATCCGATGTCTGCTGAGATGGCGCTGGAAAGGTATATAGCGTCGCGCCATGTATATAGCTCTGCGTAGCTGGGGAAGAGAATGCCGAGGTGGAGGCCCTTTTTGGCGCCCTTTGCTGGTGCTGTTTGAATGAGGAGACAGTTGGGTCGTTTCGGGTCCGGTTCTATACTCTTAAGCGTAGATAGTTTGATGTCCTTAGCGGGTGGCGATGCCTGCATGATGCATATCAATGATTGAGTTTGTGTCAAAGAGAAATGTATGACGAACCTTGGTCGCTCGGCAATGAATGGTCAGAATGGCGCCCTTTAATGACAGCCAGCGTTCCTTCCAGTACCAGCCCATAAACAGCCCCGCTTCTTTAACAAAGTAGCAGCCCTCAAGGGTGTTGCCATTATTCCCCATGAGCGGGATCCGAGTCGTTGTGGGTAGGAACTGCCCAGACCTGGGCCGGCTGTTGGTAAAGCTTTGACCAGAGCGACGGCGTGAGGAAGTGCTCTGCGCAGATCGTGAAGTGGAGATGATGGGTGCTGATGGTACCGTGGCGGTTGGCGGGGCACGACCCATCATCGCCTCCGTATACGCCGGGAACGTTGACTGATCCTGATGACGAACAATTAGAGTGAATGGGTGCGTGCCACCCGCAAAGAACTGAAAACGTACCCCAAACGAGTCCTTCCCCGAGCCAATGTGCGTCTTATGCTCGAAATTGAAGGGGTTGCTCGTCGCTCCACCCAGTGGACATCTAGCGTAGATATCGTCCTGCCAATCATAGAGATCCGAATCCGTATCGAATGAAAAATGATACTGCCTCCCCTTCGCCGTGAGCGAGATACAATGTGGCGTCAAATCCGTTCGTTCGAGGACAGTAATATCGCGCAACAGAATCCGTGTCCGTCGTTCCGCGGATGACTGGCGCGTGGCACAGGTCAAAGACACGCCACGCGAGAGAGGAATACGAACGTACCTGGTGCAGAATGGTCAACGACTCCGGATCGAGAACGACGCCCTTTGATTTCCAAGCCCGCCTCGTGAATTTGCCTGGTTCGTTGACTTGAAGGGTGCCACTCCTTATGGATTTCGTTTCGGGTCTCAACGATGTCGCTGGCTTGCGCATCGCATCCATCGTGACTGCACTTGTTGATGTTGACATTGGCGAAGACAATCAGGAGCTCAAAGCGCCTGTTTGGCGTTTGAAAGCGTGGGTTGCGTTGCTGGGTGTGAAACAAATGATGGTCGCTGTCCCGTGCTGCGTCGCCCAGTCGTTCCCGCTTACAATTTCGTTTACGATGGGCTTGGGCCAGTAGTGTGGCTCTTCTAGGGTATATGGTGGTTATAAGCAAAGGTAAGTATTGAATGCAGGGATCAATGGGAGTTTCAAATTGGGCGGGACAACACAGCCACGAATTCAGGTGATAATTGCCTTGCAGCCGCAAATTTCAAAAATGAACAGGGAGAAAGGTTACTCCAGAAAACGGTATCTCAAGATATGGAACGCCAAGACGGGAGACAATGTTGTGTACTGAACAACGATGTAGCTGAGATTTAAAAAGAAAAAGAGGATTCTGGCATCGTATTTACAGACCTCCACGAACTTGGGGAAATTCCAAAGAGAAGATATGATGACGTTTCTTGACACTGAACAGGACATTGTTCTTGAGGACAGTCAGTGCTGATCAAGTGCTGATCGTCATAAGACCAGTATTGCGGTGGAGCACCCTGCATTGCAGGGATTCAAATTGTTTGTCTGAAAGTTGTAAATGACCGTAAGTGTCACATCAATTGGCCAATCAATACATACCGACCTGCCAAAACGAGCACAGTCGTGCGTTCTAAAAATCAAATTAGCCTTGGGACTGACGATTCTCTGAAAAAATTGCACACCTTTATAAGTAGTCGTTGGCAAGGATTGCCAAGTTTTGAAATCCAAGCTGGCGTCTGGCGCCAATCAATACGCGACCCCGCTAACGGACTACAGGAAGCTGACAGGCTTATCTAGACCGGCAAAGCGATATTATTTAAAGAGTTCGTTCCGTGTCTATCTTTGCAATCTGTAACAAAGGCGGGCGGAGATAGGAAGATGATGCGAGCAGCGAGCACCGCGGCGAGAGTCGCCAAACATCAGTTCAAGCCAGCCTAAAAGACAAGACGGTCATCTCCTACTAGCCAGGAAGTCTAGCTGACGAGGAACGTTGCCAGAAGCCAGAACCATACCACCAGATACCACCTTGGACGTGATCGGCGGAAGATGACAATAAAAAAAGCCATTTATGGGATACCTCCGCGTTATCGGAAAAGCGGAGTAGAAGCTGTGGAGCGGTGCCCCACTACTCTTATCTGGTATTGGTGACGTGCGGGATGATGAGGTGCGGAACCAAATTTGGGAGGGAGAGATTACCCGCCTGGGGTGAAGAATTTGATCTTTAGTGTTGAAGAGTCGACGCCGCCTGCGATATGTGCTTTATGTTTTGCGAGACATTCATGGAGCAGAAGAACAATATTGAGTGTTGAGAGTTTATGAATGTGGTTGACGTAGATTGACAGCCTTGCAATGCTGGCGGTGTTGTGAGTGTACGAGAGGAGAGGAAGATAAGAACGGTCTCTTCTGCAGTCCCGGTACAAATCTCAAAAATCCAGGAGAGCAAAGGACGACAAGAGCCTTTTGACCACATTTGGTTTTGTGATTTTCTGCACTAGAAGACCGTTTGTAGCACCTCGTGGGCATTGGGGATTCAAACCGACAACGTCGCAAGTCCGAAAAATCCCAAGTAGTGATTGACGGAGTCAAGCCAGCTCGGGACTTACAAAGAAAAGTCGGCAAGAGATTTCCGAGGAGGGTAAGTGTCCCAAACACCAGAGGAACCCAGTCTAAAAATTCTTTCGATCTTCATGGAATGTAAGGGACAGCTTGAGAAGCCTTCGCAGCTATCTGTATTTTACCCTCATGATGTCGGGCACCGTAAATCCAAAAATATATCAGGGCGCTCCCGTAAGTATGTTTTTTGCTGAAAGCGAACATGGAGAGTGCGGGGGAAAGTTCTGCCTATCTGATGTCGACTTGACACGATCAATCAGTGGGTGGCGTGGACAGTTGGAATGACAAGCGCTATGGCTAGATTTTGGAGTCCAGAAAGAGTCCTGACGTAGAAAAAACTCGCCCAAGCCTGAAGTTACTGTTTGGCGTACGGAGCACTCGGTGGAGTCCAGTGAGAGGCGAGAATGGACAGGAAGATACCCCTCGCCGACCGTCCAGTGCCGACAGAGTTACGTTAGTCCTTCTTCGAGTCAATCAAAATGCGATGGGATATCAACCCTTGAGGGAGAGACCGAGGCAGAGAGATGCCGTTGGTTGGCCGTTGGCCGTTCGTAGCTTATAAGGAAGTTACCGGCGTGTTCACGCTAACCTGGTGAGAATATCGCAGCCAAAGGGGAAACGGAGAGACATGTGGAACCTGACCAAAACCTGACGAGCCTGGGGGAAAAGTTGGAAGAAGTATCCGTATGTGACCGGAGTGAGTAAAAGTGGGGTGCTGCCAGCTGCTAGTCGTTCGAACTTCTGAGGATGTCAGGAACTGGTGGGACTATTTCGGAATATCTCCGTCGTTTTGTTGCCGGCTTCGTGGAAGAAAGTTGTGTCAGATGGTGCCCCAGGCATCTTTTGAATTAGGAATGTTCGAATTCCCCCCTAAAGTTTGTTTAAAAACAAAAGATAGCGAAGGATGGCGCTTGGGAATGGAAGCCAGTCTTACTATCCTCTTCGGAGAGTGACACAATCAGTGTTCACGATGGGCGTGATAATAGCTGGAGAAAGTATTTCATGAAAAGAAAGCCAAGAGAGGTCCCGGTCATTTTGTATGACTTGTGATTGCTGTGCCATACGTTGACAAAAGGTGAAAGTCTGATGAAAGAAAAGAGGCACAAGAGCGGAGGAGGGGGCCGTGTGCCGGAGCCGACGCCGCAGGATCGCATTTCCAATTCTAGTCCACAACCCGCGGTTTCATCTTTTCTTTAACACTCCTCTCCTTTTCTTGTCCATATTCCCAGCGTATTTCCTGCTATATTCCTTTCTGTTGTCTCTATTTCGTTATCGAAATCCATCCCTATCCTTATTTAAGCGCCTAATCTCAACAAACTCCCGAGAAATCGGCATAACGATCATAGAGCTTGTCGAAGGCCACTCGCAAGCTTCTTTTCAAATCTTAACCCACCATCACCTCTGCTAGAGTGGCCTGCGACGACAATGGGGTCATGCATGTCAGTGCCTGCGGGTCTGGAGGTCTCTGAGCAAGATAAGACGATGCACAGAGAAGCAGAGAAACAGCTCAAGGAGGTACGTTGGAATCGCTCAATTTCACTTTACACACTAACCCCGCCTTCTGCAGGCAAAGGCCAAGATGGCATCCCAGGTCAAGGTTCGTACACACTCATCAGAGACAAGTGGCTTGGCTTCATGCATCTGAATCGTAACAGGTGCTACTCCTAGGATCAGGCGATTCTGGAAAGTCTACCATTCTCAAGGTACGTATCGTTTACCTGTTACTACGACCCTTCTAATGAGAGCCATAGCAAATGCGTCTGATACACAAAGTACCGTTCTCGCCACAGGAGGTTGAATCGTATCGGCAATTGGTATTTGATAACATCACCCGGGGTCTGCGGTATCTACTCGATTCTATGGAGGACATGGATCTAAAGGTTAAGGATGAAAACCTCCCTTATTTGGATCTTGTGGACGGTGCGAGAGATATCCGTGATGGGGAGCCATTCCCTCTGTCATTCTATATCCCCCTCAAATCGCTTTGGAATGACCCGAACGTGCAAAAGGCTTGGGGCCGAGGGAACGAAGCAGCCTTACCAGAAAAGTTCGTCCACAACTTTTGTCCGTTGTCGTACACTAACCAAGGGTGGCACATAGTTTACTTTACTTCTATTCACATCTAGACCGACTATTCGACCGCGAGTATCAACCCACAGAACAAGATATTATCAGATGCCGGGCACGGACGATTGGGATCACAGAAACGACATTTAACTTGCGAGACCACGAGATGCTTATGGTCGACGTTGGTGGGCAGAAGAGCGAGCGGCGGAAATGGATACATTGTTTCCAGGATGTGACGAGTATTCTCTTCCTCGTCAGTCTCAGTGGGTATGACCAGTGCCTAGTTGAGGATAAGGACGCGGTACGTCTATCCATCCATTATCCTATTGCCTTTTTCTGACTTGGAACCCAGAACCAAATGCAAGACGCGATGACCATCTGGGACTCAATATGCCATTCACAGTGGTTTAAGCAAACATCGATTGTGAGCCGCTCCTTGACCCAACCCGTCACGCATCTTGAACCGGCCGCCAGATTCTTTTCCTGAACAAGAACGACCTTTTCGAGAAGAAAATTCCTACTTCTGACATCAAGAACTTCTTCCCCGTAAGCAACTCAATCAACAGCCTCTTACGATGGGAGCTTGACATTACGTCATCACTAGGACTTCGATGGGGAGCCAGGTGACGTTCGCGCAGGTCGGGAGTACTTCAAACGGCGGTTCGGGAGGCTCGCGCAGAAAGCTGGTAGATCAAAAGAGCGGGAAATCTACATTCAGTGCGTACCGGTCTCCTCTTTCATTGCCTTTCAGGGTTGAAACCTTTGAAATATGAAAGTATAACGACGGCCACGGATACTGCAATGCTCCGGGTCGTAATGGCTGCTGTCGAAGGTGCGTTTCGCCGCCGTTTATCCGATACTGTTAACCTTGTGCTTATGGGTTTTGTCTGCTTTCTACAGAGTGAGTGTTCGATTCTGTTGTCTTTTTTCCTTTCCCTTTTGAAATCTTCTTGGACGATACCGTTCTCGTATTCGCTATTCGAATCCAAACGTCAACCGTACGCTCAACGTCCTCTTTTGCTTTTTTGCTATAGCATTGTTCTCCGCTCGAACCTCGAGATAGCGGCGTTGATTTAGCCCTAGCTTTGGCTTGGACCTTTGCACTTTTTTTAAAGATCTAATTATCATCTATGCAGACTCTCCTTCCGCTTCTCCTTCTTTCTTTGGTTTATGGTTTATTTTTATGCTTTTTGGTGGTTTGGGGGGTGGTTTTTTGATTTCTTCTCTTTCTTGACCATTCCTCTCTCTTTCTCTCTCTCTTCTCTTTCTCTGCATTTGTAATTCTAATCCAATAACCGAAACTCATACATCTGCCTTTTCTCTTTTTTTCCCATCCATCCATCGCACACTTGAACCTTGCCAAACCAAATCAAATTGATCATTCCGCTCCTCCGCTCGGCTCCTCTACTACGCACAACTGAATTTGTCAACTCCGTCTCGGAAACGAAAATCGACGCGCCAACCTTCGTTCCTCGCTACGCCGCATCTCCGTTCCTTTGGCGTTGACAGTGCGATTGTCAGTAAGAATGTGAGTTCTTGCTTACTCGTCTCCAGTCATCTCGGTTCGCTGGCTGATTGACGTGTGTCTTTCCCTTCCTTCCCTCGTCTAGATCCGAACTATCATGCTATGAGCTGCGCGTCTCAACACACCTGACCAACCCCCATGGCGCCCCTCCTATCCATCCATCTCCATCCTGACATGTCAATAATGTCAGTTGGACGACGACCATCATGCCCGCTACCAATTGCAACAACTCACGACCCACATCACCACCACCGCCACCACCCATCAACGCGTCGTCGCATTTGATTCCTCCTCGCGCTTTTTTTTCTTGCTTATCTATGCTACTTACTGATGAAACGCAGCCAAGTCGTTAAATAACTTATCCTGGACCTTCGGTCTTTTTTCTCCGTGCTGGCAGTGCAGGGTTGATTCCCTTTTATTTCTCCGAGGATTGACGATGATGAGGATGTGGGGCTCCGTGGGCTTATGTGTGGGGTTGGGGTGTGAGGTTTTTTGGTTGGTCGAGCTATGTACTTATGAGAGATGCATGGAGAAGAAGAAGCAGTCTCTGATTCCTTTTACTCCCCTCACTCACTCCCTCTTTTCTTGTTTTTTGTTTGTATACGTACCGATGCATTAAATATATTTTACAGCACCTATTTTCTTATCTTGATCCCCCCACCTTGTTACTTTCTCGATGGCCATGATTGACGTTTCGTGTATGAACATAGTTGTTTTTCCCACTGATATGGCGCAAGGTAATTTGGCGGTAAAATCCAGAAATACGTATATTCACCGAAGAAATACCGGGCACATGAAGCGGGAAAGGAACGTGATGATCTTCTTTACCGAAATAAAGACCATAGGGCAGATCTGGATAGTCTCGTGCCCATCCGTTGTGGAGAGTGAGCGGCCCGCCGGACCGTCGGAGTGTGAAAACACACTGCAGAACACTCTCCACAACGTCTGGTGCAATTGGTAGGGCGAACCTACGGTCGAGTCACAGCGTGACAAAATGTAACAACTTCACGTAGAGTTTGCGTAGAGTAGGGAGCAATATCAACACAGTTTACAAGCATTGGACCTGTTACAAACTATATTTCTATGTGTAATGGTAAGTACATGTGAGCTATGTTATAATCTGGTAGCCAGCTCGGAGGGAAGGGACATGTGGGGTTCAGAGGAAGTTGTGTGAGATAACTGGAGGGACGACGAATGCATGCACGCTATCTACTCTTCGTGAATGGCCATCAAGACAATGAAGCTCAGTGTTTGAGGATATGACACCGGAGCGTACACAGGCAACCCGGCGGTCACTCATGCGGGGAAATGTGGCTTTTGTGCACGTATTCCTCAGCCTGGGCGCATGTGACACCTTGGACGCGCTGGAATTCTGTAAGGAGGTTTGAGCGTATGCCAGCAAAATCGATGTTGTCCGTAACATGCTTAAGAGACTCGGGAGTCGTGTTGTTTACAGTTGCGACAATATTGGGAAGTAGGGCAGATTGGAGACGTGAAAACAGGGATGCTTGTAGGAAACTTGATGAGGAAGGGTCGTCCTCGTTGATGTAGTTCGACTTTTCGCATGTGTGCGGGGAGTAGGCCGTTTGACACAGAGAACCGGTTGAGAATTTGTTAGTCGACCATTTTCCAAGAGATTACAGGTGTAAAGTACCTTCTAACTGACAGTCCATGTAAACAAGTCACGACTATCCAGCACGGTAACAGTTGTGGAGGGCAAGAAGGCAGCTTTCCTCTGTTCAGCCCTTTGTGACCTAAGATGCCGATGACGATCTGTCGTAGTTTATAGCTGTAGTCGATTAGCAGGAGAAGAGACAACCTGAGCTTGACCTGAGCGTCGGATTGAGGTCGCCAGCCAAAATGTTACCGTCTGTCACGCTGTGACTCGACTGGTGGTTTTGCCTACCAATTGCACCAGACGTTGTAGGGAGTGTTCTGTCATGTATTTTGTAACTCCGACGGTCCTGCGGACCGCACTCCCTTACAACGGATGGGAACGAGACTACCGCAGCTGATGGGACCTTCTCTTCAGAAGGCTTACTTGGCTATGACGATCATCTGGTGCATGATAGAATGATTGAAATATGAGCAAGAACCCGGTTTCGCCTAGCCATCGTGTGATAAGTCCTTGAACTAAAACAAAACTTCAGTCTGGAAAGGGAAAACGGAGCGCTGCTAGATAGTCACTTTCTGAGCTTGCGGTTCCGTAGTGTTTGAAGACTTTGACGGAGATTGATATCAAACTCTTGCGATACGGTAATTGTTCCCGTCAACTTCTCATGAGTCATGAAGACGAAGAACCGGACATGTTATTGACGTTGGGTGGTTCAGATCATTTGACTTCGTGCAGCGCGTCGGCTCTAGTTTCCCCAGCGTCAAATAAGAATCTTGTTCTGGGGCTCCTCAAACTGGAATGAAAGCCGAGAAGTTTTGGCAAGGGTATGGAAGTCGTATGGTAAGCGGAAAAACTTTTGTAGATCGCACCGCTCAACACGAAAGAGATATTCTCCAACTGACATCAAAGCGGTACGCAAAGCGCGGCGGAAGTTGCAGAGAGCATTGGCAGTTCCAAGGTAGAGTACCAGTGGGAGTTGAGTGGGAGACCAGAATTTCACGTCTGGTCACGCAAGAACGTGATGTGAGTCACATGACAAGGTCATCAATTAAAATCGTTGAAGAACACAAGTTGATTTCTCTCTTGATTCTCTCCTTTCCCCACCCCATTGAAGTTTTATCCACTCTCAAGAAAATGCCCATATTCGACAGCAAGAGTAAATACGTTTTCGGGGAAGGCAAGCCGTTGAAATTCTGTCACTGGCCACACTGTCCGCTGGGGCAAAGTGAGGCCGCCTTTGCACATCGAAAGATGAGAGTTTGTGGAAAATGCACTGTCGTTAGGTATTGTGTATGTATTCCTTGAATATCTTGCAGGCACTACTTTGATCTTGTAAACTAGAGCAGAGAATGTCAGGAGCAGCATTGGCCTTTTCATAAAGCTCGTTGTCGGGCACCGGCGTATGTCGATATACGCCAATTTATTCTTTCACTGTTTACAGCTCTAGAAGTAGATGTCGAGTTCCATATTTTTCTCCGCAGGATTATGAATGGCTGTTTAAGTGGGCCATCTTGGAAGGGATGGAAGTCAACACAAACCCAACAAAAATCCTGGACCACTGCATGATCGTAAAAGTTATGCAAAGGGATCGCATCCTCGACCCAAACGAGCCACAGGACTTCCTCATCGAATCCGCCTCGGTCGCGAAAATTGTCGACACTTACGCGCGACTTTTTCCCGACTCCAAGTCTGCGGTAGAGCACATAACAAGGGATATCGCAAATTCAGTAAACATCAGGAATAGCGGTGGGACAGGCCAGGGATTGGCGCTTTTTGTTTGTGGGTCTAGTATGGGAAGGCAGGAAGCACCGCGTGATATTGTGGTTTTGCGGAGATACGCTCTGATGGATCCCCTTGTTCCGGCGGGCCATCGAAATATGCATGAGTGGCCGGGTATACTTAAGGGAGTGGCTAATGCAATATTTAGCTATGAGGACGTTTTGAGGGCAATTGGAGATTTACCACGATTCGAGTCGGAGGAATCTGGCAGTGACGAAGATTCGGAGGGGACATGGGCGGAATCTGATACGGAAGATGAGTCGGAATAAATGGATCTACCCTCTTATTATCGCGCGATATTTACGACCGAATTAGTAAGTTTGGGTCAGTCGAATTCAAGTGTTTCTGGATTTTAATAATTGGAGTGGCTAGAGGGTCGGGTTAGGGGGATAGTTCAGCGATGCCTCATTGATTGGCAAATTGTGGTCTTTGTACAATGGAAACTCTTGTTTCAAGCAAGTACTTTCAACTCAACTTGGTCGAAACGGTTTGGAAACGGGGCAACTTTGTTGGCAAACAAGTACAAAGTCCTCGGCTTCTCATTCAACGTTCAACTTCCATCCATCGAATTACTTAGCAGATGTCTCTCCTGGTAGCCACAGATGAGAACGACTCAAGGTTACTCAAATCAAGGCACCCAAGCAAAATCCTTTCTCTCGATCAAGGAGGGTGAGAACCCCTTATCTTGCGTTGAACAATATAATTCTCTTGACAACTTGTTATGTATAGTCAATGGTCAAACCTTCAATGTCCTCTTCGAAAGGGGATCATTTATTATAGCCGAAGTAACGCAATCTATGAGCAAGACCTTTATTCTTCCAAAAATGATGGGGTACATTTACATATTCAATATTCCCAGCCACGGTGGATTGCATCGCTTCAACATACTTCAATGGCAATCAGCTTTACGCTCTTTCCAATCAATCGCAATCAGATTCTACTCATAGGGATGACCTTTGAAGAGAGCTATTACACTGATGAAACCTGGCACTATCTACACCTATCAATTCACGAGATCCACTCTTATCGCGTTGGTCCTGCCTTGTGGACTTACCACGATTATGGTCACTCAGATATCTTCGCGTTGCAGCCAATGAAGTCGACCACAAACGCTTTAGGAATCACATTTGGGCTGGATTTCACAAGCTGTATGGAGCTATTTGACGTCTCCACTGACGCGAAAGAAGATAGGTACCCTCTAGTCAAGGCTGGGCAATTGAAATATAGTCGACAGCTCAATGGCGCCGGTCCGTCATCATTCTTAAATATATCATGTTCTGCCTTCATGCATTATTGAAGTTGTACTATCCCCCGACAGGCGTATTCTTCTTAACGCAGACCAGAACAACGAAGCAATCGACATATTCTACTCCGGCACGGGTGACACAAATAATATGGATTTTTCTTTCGTTACTCGTGTCTCGATTCCAAATCCCAAAGGCACCAACCGTAAAGAGGGGAGGCCGTTCGGACCCCCCTCACTTGTATTTTCTGCTGATGGGACCAAGTTCGCTGCCGGGACAACTGATGGCATAGTGTCAGTTTGGGAGGTGCGAAGTAAGATTCCCTTGAAAATATTTGAGGTGGATGTGCCCAAGGACGTTCTCCAACAACCTATATCGTATCTTCAATTCGGGAGTGGAATATTAGGGAAAGAGGTTCTGGTATTTATGGAGGTGAGTGGATGCCTCTCATTCAATCTCATGTATCTCTGGAACAAATGGCCATTAGAACCAAGTTTCAACTGATCTGAAGATCATCCACCTAATTGACGCAACATCATTTGAAACAGAAGAAACTCTCTGCTTACCTAGAACTGACTATTCCTATGGAGGCAACCGAGGGGAGAACACATTATTCCTTGAGCCGAGCGGCGGCAGTATATATGCCTCACTGGAGGGAACACTTTATGAGTGGAATCTGCAGGAAAATACTGGGCCTGAATGGTGGCTCAGGGAGATGTAGAGTGAAACAGATATATGTCAGATCCAAGAAACTTCTCACTTGCCTACACAAAAGAAAATCCTTTTCGCAGGTTAAAGCTAAATAGTGCTTGGAAGTTAGGTTAATTAACTGGAAAATAACCGAGACCAGACCGGACCTAACCGCAAAAAAACCGGACCGCGGTTAGTGGTTAGTCAATTCTGGAAATGAAATAACCGGTTATTTTGCGGTTAACTAACCGTTAAAAAACCGGTTATGACCGGTTACAACCGACCCTATTATACCCCTTCAAAACGTATCTAAAAGCATGAGAAACACTAAAAATCTGACAGAGTTATGGTCAAATCTCTATAATATTGGCTAAAATAGTAGGCTTTCAAGAATATTATTATAAAATTGTCAATTCTTCACCGAATTTAGCGTTCTTGGGCTTGTTTTAAAGCTACGACGCATGGCAATAATATTTACTGCAAGGAATATGAGAAATATACGCCATTTTAATCGATTTTCTATTTTTCCGGTCCTAACCAGTTAGTAACTGCAACTAACCGGTTTTCGTCGGTTATCTTTGGTCCAGTTAGGTTATTTTGGGTCTGGGAACGAACCCTAACCGGTCTCGGTCTCGGTTAGAGCCCCTGGGCACCCAATAACCTAACCTAACCGGACTTTCAAACACTAAAGCTAAATGATGTTATTATTCTTCGACCCGAGTGTAGGTAATGTATGGTTCTCCTGGGAGAACACTTGAAGTTTGCAAGTGTAACCTACAGAACCTGGTAGGTTGAGGAAGAATAATCTAGAGCATCCTTTCCTGCTGTGACTGTTTATTCAGTATTCTGGGTGTATACCCAATTTACATTAAAATGTTCAACACAATATTAACAGAGTTTGTTTTCTTGATCTCGAGTGTTCGTTGTTTCCTTGCCAATACCTCAGCCGAGGTCAATGCAATTTCGGTCTCTTCTCCTTCAAAAACTTCTTTTGCTTGAACACTGGTTAACCAGTTACTCGTTTCAACGAACTACAAACGGCGTGATAAAAAGTATTCTGGTCGAGCTGGACATCCTACTCCTCCCCAATCCACCATTCGGGACCAGGCTCCTTTTTCCGCAGGTCCCACTCGTAGATTGTCCCATCACGTTCCGCGTACAGAGTTCCCCTGCTTGGATCGAAGAAAAGTGCACCCACTAAAGAGCCGTCTGACCGGAAGGAAAGCTTTTCTTCCATCTCAAACGACGTCGCATCGATCACATGAATGATTACAAGATCGGAGGCTCTATCGTGCTAAGGATTCAGACCACTTATTTGAGAGGTAGGGTTATCAGAATGTGAACCTAAGACATACCTCTACAAATACCAGAATTTTTTTTCCTAAATTTCCACTGCTAAATTGAGGATATCGTAGATGCTGGCGAATGGCCTTGGGCTGGGGGGGTTCCGTGAATGTCCACAAAGGAACTTTGCTTCGGATGTTCCAAACAGACACTCCGTCAAGAGGCATACCCATGGCAAACTTGGACCCATCGGCGGAAAATGCAAGTTCTGGTATCTGAACTCCACCTTCTCTTACTGCGAGACAGGGAATAGACATGCGGGTGACGAAGGAAAAGTTTGCAGCACCAAGATCCAGATAGTGAATGTCAATCGTTTCGTTGTCTCGCCCGGTTTCCACATCCATGTTTAGGAGAATGCGCGTGTCAGGGGATAGTATGACTTGGAGAACATCAGAGCAGGTTCAACACGACGACATGAAAATTTTGGACAAACAGGGAGGCTCATCGTATAGCGACCACAACTTGAACTTTGGATCAAAACCTATTCTCCCCGACTCAATTAGAGGAAAATTATTCGAGGTGTCAGTTTCAGAAGTAGATATGTTGAACAGCTTCCAATGGTCGACAAATCGAACCCAAAAAGTAATTCCCAATTCATTTTCGGTGGATTTTATCAGCTCCAAATGACGAATATCGAAGCGACCATCAACGCTACCGTTAAAAGACCACAGAGCCTCAGGACCAACACGAAGATCAGAGCGGATTTCGTGGATTGATAGGTGTAGATAGCTTGACTTGATATCCCAGTTCAAGGCCCAGTCCCAGTACTTTGCGAGTAGTAGGATCCGATTGCCTTTGACGGGGACGAAGGACATGTTCCTTAAACTCCACGACGTATAACTCGGGACAATGATTCGTGGCTTGAAAGCATAGTTAGTTGTATACAACTTTCTCAGTGAGCGACATGTGAACCAACCTCATGTTTTCCAGAGGAATGGATGTTGTGCTCGAATATCGTGCCGTGCCGGTGATAACAAATGATTCCCTTTCGAAGAGGACAATGAGGGTCATTAATGTTATATTTGCTGCTATATCTGAATCTACAAGTAAGCGATGGTGTTCAAACTTCAATGGATATACAAAGGGTTCTCACGGGTACAGGATGGTCTTTCTTGGAATCCTTGACTTTAGCAACCGTGAAGGTGGTTCATCCATCGATGGCTGGTCAGAGTACGGAAAGAACGATGCCCTGGCATATAAGCGCGGTCGGGCTTAGAGGGCGCTTATCACAATCTGTGGATCGTCCAACCTGACACTCATCACCTTTTTGTGGCCCTTCTCTGGAACACAGAGACTCTGATCCCGCACCTAGTCCCTTTTCGTGTCGTCTCTCTCATTCCTCGTCACTCGAGTACCGGAGCTCCTTTGTCCCCCATTCAAGAGGTTTAAGCCCTCTCTGATGGTTTTCCATCTCTCTGCCCGTCCTCCGCGTTTTTCCACCACGAAAGGTTGATTCTCAAGCAACCAACAAGGCACTTCCTGGCCCTCAAGCACCGAGTGCGTGGTTCTATATGACACCACGAGGAAGAGTCGAGGTCAATAGGCGCCATCGGCTGACCATGCGCGCCTCGGATTGTCTGAGTTGGACGAGGTTTGTGCTCCGCGCAATGTTGGGTCGTTCTGTTCATATATTCACATGAAAATGACGCAGATGACGGGAGAACACCAACGCACGTATCACCTCGGCCTTTGGCGCGTTTGTAGGGACTAGGGCAGGGGCAGGGAAAGACGCAGGAGGTGGAGGTGAAGAAAAAATTGGGGATACCGATGTTGAAGAAACATTTGCAGAGTTCGAGTTGAGATCGTTACTGGCGATGCCTTTCATCCTGTTATTCAACGGGCTGTCGAGTGAGTGGGTTCTCCCTTCCTGTGGCGATGACGTCTTACTGACTTGAATAAAAGCCCAATCGCAAGGCCAACGACTTGATCAACCATCGAAGCTCCGACCAACCGCACGTTCCTAGACTCTCTCCTCTCGGACGTCAACGTGTGGATCAAAGCCATCCAAGTGGTGACCAAGGTCACGAGCGACGTTTCATCTGGCACGGCATCGCAAGAGGTCAACTTCTAGTTGAACCTCGAAGGGGCTTTGGAAGGTATAGAGGCGCAGTTGAGGAGCGAGGAGGCGAAGATGCGTTAAGGAATGCAAAAAATTCCATGTGACTGCTAGCTTTATCGCTGACACCGAGTTGAAGGATGCTACAAATCGGTGAGTCTCTCTTCTTTTTCTTAGGGATAAATGAAGCTGATGTATCCTGGCAGTCTACAGATTGACGGAAGACTTTTCACTAACGACAATCCCACCTTCTCTACGACCTCGACAAGGTGGACGAATCACTAACCCTCAACGAAAACAAAGAGTGTCCTTCTACCCAATCCGTCGACCTCTTCCACTTGTAAAGCAATCTTATTCAAAGACCTCCCTCCGCGGATCTTGACATCTCACGGGCTAGCATGCACACCTTACCCGCCTTCGAACGTCTCCTCGCACGGTCAGCCTTGGGGGAGAAGGAGGGGTGGGAGATGGATGTGAAGGCGGAGGTGAAGGAGGTCGAGCGGACAGCTGATGTTCTGGATATTAGTGTTGGTCAGTACTTTTCTTTCCTTCCTCTCGTTTTGTCTTCGAGTAACGGCTGATGTGGGTACCGTACCAGAGGACAGCGAGATATGGGTAAAGCGCAACGAGCGTGTGTATCTGTTCGAGAAGATCATTGCAAGGCTTTGGGATAAACTTGGTACGGCGCGCAATGTGAATGTGATGTTCGGGGTTTTCTCGCGCTTTTCACCAGGCCAAACGTACATCCATTCTTTGCCTCTTGTGATCTTTCTGCTGAACGACACTGATGTAGATTCGTGGTGCGATGCGGGAGTACCAGACTCATTCTGTAGAGGAGAACATCAAGCACGACAAGGTACCCTCTTCTTCCTTCTTTTCCATCCATTTCCAGCCATTATTGACCTACTAAACCACCAGTTCAAAATTCAAATCGAGAGCGCAGAGTTTTGGCGCCTATTATGTCAGTGGTTTACATAATGGAGCAGAAGTTGCCAAATTGCTTTCGCTGCTATTGACACTCCTCCAAATTTGTTGACATCAATCCATCAACTCCTCCCATGCACCCCTTGCCCATTCTATGAGCACTTTACTACGGCTCAACGTTGCAGCGCTCACCCCAGTTTTATGGTTTTCACGCAACTGCAAAAGACTCGACCCAGGCTCACTTTGGGTCCACTGCGATGAGGGTGTATCTGGCGTCATCATTCCTGTCAAGCTCATATACTTCATAACGGAACACGAACGATACTATCTCGATCTTAAGCGCCCCCCCCACCATATCGTTCAAAGCGATTCCGTCTTCATCGTTTCTGGTGGCAACTTTAACAACCGTCACGTTCTCTAATAATGCCCAGTTTGAGGAAAAGGGATGGGTCCGCTATGTTCATTCAGATGGTTGGATCTACTTCTCCAAAAGCGTGACATAAACCAGAGGACATTAAGCTTCATGAAATCTGCGGCGATTGGAAGGGTGGAATCGTGACCAATGCTACATTGAACTCCCAGGCCGCCAATGGAACCAGCATAATCCTGAACGACTCGATGCTACTTGAGTCCCTCGATTTGATTGAAAAGAACTTTGGCGAGAAACTCGTGAAGGAGCCGCCAGCTACGGCCCAACTTCCCTCACCGTTCCCCATGAAAACTATTCTCGTGGCTTGGGTTGCTCAACGTCGGTGAGCTCCTTTTCTACGATATCGCGTTTTTCCTGATTTGTTTTGCTAGCCAAACACCGCCAGACCAGCGAGTACGGCGTAGCACATTCGAAGAGGCACGCAAGGCGGAACAGTTTGAGATTTGAAGACTCTCAACTTTCTACTGAATCTATTCACCATCTACATAAATAACTTAGTTCAAAAATCGACCTTTCTGCGGCCCACTAGCGGAATGTTAAACAAACCCTGCCATCCTCGCATCCCCTAGATGACTGGCTGAATTTGACGCCTGAGAGCTCAGCGCTCAGCTGCGAGTTACACAGTTACACTGAAGGCGCGCGGTGTAGTCTGGGATGTTGAAAAAAGTGTGGTGGGTTTACCGCTCTGCTGGTGGAGGGACATTGTCGTACGTGGTTTTTGCTGTGAAATCGATCCAATGTTGAAGTTTATATAGACCAACAGCAGGTTTTTCCTCTCAGCTCGTGGTGCAAAAGATCCACTCCTAGAGAACGCTGTTCTTGACCTCCCAACGGCGCGTTTGGCCCTCCCATTGACACAAGATAGATAAGCCCATCATTCAACATCCTCCAAATATTGTTTCCTTTTCTCCCTGCATCAACGTCGGCTACTCGTTAACCTGCTCTCCCATTCAATCGTCGGCCTCCTTCTCTTTTCCAATTAACCTCCGCGCATATAGGAACACGCGATTATGATCTCTTTCTGAAACAACCATGCGCATTCTACATTCCTTACGACAACTGGCATCGTTGTCATCCTGCGCCCCTCTGGCTCTGACGTCTCACTCACACTCGGTCGCTTTTCATCTCATTCCACCTCTGCCTCCACGAAAGGTCGATTATCTGCAACCAACAAAGGACCCCACCCGTTTTGGCCCTCAACCACATAGTGGTTCGGATATGACATCACGAGGATTGGGGTCAATAGGTGGCAGCGGCTGAATACACGCCTCGCATGTGTCTGCGAATCGTCTGAGATTCGAGAGCTCTGTGCTCTGCGCAATGTTGGGTCATTCTAGTCATATATTCGCCACACACGTACCACCTCACCCCACATTTATCTTACCACTCAACACACATCACGACACTCGCACTCATCGAACGAACAACGCACATCGACCCAGTCGTACCGCTTTCTACGCAGCTCCACCTCCTCAACCTCTTTGGTGGGGACGAATCCCCATATGAGCCGTTACACGCCGTGATGAGCTGCAGAGTTAATCCATGATTCAATGTGTTTGTAGGGACGAGGGCAGTGGCAGGGAAAGTGATTAAAGGTGAGTGGGTGCCAACATAGGTTGGATGGGGAAGGTGCTAACCAGAAACAATCTCTGCAGCTTCAGACTTGGTGGGATGAATATCATGTAGCTTCTGACGTCGACGTCGAGGGCCGTCTGTGCTGGAGGGCTGTTTCAGGATGCGCGTTGGATTGGTTGAGGGACGCAATAGATATGGTAGGGTAGGATGAGGCGCGTGTTTAGGTTATGAGATAGGAACCTGACTCGGAGGCGTTCTTCATTACACGCTGACTGCAACTCTGTTCACAATCAACCGAATCTGCTGTAACTGGCATTCTGATCTTCTAGTATCGGCATACACTCACCTTGACCCAGAGTATTAGCGTACCCGTCGAAATTCAAATAGTCACGTCATATGTGAGAATTTCTGGAGAATCGCGTTGCCGTGAGGCTCGAAGGAACTTGAAGGAGAAGGAGTGGACGACTAACGTCGACTAACACTGAGTAAGTACTGAGCACTTGACGGTTGGACTTTGTAATCCTTCGTGATCACCGCCACTCTAGACAACTTTAGACGCTCCCAGCCAGCTCCCGGATCGACAAAACTTCGTCAAAAACAAACAAAATGTGTAAAAATCCCTGTATCTCACAAGCTATGAAGAGGTTAATCCCCGAGGTAGACAGAGTTCAAGTTGGAAGTAAACCTAGGTAGTATCATTAGCATTCAATCGGCCACTATTCCAACGGCGACGTTTCGCGGGGAAAGCCCTGTGTTCGAGGGTAAGTTTCAAATGACCATCTTCCGCGCACAAATTAATCCATAACCGCAACAGGATGTGAATTTTCAAACTCACTGAACCCTCCCTAATGGTCTTTCATCTCTCTGCCCCTCTTCCGCGTTTTTCCACCACGAAAGGTCGATTCTCAGCAACCAACAAGGGGTTCGTATATGCCCGCTTCGGATTGTCTGAGCTTATCGAGGTCTGTGCTCCGCGCGATGTTGGGTCGTTCCATCCGTATATTCACATAGAAGCGACGCAGATGACGGAGGAACACCGTACCACCTCATGACTGACATAACACCCAACACACATCACAACCCTCACGCTCATAGAACGAACAACGCACTTGGACTCGGTCGTACCGCCATCTACGCAGCTTCACCTTCTCAACCTCTTTGGCGGTGACAACACGCCGTACGAGTCTTTACACGTCGTGGTAAAGCTGTGGTGTTAAACCACGGTTTGACGTGTTTGTGGAGACTGGGCATGGGTAGGGAAAGATGCAGGAGGGGGAGGTGGAAGTCGCGAAGCCAACCGATGACGAAGAAAAACTTTGCAGAGCTCGAGTTGAGGTTGTTGCGTCGACAGAAGAATGTGGAGATTCCGAAGGCGAATTTAGTCATTCATCCTGTTAATCGACGGACTTTTGAGTTGGTGGGTTTGTTTTTTTCTGCGGCGATGGCATCCCACTAACACTTTCAACCGCAAGACCAACGACCCAACATCTCCTACATCCCGTCAAAGCTCCTTACCGACAGCCCCTCTGCACGTCAATGCATGGATAAAAGCCATCCAAGCGGTGACCAAGCTCACGAGAAATGTTTCATCGGGCACGGCATCGCAAGAGGTCAAGTTTTGATTGACCCTCGAATGGGCTATGGAAGGCATGGAGGCGCAGCAGAGGAGCGAGATGGTTAGGATGGTCATGGACGCATTGAGGAATGCAAAGAAATTCCATGCGACATCGCTGGTACCAGGTCGAAGAGTGCTACTGATCACGGTGGGTCTCTCTTCTTTTTCTTTGGGATATATGAAGCTGATGGATACTGGTAGTCCACAACTGTAACCTACTGATGAACGACTTTGCACCAAACACTCCACGACTACGACAAGGTGCACGAATAACCATCAGCCCACCTAAAAGGAAAACTTGAACTGTCCTCTTACCCAATCCGTTGGGCTCTCCCACTCGTCGAAGAATCTCATTACAACGTCCTTCTGCGGATCTGAACATCTCACTGGCTAGCGTACACCTTACCCCACCTCGAACGTCTCCTCGCACAAACGACGGTTGGCCTTAGAGGAGAAGGAGGGGTGAGAGGGGGATGGATATGGAGGAGAGGTCGTTAAGCGGAAACTTGATCTTCTGGATGTTGGTGTTGGTCAGTTCTTTCCTTTCCTTTCTCGTGCTGTGTCTTCGAGTAAGGGCTGATGTGGGTATCGTTCGCAGGGCACACCGAGATATGGGTAACGCGTACAACGAGCGCGTGTCTCCGGTTGAGAACCAGATCATTGCAAGGCTTTGGGATAGATTTGGCCACACGGCGCGCGATGCGAAGAGATGTTTAGAGTCTTCCTGAAGTGTAATGTGCTTGCTTTTCCTTAGGCCAAAGGTACGTGCACTCTCCTCCTATTTTAATCTTTCTGCTGAACGACATTGATATAGATTCATGGTGCGGTATAGGAGTACCAGACTCGATTCTGTATAGATCATTTGCATGAAAATGTACCCTCTCCCTCCCTCTTTCCCATCCATTTCCAACCATTGACTGCTAAACCACCAGTCCCAGATCTTATACCGCTTCTCCGAAGCGGCCTGGACGTCGATGTCGAGGCTCGTCTGTATTGAAGGGCGGTGGTTTCGTCGGCTTTTTCGGGACGTGCGTTGGATTGGATTGGTTGGGTGACGCACCTGTGTCGATGCCTGCTCTGGTCATCCGTTCGGCTATGGTTTTTGTGGAAGAAGGAGCGTGTTTGGGTTGCGAAATAGACTCCCTTTTTGCTTCTGGAGGGGCGACGACTGGCAGTGGGGAACCTCCCTCAGAATCTGGCACAGAAAATGAGTTGGCATAAGTCCCGTCAACCTCAAACTAAAATGAGTGTAACAGCGGACGAAAGCTTACCGTATGCAGCTTCTCCGATCCGCCAAGCGCAATGACAGCTAGCACACTACGAACATCACAGCTTGACTTATCCAAGACTAGAGGTTTATTCTGCCTGTAAGCACAGACTCCTAGCGGCCATCAAACGCACCTCCCACCTTGGTCCTAACCACCTTCCGGCACTTTGCAATTGGGATTATCTCTGGAGCTCCGAACTTTGATCCTGGTATTTGTATATTAGTGGAGCTGATGCAGGTTCTAAATTATCCCGACATACCTTCACCTTGGAATATCTATCAATAAATACGGGGTTCGGCAGGGGAAGCTTGCAAAGGTCCTGCACACATGTAGGTGTCTTGGTCTAGGTCAGCGACAATATATAGGGCCATACATCTGACGAGCACCGGCGCTTGCTTGGTGCACATAATCCTGAAAATCAAGCCCCCCCCGGGCCCGAACTTGAAGTTAATGAGACTTTGTCTAACTTTCAAACCTTCGCAATATTGCACAGATGCCAATGTTTTCTGGGTTCGAGTTGGTATCAAGTGGATAGCGATACGCATAGGTGGTGTGTTGCTGCAAAGTCTGGATAGGATAAAGCGAACACTTTGGTGTTCGCTTTATATAAATTTCTGAGGAAGAAAGGGTCTAACCCAAACCGAGTCAGAGAGGGACCAAACATGGCTAAACTTAGCATTGCGGCAACACACTGTTTGATAACTCTCTTCACTTCTTTTCGCGATGACCACGCCAGAGCTTTATCTGTCGTTACTGTCTGGTCGGCAGGGCGATGTCTCGCACCTATCAACGGAGCAACGCCATAACGATGTTGGGTCCCGTCTCTCTGGCCACCCATTTCCCAACGACCCCGACCGATTGATGGACCTCTTGGATGCTCTTGCTGCCGTTTGCGTTTGGAAAGAAGAGAAACAAGTCATGTTCGTGTCATTGTCCATGACCATGGACCCGAAAGCTGCGACCCTCTATGTGTCTTCCAACGAGACCGTACCAGCCACCGTTACCTCCCACCTCCGTATAATACGGGGTCAGCTCAAGGAGCTCCAAAGCGTTGTAGTACCCAAGCAATCAAGCGTTGTAGTACCCAAGCAATCAATCCCACCCGATATTGAAACGTCCCCCGATCCAAGCAAAACCCAGGCGCGCACCGAGGGCGAGCTTAAAATCCAGAAGACCATATATGAATATTCATATGGCAAACTTCGCCAACGGTTCAACAAATGGGCACCTGATATCCTAGCAAAATACGACGCTTTCACAAAAAGTTCGAATCTTAACATCCAGGATGCCACGCTTTTACAAGCTACGCACCTCGCATTGAAACACATTCAGAGTCTGCTTCGTAGCAAGAGACCGCCGCCTGACCTCAGTCGCTTGATTTGGATGATTGACAAGTTGAGTGGGAGCTGGCAGGATCACTTGAACGCTGCAGGAATTGAAGAGATTTTGACCCGTTGGGATAATTATATTGGTGAGCCTGGCCGCACATTTTGAATTTATGATGCTGTAGCTCGTCTTACTTCTAGATGCTGGCCGGAACAGGAAACTGTCTCTGCGACGCTTGTTAAAGAAGCTTTTTACCCTTCACCACCACATTCGCACCATCATGCGCATCGCCTGGTCTCGCCGACTCTCGCCTTTCCTCGACGGACAGTTCGATGTGGTTGCTGTGCCAGCAGCTTGCTACGACATATCCATCCGAGTGTCCGAGCAGGCCGTCCTCCCTGTCATTTTCCCTGCGAGAGAACAGAAGCACCTACCGATCTACGACGACATCCTGAAACGGCTGCAAGAGAAAGCGGAAAGTGAGGGAGTAAAGATCGAGAAAGGGAAGCTATCCATGAAACAAGCAGCCGTTCACGCCGAATGCACCCTCCTCGCATACCATATCCAGCACCCCAACATTCATCCATACTGCTATTTCGGCGGATCGAAACTATCGTGCCACGGATGTGCCACCTTTTTCAGCAGTTACAATCTTGTCGCAGAATCCTTCCATCTTCCCCAATTCTTCACCAAGGGCTCCCACAACAAGATCTATCTCCGGTGGACTTGCCCTCACTTGCTGCCACTGCAGCGATTCAAGCCACTACAACCTGGCACCCTGTCTCTTGATGCTCAGGTTAAACAGAAAATGATTGCGGCGTTGGGCAAGGAACTAATTGCGTATGTTGATGAGCTGCGCGCAGTCAGAGCAGGGCCATCCCCATCGCAGTCGGATAGCACTGCTGCCTCTGGTGACTCACGCGAGGATGCAAATGAAAGCCTAGCAGATTTGATAGCTGGTATGTGTGAATAGAAATCGACACGTTCTCGTATCCTGACTATAGGCAAATAGGCCTTGCTCAACTAGATGATCAAGTATAACCAGGCACAGGCCTGGAGCTTTTTCAGCAAACGACTCAAGACTGTAATCGCATGTGCAAAAGATGGAGTTGAGGGCATTCGACAAGCTTCTGGAGTCTAAGGGAGAGCTTATCAAGGCATTGCAGGCAGATTTCTCAGTCGTTCGCTTTAGAATAGGGTATCAGCTGATGTTGAAGAGTTTAGATTGTCAAAAATGTGGTCTATAAGTGTATTATTAGGCAGAAGGGTCTTTCTCGGAGCCTTCCAAGCTCTTCTTCAATCCTTCCAACGTTCTCGCCGGCTTTCCTACACTTGCTTCGCTTACGACAGCTACGAGCTGCGAAGCAGGTGCGCTTAACAGTCCCACAACTGCGCCCTCAAAGTATCCAACGTCAGCAGATTTGACACAACCTTGACGTTATCGGGGAGGAACACCCGACCTTCAATGAGCGCCCCCATCAACTTGAGCTCGGGCACTCGAACCTGCCTCACACGCTTCATCCTCCTCCCCGGCTGCGCTGGATCAGCGTTTTTCGCCGCAAGCTCCTGCTTTATTCCATCCTCCGTTTTCGGTGGCCGAGGAGAAACACTGCGGTCCATGGCCCGGAGAATGGCGGCCATTTGAGGAGGGTCAAGGGAGGCGAAACTACGCTTGGAGGTTAATGTCGGGCAGGTCCCTAAGGGCTGCACCAAATATGTTTGTCCGCACGACGGTCAGCGTTGGCTGGACGGGGTTGGTAGGTATGGCGGGTGGACCTGGGGCAGCTAGCGAAGGCTTAACCTTCTGTGATGCAGTCGAGATATCAAGGCGGAGTTTCTTCAGTCATTGCGCCGTGAAATCATTGTGGTGGAGGATAAGGAGGGGGGAGGTAGAGTTCATGCCACGTCGCCCGAGCTCGTTCATCCGCCCGTTCAAGAGGTTTACGCCCCCTCCTAGTGCTCTCCCATCTCTCTGGCCTTCTTCCGCATTTTCCCCCCAGGAAGGGTCGATTTCCAGCGGCCAACGAAGCTGGAACGAAGCTCCGTTTTGCCCATCGACCACCCGGTCCGTGGTTCGTATATGACATCACCAGGCTTCATAAGCGGCAGTAGCTTGATACTACGCGCGCCTCGCAACTTGTCTATGCGGATTGTCCAAGCTTGAAGAGCTCTGTGCTCCACGCAATGCTGAGTTGTTCCATTCATACATTCTCATAGATGTCCACAGAAAAACGACGTTTGTAGGGAGGAGGGCAGGGGCAGGGAAAGACGCAGGAGATGGAGGTGTAGAAGCCAAGTTGGGGGCACCGATGACCAAGAACGGTTTGCAGAGCTTGAGTTGAGTTCCTTGCATTTACAGCAGAATGGAGGAACTGCGGAGACGAATTTGGTTGTTCATCCGTCATTCAACAAGCTGCTGAGTTGGTAACGCTTTCGAAAGGCCCAATCGCAAAGCTAGCGACCCAACATCTCCCGTATTCGAGAAATGGCTGCCTCACATCAACTGTTGGAACATGGCCGTTCAGGGGCTTTTATTTGAGATCATTCGTTTCAGGAGAGGGTTCCAGCGATCTGCGGCCGAGTTTCTTAAAGACAGCAACAATGCGTCGGTGTAATCGAGGGAGCTCTGAGGGTCATATATTCGGAACGTGGTGTGGTCCTGTGTGGATGACCGGGTACGATGTTGTATGATCGCAAGCGATAGTTAGGTTGACACTGTTAATGGCGGATAGTTTGATGAGATTACTGTTCGTAGTTAATAGTTGATCTATCACTGAACTAAAGAATCAGTGGGAGAAGATATCAATATTTCAAGGCGCAAGCACGCACTCACCTTATTTAGTGACCGCGGCCTCACTTCTCTGGCAACCAAATATCAAAAAAATACATACAGTGCATATTACCCATTGACAAGTGGTGTAGAAACATAATGTTAAGCATACTATCAACGAAGTGTCAGGTTAAAAATCAAATCAGAGATGGAGGGAAGACGTACCCTAGTGAAAGTTCCCATAGTCATGAAAGTCTCCTTCCTCTTCGTCCCATTCCCATACAAACTCTTCACAGCATCGCTCATCTCCGACTTGCGCTTCGCCTCCTCCATCGCCAGCCCACTGACCACCGCCTTACTCGCCGCGGATATTTTGGCACTCGGCCCCATCGCCGCCTGTTTCTTCGCTGGATGCCCTGCGTCGTCCATGGGCGAGTCGTTCTTCCGCTTCTTTGACGACTTGTGCTTCTTGACAGGTTCAAGAAGGTGCCTACGCTCCATTGCTTCACGCATGGTGTCTTCCTCGTCTTGAGAAGGGTTGAGCAAGACGACGTCCTCGGTTCAGGAGTACTTCTTCCCGCATTGAGGGCAGAGCTTAAGTTCACCGTCCAAAGGGTCCGTTGTAGATGCTTTTGCTTTGCCTTTGTCGCTCTCCCGGTCTTTTGGAGTAGACGAGGAAGAGACGGTCTTCAGCCCTGCCTGGGAGAAGACGCAGCCGCAGGTGGAGAGGTAGACGAAGGGCTGGACGCCGTTCATCTCCTTCAATGTAAGTGGGCAGACGAATTGTGGTCGTTCGGTGTCGCTTGATGTTGGCTCGGACGAGTGAGGCGCAGGATTAGAGCTAAGTGTCAGAGTTTTCACGTCCTATTGCATGACTGGTTTAGCCTGCTTGTAAATAAGTAGCAGCGTTCGGAGCTCACCTTAAGCGACCGGATGTGACCACATATTCTCTCCCCGTCTCCATAAGCCGCTTTGTCGAGCAAGTACTCTATTATCGAGTCTTTATTGTACAGCTTGCCTAGCGCACATGAGACGATAGGTTCCTGCAGTTTACTCTGTGATTGAAGAAATATGAGCTTGTCGTCGGTAGAACTAAGATTTCCACTCACCTTTGATACTGCGCAGAAGAACCACCGTGCGCGGGTCTGGTTGGCCTTGTCAGCTTGTTCCGCCTAATGCTCTGTCAGCTCCCTATCCTACAGATCTTGTAGGGGTTCTATCTCACCTTCGGCTTGTTTCTAACGAGGTCGCGGCGATCTGGGATGCTTCCACCGTCATTACCCATGATAGGAGTGTGATTTTTATACAAGGACCAGGTGGTGGTGGTGGTGGTGAAAGTGACTACAAAGTCCGACGTGATCATCTTCACACATTCCCATATCGTGAGCAAGGTCCTACCCAGCAGCGCAATGCTGCAGGAACTATCGCATATGGACAAGATAACTCAGCTTCAAGATGAAATACAACAGGTATTGTTTCCTTTCAACACGAAAATTTCAAGCACTGACCGAACAATGGTTGTCTTCAGCTTCTCCTAATCATGGCCAACAGCATTAGCTATCTAACGTCGCGATCCAACTTTCTTCAAGTCAGCGCAGAGATTCCTATAACTAAACAGCGGAACCCCGACAAGTATGACCCCCCAGATGTGTTTGAAGGTGAGTGACCCGCCTCGTCTCCTTTTTCGGCAAACGAATGACGCGTGTCGGTCAGCGAACAAGAAAGAGCTGGTAGCGGACTTGATGGTGAAAGCCAAGCAGATAGAATATCTTATCAACTCTTTACCAGAGCCAGAACCCGAGGAAGAACAAGTGGGTACACGCCGGTCCTCTCAGTTCAATCTTACGCTTACATTCATACACCAACCAGGCAAAGAGATTCCAGCAATTAGAGGAGGACATGACGCTCGCGAATGAGCAGTACATATTGGCCGTCGGTCGCGCTAGTAAGCTCCTCCCTTGCTGCCTACTTCAGACTCCAAGTTGACGACTGTCTACCAGAAAATCTTCACTCCCAGGTTGCAGAAGTCCTGCAGGCTATGCTCGTAGACGACGAGGCTAATTTGCTACAAGATGGACCATCCATTCCCGCAAGCGTATCTACCACACCCTTCGCCCGTTCGTCGTTGTGTATATCCCAGGGCCCGTCCCCCTCACAGGTTGGATACCTACCAAATTAAACAACACAAACCCAAGCACGATATGTTGATCCTCCTCGCTTGCCGTCTCCTCCTCATTCCAAGGTCAATTCCGGCACCACTGTGATGTCCACATTATCGCGCTCAATCTTGCTTTCCGAAGTATGTGGGTGAGAGTGCCCAACGTCCTTGAAATATGGACAGAACATGCCTCGCCAGCAACATCGCCTTCCCTTCTTGAATCTCTTCCTGATGTCCATTCCTGCCTCCACTTCGAGATCGGCAACAGTCGCCTTCGAACAAGAATCCCGATGTGGGTATCCCTCCGGCGATTCGTCTCGCGTCTTGGAATTCGGCCTAACGTCATCACGGAGACGGCTAGTTGGTGCCCAAGCAGAGTCGTCTCGCACCTTCACAGCCTAATAGGGACAGAAGGTCTTCGTGTTAGCACGCCTGAAAAGAAACGACAGGCTGAGAGGGAGAAGAGAAGAGAAGAGAGAAAGACGACCAAGACGCTTGCTCACGGCTATCGGACCAGGACGATGCGCGTCTTCGTCTGTACATTTGGGTTGTCGACGATCTTGGTTGATAGGCAAGGCTTGACTCGCTTTTTTCTTCGACCAGCGGCGGGAATCTCTTTCAGAATCTGATACGGAGAATGAGTCGGAATAAACCTCTGGTCCTGGATCCTACTTTGCCGAATAACAAACTGTTGAAATGTCTTTTGTAGTATATTTGCCCATCTACTACGTACTCTCATCAACATTGGACTTGAGATAAATGAATATCGCGTACCCGTGGGAAAGACATTCTAAAGGCAACTCTGACCATGGCGACAAGTGTGTTCGCGCTTTTGACTCTCCCCAACACATCCAAGGGACTCACAGCATTGCAACCCACCGTGGTAGATGCGGTTAATATCGTCGGGTCCGCATCTCCCCGTCGCAAAGTTGCTCGTTTGGCCACCGACTCTGATTCCGCCTCTGCTTCCAGATCACGACCCGCAACGATTCATAAGCCAGGCGCGTCTATCAGGATACGTATTCTCGATAGCGACGGTGCGTATTGAACTAAGATGTAGTAACTCGACTCTAACAGGAACTTTCAGGCACCTGGGACAAAAAATCAGACTCAACGGAGCAGTTTGGTTTAGTACGACGATGTATCAAAATATCGTTGACACGAGCGGGCTTCGATATGCTCCCTGCCACTTACGAGCGCATATTTTCGACTTGCCGAGCGCTAGTTGTTGACTACAAGCGCGGCGAAGATCTCTATGGCGCGTTGAAGCTCGAAGTCGAGCAAAGTCTAACTGCCTTGGCCGGGATTATGATTGAGGAACCAAAGGAGGAGATCGACTGGCTAGCGGATTTCGCGAAGCATTGTGAGTGGTTTGAATCGCAAATCGTGAGTGGTTTGAATCGCAAATCGTGAGTTGTTCTTATATAGTACCGGGAAATACTGATGAAGGAATTGGTTTAGGCACTCATTGAATCACTTTTGACGTACCTTGACCAGGTTTATGTCGTCAACGAACATAGGGCTATCCCTATTCAGTAAGCCTAGACTGCTGCTCACAAGTGTCATTGCGTATAACTCTCCACGACAGCGAACTGGTATTCAGCTTGTTCACGCAGAGAATCTTTGAGAATCCCCGAATCGCGGAGCGGCTGCGTTCAGGCATATCGAAGTGGGTCGTGGCGGAACGCAACTTAAGGTCCGCCGCCTCTTTCATGCTTTCACGCGTTCCACTTACCTTTCGTAGAATCCCACACAGCAAGCGAAAAAATGTCGAAGAAGTCATCAAGCATCTCATCATTCACAGTCAATACTCGTCTTTTGAGGAATACTACATTCAGTTCACTCGGTCGTACTACCAAGCCGATTCAGCGGACTGCGCCACAGAACTCAGTGGGGACCCACAAGGTTTCTTCAAGCATATCATGACGCGCATTCAGGAGGAGACGGAGCGTTCCAAGGCAATCTTAGTGGTCGGCAGTTGGGGCCTTGTGAGGGAGGCTACGGAAAAGGCTTTGTTGGATAATAGATCGAAGTGGATTGCTTTTGAGAGTAAGTCATGTCGCTGTCCTTTGTCTATGGTTACTTACCATGCCTCATAACAGCTCTAGGCTCCTATATGACGGCTGGCGACTTGACGACACTGTTCATCCTGTTTTATATTCAACAGATTTTTGAGTTGGTGAGTATTATTTTCTGCGGCAATGCGGCGACGGCATCCCACTAACCCTTCCAATCGCAAGGCTAGCGCCCCCAACGTCAACGCTACTCACTGACAGCACGTTCCTCAACACTCTCCACTAGCACGTCAACTCAAAGCCATCCAAGTGGTGATAAAGCTCATCAGGGACATTTCATCCGGCACGGCATCACAAGGAGTCAACTTTTGGATGAGCCTCGAATGGGCGTTGGAAGGCATGGAGGCGCAGTCGAGGAGCGAGGAAGTGAGGAATGCCATGGATGCATCGAAGAATGCGAAGACATCCCAAGCCACTGTTGGTTTTATCGCAGATACCAGGTTGAAGGATTTTACAAATATCGGTGGGTCTGTCTGCTTTTTCTTTGGAATAAATGAGGCTGATGGATATCGGCAGTCCGCAAGTGCAACCGACTAATGAAATACTTTCCGCTAAACAATCTCTTCTCCTCTACGACCTCGACAAGGTGCACGAATAACCAAACCTGATCTAGAACGAAAACTTGAACTGCCCTCTTACCCAATCCGTCACGCTCTCCCACTCGTCAAAGAATCTCATTGGACGACGTCCTTCTGCCGATCTTAACATCTCACCGGCTTGCATGCACACCTTACCCCACCTTCAAACGTCTCCTCACACAAACGACGGCTGGACTTGGAGGAGAAGGAGGGGTTGGAGGGGATATGGATATGGAGGAGGTTAAAGGAGAGTTATCAGGTCGTTGAGCAATACGTTATCTCCTGGATGTTAGTGTTGGTCAGTCCTTTTCTTTCACTTCTTTTGTTGTGTGTTTGAGTAAAAGCTGATGTGGGTATTATACGCAGACACCGAGATTTGGAACAGCTGGAAATTGTGTACAGCGAGTGCATGTGCCTAGAACCAGGTTATTGCAAGGCTTTGCGATAGACTTGGTACGGCGCGCAGTGCAAATGAGATGTTTAGGCTTCTCTCAAAGTGGCGCTGGTAAGCTCCTCCCTTACTGCTTTCTTCGGGCTTCAACCTGACTTTAGCCATCAGAAATCTTTACTCCCAAGTTGCAGAGGTCTATAGGCCATGCTTGTAGACTACGAGGCTGATTTGCTACGAGATGGACCATTCATTCCCGGAAGCAAATCTACCACAACACCCAAAAGCTGACGGTGTGTGTCAATTCGCCCGTTCCTCATTGCGCATATCCCAGGCCCCATTCCCTCACGAATGTGATACCTACAAACAACACGAACCCAAGTACGATGTGTTTGCCCCCCGCTTGCGGCCTCCTTCCCATTCCGATTTCACTGTTGTGATGTCCACGTTATCGCGCTTAATGTTGTTTACCAAAATATGTGGATGGGACAGCCCAACGTCCTTGGAAGATGAACAGAACGTACCTGGCCAGCAACGTCGCCTTCCCCACTTGCACCTCTTCTTCAACTCCATTCCTGCCCCCATTTCGAGATCACCGACACTCACTCCCGAATCAGAATCCCAATGTGGGGATCCCTCTGGCGATTCGTTTCCTGATCATTCTAACGTCACCACAGAGATGCGTCCCCTTCCCATTCCACCTGCACCGTGATGTCCAGAATCATGGATCTTGCTTCCCACAATACGTGGATGGGAGTGCCAACAACGTCCTTGGAATATAACCAGAACGTGCCTCGCCAGCAACATCGCCACCCGCCTTCAAACAAAATTTCGATGTGGGGATCCCTCCGACGATTCACGCTCGCCTCCTGGAATCCATCCTAACGTCACCACGTGGATGACTAGCTGAGATGCTCACAGCTTTCGAATCAGGACGAAGTGTGTCTTCGTTATTTGTCTGTACCTTTACAGTTGACGACAATATTGGTTGATAGGCAAGAATTGACTCCCTTTTTTCTTCTGGAGGGGCGACGACTGGCCACGGGGAACATCCCTCAGAATCTGGTGCGGAAGATGAGTCGGAATAAACCTCTGGTCTTGGATAAGTGAAGCTGCGATGTTCGTAGTGTGCTAGCTGTCATTGTGTTTGGCAGATCGGAGAAGCTGCATACGGTAAGCTTTCGGACAGTTTTCGTTGAATATTAACGGGATTTGTGCAGGACCTTTGCGAACTTTCCTCTGCAAAACCCCGTACTTATGGATAGTTATTCCAAGGTGAAGGTATGTAAGGAGGGATTTACAACCTATGTCAGCTCCACTGATATACAGATACCAGGATCAAATTTTGGAGCTCCAGAGACAATCTCAAAGCACCGGGAAAGTGGGTGGGACGTGCTTGTGATGGTGGCTGAGGAATCAGTGCCTGGGGGGCATATCGCGTGTTTGTTAGTGCGTAGGGCTTCTTGGAGGACCCCTGAAAGTACCCTCAGATGCCTGATCCAGATCCGGATAGAAATTGGCGAAATTTTTGGAAATGCCTTAGGTCTGTCCGGATAGAAATTTCGCTATTTTGGCGAAATGCCAGAGGCAGTTTTCCGGATAGGAATTGGTGAGGCTAAGCAACCCTGAGCCGATGTCCGGATAGAAATATACGCTATAGAAATTTAAGCTCGAAAAAGGCAGTGCGCGCTCACTGCTGCCGCCAACTTATTTATTGGTATATACTTTAATATTTTTCTTTCCCATTCTTTCCCCCTGTTCTCCGTTCTTTCGGACGATCCTTCCATGATATATATATTTTCTCGCATCAAATTGGCTCTCAGTTCTGCGTGAACTCGTTGCCTCGATCATCTCCTGCCGTCTGCCTTCTTGTGCACCCTCATACTCCGAAAATCACGCAAAATGGCCTCAAAATATCTACAGATGATTGGAAGCTGTTCAAAGAAATCAAGGACAACAGCAAGACGGTAAGTTTACAGACCTTGAAAGCTTTCAAGCAAAGGCAACTGTGGAAGATGAAGAATAGCTTGTTTATCTTCAAATTTCTGCATGTATAATGCATATACTATGTTCACTTATGTATATTTTACTTTTTCCCGATGTACGGGCCTCCAGAGAATGCCTAGGAGGGGCCAGGAGGGGCCAGCAAGCCAAAATTCACTCTTTTCATGCCAATTTTTGAAAAATAGCGATTTTTATAGGCCTGATCCGCGTCCGGATAGAAATTGACCTTATTGAAGGCCAGATCCAATATCCGGATAGAAATTTGGCAAAACCGTCCGGATAAAAATTGGGCAGTTTGGGGCATTTTGGGATCAGGCATCTGAGGGTACTTTCAGGGGTCCTCTTCTTGGACTAGGTCAGCGATAATATATCTGGCCGTAAATCTGACAAGCACCGGCGCTTGCTTGGTGCGCGTAATACTGAGAATTACCCCCAAGTTGATTGAACTCTGGCTAACTTCCAAAACTTCGCAATGTCGTAAAGATGCCAATGTTTTCTGGGCTCGACAACTTCCCCGACAAATTTCTACAAGGGTACAAGAACTAGGCCCTGTCGGTACACTCACTTGTGACCGCTTGAGGTGTGCGCCCATCCCTCGTAAACTTCGGCGGCCTCGATCTGTCTTGTCGTCCTCGCATCGTACCTGCGCCTGCGATATCATCCGCTGCGACGGGTTTTTATGCATTCAATGCAGCGGGATTCCTCCCCTTCTTCTAGAGCAAATGTTGAACACAATAATAACAGACTTTGCTTACTTGATCTTGGGTGTCCATTGTTTCATTGCTGATACACACTGAGCTGAGCTTAATCTAATTTTGGTCTCTTAAGCACACAATCCACCTCGAGTGACATCTCCTTCAAGCTGCTTTTTCTTAAACACTCGTTACTTATTCTCATGAACTACAAACAGCATAATGAACAGTACTTTTGTCGAGCCGGACATCCTACTCCTCCCCAATCCACCATTCGGGACCAGGCTCCTTTTTCTGCAGGTCCCACTCGTAGATTGTGCCGTGAAGTTCTGCATACAGAGTTCCCCCGCATGGATCAAAGAAAAGGCTAGACCAATCACCGTGCTCATTCTTTAAGATAAGCCTTTCTTCCATCTCAAACGACGTCGCATCGATCACATGAATAATTGCAGAAGGGGAATCACGATCATACTAAGGTTGTAGACCACCTATTTGAGAGGTAGGGATATCAGAATGTGAACATAAGACGTACCTCTGCAAATACCAAAATTTCTTTTCCTAAATTTCCACTCCTAAAGTGAGGGAATCGACGAGGCTGGGAAGAGTACTCGGGCGGGCCTGGGAATTCCATGTATGTCTGTAAAGGAACTTTGCTTCGGATATCCCAAACAAATACGCCGCCGTGCTCCATAGACACAGCAAACGTGGACCCATCAGCAGAAAATGCAAATTCTGGTGAAAATTCTGTTTCTGCGACGGGAATAGACAGGCAGGTAATGAAGGAAAAGCTTGTACCACCAGAATCCAAATAGTGAATGTCAATCGTTTCGTTGTGTCGACCGTTCTCCAAATCCACGTTGAGGAGAATGTGCATGTCAGGGGATAGTATGACTTGAAGAACATCAGAGCAGGTTCAACACGACTGCATGAAAATTTGGACAAACCGAGGTTCTCATCGTCCTCCGGCTTCGACTTCAACTTTAGATCAAAATCAATTCTCCCCGACTCAATTAGAGGAAAATCATTCGAGGTGTTGGTTTCAGTAGTAGACACGTCGAACAGCTTCCAATGGTTGTCAAATGGCGCCCAAAAAGTGATTCCCAATTCATTTTCGGTGGATTTTATCAGCTCCAAATGACGAATATCGAAGCGACCATCAACGCTACCGTTGAAAGACCACAGAGCAGAACCAACACGAAGATCGGAGCGGATTTCGTGGATTGATAGGTGTAGAGAGCTTGACTTGATACCCTTCGAGTCGAAGTCGGGCCAGTCCCAGTACTTTGCGAGTAGTAGGATCCGATTGCCTTTAATGGGGACGAAGGACATGTTTCTTAAACGCGGGGACGGATGTTTCCGGACAATGATTCGTGGCTTGAAAGCATAGTTAGTTGTATGCGAGTTTCTCAGTGAGCAACATGTGAATCAACCTCATGTTTTCCAGAGCAATGTATGTTGTGCTCGAATATCGTGTCGTCTCGGAAATAACAAATGATTCCCTTTCGAAGAGGACAATGAGCGTCGCGAATGCAAGAGTCCCAGTAACATTGGGTTCTGCAAAGGGGACGATGGTGTTCAAACTTCAATAGATATACATAAGATTCTCACGGGTTAGGATCAGCGAGGATGGTCTTTCTGGGAATCCTTGACTTTAGCAGTGGTGAAGGTGGTTCATCCATCAATGGCTGGTGAGAATACGGAAAGAACGATGCCCTGGCATATAAGCGCGGTCGGGATTAGAGCGCGCTTATCGCAATTTGTCATCACCTTTTTGTGGCGTCCCTCAATTGCGCGCAGTCCCTTTTCGTCTCATTCCACTTCTGTCTCTCTCATCACACGTCGCCTGAGCGTCTGAGCCCCTTGATCCACCCATTCATTCAAGAGGGGTTTAATCCCTCCCTAATGGTCTTTCATCTCTCTGCCCCTCTTCCGCGTTTTTCCACCACAAAAGGTCGATTCTCAGTAACCAACAAGGCACTTCCTGGCTCTCAAGCACCCAGTGCGTGGTTTGTATACGCCCGCTTCGGATTGTCTGAGCTTATCGAGGTCTGTGCTCCGCGCGATGTTGGGTCGTTCCATCCGTATATTCACGTAGAAGCGACGCAGATGACGGAGGAACACCGTACCACCTCACGACTGACATAACACCCAACACACATCACAACCCTCGCGCTCACAGAACGAACAATGCACCTCGACCCGGTCCTACCGCCATCTACGCAGCTTCACCTTCTCAACCTCTTTGGCGGTGACGACACGCCGTACGAGTCTTTACACGCCGTGGTAAGCTATGGTGTTAAATCATGGTTTGACGCGTTTGTGGCGACTAGGCCAGGGGCAGGCAAAGACGCAGGAGGGGGAAGTGGAGGTGGAGAAGCAAATTTAAGAATACCGACGCCGAAGAAAATTGCAGAGCTCGAGTTGAGATTGTTGCAGTTGCATCAGAATGTATATTCTGGACACGAATTTGATGATTCGTCCTGTTCTTCAATGGGCTGTTGAGTTAGTGTGAGTGGATTCTCCTCTCCTCTGATGATGACGTCTCGCTGAAGAAAGGCCCAATCACAAGGCCGGCGACCCAACAACCCCATATCCCATCAATGCTCCGACAGCACGTTCCTCAACTCTCTCTAATGGCACATCAACGCAGGGTCAAAGCCATTCAAGCGGCGACCAAGCTCACAAGGGACGTTTCCTCCGACACGGCATCGCAAGCGGTCAACTTTTGGTCGAGCCTCGAGAGTGCGTTGGAGGGCATAGAGGCGCAGGTGAAGTGCAAGGAGGTTAGGATGGTCATGGATGCATTGAGGAATGCAAAGAGATTCCATGTGACTGTTAGCGTTATCGCTGATACCGAGTTGAAGGGTGCTACAGATCACGGTGGGTCTCTCTTCTTTTTCTTTGGGATAAATGGGGCTAATGGATACCGGCAGTCCACAAGTGCAACCGACCGCTAAACAATCTACTCTCCTCCACGACCTCGACAAGGTGCACGAATCACTAACGCCCACCCAAAATGAACACGCAAACTGTCCTCCTACCTAATCCGTCGGGCTCCCACTTGTTGAAGCAATCTCATTGGACGACGTACTTCTGCGGATCTCAATATATCACTGGCTAGCATCCACACCTTACCCCGTCTCCGAACGTTTCCTCGCATAAACGGCAGTAGGCCTTGGAGGAATCGGAGGGGTGGAAGGGGGGATGGATATGGAGGAGGAGGTTAAGCAGGTTGTTAAGCGGAAAGTTGATCTTCTGGATGTTAATGTTGGTCAGTCCTTTCCTTCCCTTTCTCGTGCTGTGTCTCTGAGTAAAGGCTGACGTACAACAAGCGCGTGTCTTTGATCGAGAACAAGATCATTGCAAGGCTTCAGGATAGACTTGGCACGGCGCGCTGGGTTGTTTAGGGTTTTCTCAAAGTTTACTGCGCTTTTGTTAGGCCAAAGGTACGTGCATTCTTTGCCTCTTGTGATCTTTCTGCTGAACGACACTGATGTAGATTCATGGTGCGATACAGGAGGATCAGCCTGACTGGGTAAAGGAGAACATAAAGCACGACAAGGTACCCTCCATCTCCCTCTTTCCCGCCCATATCCAGCCATTGACGTGATAAACCACCAGTTTAAAATCCAATGCTGCTTCCGCGAAGACTACCACATAGCTCAAATTCGCAACCTACCCCAATAACAGGAGCCATTAACTGAGCCCAAACGGCAATTCCTCACATGTAGGAAACGCGTCGAAGCCGTCCTCGGAAAACGCTGTGAACTGTACGCGCTACGCGAAGGTCAAAAAGTCCAATTTGAATCCTCAGCATTCCACAACAGCCTAGACACCCGACCCGTCTTCGACGCATGGCTGCACAACATCATCCATCGGAACATGACGGGTGTTCATTCGAGAATGACCATTTGATTTCCAGTGATTCGTGGCAGGGTGTCTTAATAGACATGAATGATATGTCGAGAGAGCTTTGGGAGAAGGAAATATTTGGGGCATCGTGGGGTTCCATGTGTAAATCGGTGGGTAGGATGTTGTTCGATCGCAAGCGATAGTTACTTAGGTTGACGTTGTTGGTGGCGGATAATTGATGAGAGTAGTCAATAGATTATCTATCATTGGATCAGGGGGAGAAGATATCAAGGCGCATGCATACACACGCTTACCTTATTCAATAGCTATCTGTAATCGTAAAGTTCGCCAAGGGCAAAGAATCCTGCATACAACCCGTCAATCTCCAACTAAATGAGCGGAACAGTGGTACGAGAGCCTACCGTATAAACCTTCGCCAATCCGCCGCACCCAATCGCAGCTCACATCCCACTGAGGTCGCAGCTTCTGCTCAACTCTTCTCCGCTCCGAGCTGAATCTGTTGCTCTAACGCAGTATTTCTCCCGTTCCAGGGACCTGAGTTTCATCGCGGGCGGAGAGCTCGTTCACCAGGACGATCGTCTTGAAGGCGAAATGGCCAGAGTTGTATCAGGAAAATTGCGACTGATTGAAGGTGAGTGGGTGACGAGAATCGGAGAGGGAGGGTGCTAACCAGAAACGCTCTCCACAGTTTCAGCCTTGATAGGATGATGCTCCTGTAGCTTCAGATGTCGACGTCGAGGCCTGTCTGCGCTGAAGGGCGGTGGTTTCGTCGGCTGTTTCGGGAGATAGCTTGTTTCCTGATGATGGTGGGCGGGGAGCAATAGGTGGATCTACACGCGTTGGATTGGATTAGAAGGGCTTCATCGGATTTAAAACCGGAGGGAAGACGTACTTTAGTAAAAGTGACCATAGTCATGAACATCTCCTTCCTCTTCGTCCCATTCCGATACAAACTCCTCACAGCATCGTCATCTCCGACTTGCGCTTCACCTCCTCCATCGCCAGCCCACTCACCACCGCCTGACTTGCCGCAAATATCTTCATGTTCGGCCCTGCTGCCGCCTGTTTCTTCGCTGGATGGTCTGCGTGCTCCGTGGGCGAGTCGTTCTTCCGCTTTCTTGACAACTTCGAATTCTTCACGGGTTCGACAAGGCGCTTCCGCTCCATTGCTTCACGCATGGCGTCTTCCTCATCTTGAAAAGGGTTGAGCGGGACGACGTCGTCATCTCCCACATTGAGGGCAGAGCTCAAGTTCGGCGTCCGAAGAATCCGTTGTAGAAGCTTATGTTTTGCCTTTGTCGTTCTCCCGGTCTTTTGGAGTAGACGAGACGGAGACGGTCTTCAGCCCTGCCTGGGAGTCGTAGGCGAAGAGGCAGGCGAAGGGTCGGGCACCGTTCAGCTCCGGTCGTTCGGCGTCACTTCGTGGTTCAGATGACTGAGGCGCAAGATTGGGGCTAAAACTCGGAGTGTTCACGTCCTTTTGCGGATTAGCCCGCATGCAGAGAGTCTTCACTCCCAAGTCGTGCACGCCATGCTTGAGATGACCCCCGCGAATGAAGAGTACTACATGTTGGCTGTCTGTTGCGCAAGTAAGCTCCTCCGTTGCTGCCTTCTTCAGATTTCAAGTTGACGTCGTCTATGTTGCAGAAGTCAGGCAGGCTATGCACGAGGTTGATTTGCTACAAGATGGACCATTCGTCCCCTCAAGCATGCCCTCCACACCACTTAAAAGCTGACAACGTGTGTCGATTCACCCTTTCGTCATTATGCACATCCCAGCGTTCACAAATCTGATACCTACCAACAAACGACACAAATCCAAGCACGATGTGTTTTACCTCCTCGCCTGCCGTCCCCTTCCCATTCCAATTTCAATTCCGCCTCCACCGTGATGTCCACATTATCGTACTCGATCTTGCTTCCCAAAATATGTGGATGGGAGTGCCAACGTCCTCGGAATCTGAACAGAACGTGGCTCGCCAGCGACATCGCTAGCACCCGCCTACAAACAAGAATCCGGGTGTGGGGGTCCCTCTAGCGATTCGCTCTCGCTTCCATCCTAACGTCACTACGGGGATGACTAGCTGAGATGCTCACAGCTTTCGAATCAGGACGAAGCGTGTCTTCGCTATTTTGCTTGTACCTTTACAGTTGACGACAATATTGGTCGATAGGCAAGGCTTGACTCCCTTTTTGCTACTGGAGGGGCGACGACTAGCGGCGGGGAATCTCCCCCAGAATCTGGTATGGAAGATGAGCCGGAATAAACCTCTGGTCTTGGATAATTGAAGCTGCGATGTTCGTGGTGTGCTAGCTGCCATTGCGCTTTGTGGATCGAAGAAGGTGCACACAGTAAGCTTTCGTATGGCTGTTAACCTCATTTTTAGTTTGAGATTGACGGGATTTGTGCAGGGCCTTTGCGAACTTTCCGCTGACAAACCCCGTATTTATGGATAGTTATTCTAAGGTGAAGGTATGTAAGGGGAGATTTACAACCTGCGAGAGCTCCACTGATATACAGATGCCAGGATCAAAGTGCGGAGCTTCAGAGATAATCCCAAGGCGCTGGCCCCTGGGGGTGGAACGTGCATCTGATGGCGGCTCAGAAATCTGTGCTTAAGGGAGACGTACCCTACGTTTATCTGCACCAGGGGCTTCTTGGTCTAGGTCGGCGATGATATACCCATATGGCTGTAAATCTGACGTGCACCAGCGCTTGCTTGATGTACATAGTAATCCTGAGAATACCCCCCAAATCAATTGAACATTCACTAACTTTCAAAGCTTTGCACCGTTGTAAAGATGCCAATAATGTTTTCTGGGTTGGACGACCTCCCTGTCACTTTTTTAGTGGGGTACAAAAACTGGCGACTGCTTGAGCTGTGCACCCACCCTTATAGACTTCGGCGACCTCAATCTGCTTTGTTGTCTTCGCATCATACTTGCGCCTGCGATACCATTCTCTGCGACAGGTTTTACACATTCAGCACAGCGGGATTCCTCCCCTTCCTCTGGAGCAAATGTTCATCACACTGGCACTATTCACAGACTTTGTCCACTTGACCTTGGGTGTTCATTGTTTCTTTGCCGATACCTAAGGCCAATTTCGGTCTCTTCTCCTTCAAACTTCTTTTGCTTGAACACTGGTTACTCGTTTCAACGAAATACAAACGGTGTGATAAAAGTACTCTGTTCAAGCCACATCCTACTCCTCTCCGATCCACCATTCGGGACCAGGCTCATTTTCCCGCAGGTCCCACTCGTAAATTGTTCCACCAAGTTCAGCGTACAGAGTTCCCCCGCTTGGATCGAAGAAAAGTGCCCTCACTGTATTGCCGCCTAACTTGATGCAAAGCTTCTCTTCCGTCTCAAACCACGTCGCATCGATCACATGAATTGTTGCAAGACGGGAATCATAATCTTGCTAAGGATTCAAACCACCTATTTGAGAGGTAGGGATATCAGAATGTGAACATAAGACGTACCTCGGCAAATACTAGGATTTCTTGCCCTAAATTTCCACTGCTAAATTGAGGATATTGTAGAGTCTCGTAGTCGGAGGAGATTCCTGTGAATCTCCGTAAAGGAACTTTGCTTCGAATATCCCAAACAAACACGCCTTGTTCCATAGCCACAGCAAACTTGGACCCATCGGCAGAAAATGCAAATTCTGGTAAATATTCTGTTTCTGCGACGGGAAAAGACAGGCGGGTAATGAAGGAAAAGCTTGTACCACCAGAATCCAAATAGTGAATGTCAATCGTTTCGTTGTGTCGATCCTCCTCCAAATCCACGGTGAGGAGAATGTGGACGTCAGGGGATAGTATGACTTGAAGAACATCAGAGCAGGTTCAACGCGACTGCATGAAAATTTGGACAAACCAAGGTTCTCATCGTCCTCCGGCTTCGACTTCAACTTTAGATCAAAATCAATTCTCCCCGACTCAATAAGAGGCAAGTTATTCGAGGTGTCAGTTTCAATAGTAGAGATGTCAAACAGCTTAAAATGGTCATCAAATCGCACCCAAAAAGTGATTCCCAATGCATTTTCGGTGGATTTTATCAGCTCCAAATCATCAATATTGAAGTGACCATCAACACTTCCATTGTAAGACCACAGAGCAGAACCAACACGAAGATCGGAGCGGATTTCGTGGATTGATAGGTGTAGATAGCTTGACTTGATACCCTTCGAGTCCAAGTCGGGCCAGTCCCAGTACTTTGCGAGTAGTAGGATCCGATTGCCTTTAATGGGGACGAAGGACATGTTTCTTAAACGCCGGGACGGATGTTTCGGAACAATTATTCGTGGCTTGAAAGCATAGTTAGTTGTATGCGAGTTTCTCAGTGAGCAACATGTGAATCAACCTCATGTTTTCCAGAGGAATGGATATTGTGCTCGAATATCATGCCTTTCCGGCGATAACAAATGATTCCCTTTCGAAGAGGACAATGAGCGTCGCGAATGCGAGATTCCCAGGCACCTTCGGTTCTGCAAAGGGGACGATGGTGTTCAAACTTCAATAGACATACAAAAGATTCTCACGGGTCCGGGTTAAGGTCAACGAGTTTGGTCTTTCTGGGAATCCTTGACTTGAGCAACCGTGAAGGTGGTTCATCCATCGATGGCTGGTGAGAATACGGAAAGAACGATGCCCTGGCATATAAGCGCCATTGGGCTTAGAGGGTGCTTATCGCAATTTGTCATCACCTTTCTGTGGCGTCCCTCAATTGCGCCTAGTCCCTTTTCGTCTCATTCCACTTCTGTCTCTCTCATCACACGTCGCCTGAGCGTCTGAGCCCCTTGATCCACCCATTCAAGAGGCTCCCTGATGATCTTTCATCTCTCTCACAAGGGGCAAACGGCATTCGTCGCCTGGTAAAAATGTGATAAAATGCAGATTACTATGTTAAATCTTTGATTTCACATTTATAACAAAAAATTGGAGTTAAAAAAGATTAATCATTACTGCAAGTTTTTTGCTGCAGGAAGGTGATATTGAAGATGTAAAATATTTATCAGTCTTTTGCAAGCTGTATAAAATGAATATCCTACAAAAAATGTCCTCCTGGTAAAGAGATAAAAAAAAATCATGAGCAATAATGGTGATAGGGAGAAGTAAAATACCCATTACCTTTTTTTTGAGTGACAGAAGTTCAATAAAATAGTTCACCAATTCAACTCAAATTTTCTGTCAGGGGAATGAGTAACAAAAACCAAAAGTAATTGCTTTGCAAAAACATAAAGTATGGCATCTGTCTATTTGTGGAATAAACATTTAATAAGCATCGCCAAGGGTTTAGATAAAAAATTTATTGCTCGTGATCTTTGCAGGAATGACCGGTAAATATTATACATTGTCGCCGCGGTAAGATGATAAAGATCGATCACATTTTGCCGCGGCAAGAATGATGAGGCGACAAGTTATTGTCGTCGACAGATCGTTCTGACACGAGGAAACAGGAACAGAAACTTAAAATGGTTGCCAAGCAATTAGATGAGCTGGTTCGCGTTGGGTTGAACCTAACCTGAGTTGATCGCTGCGATGGTGTTGCGCTGGTCGGAGCTGGCCGCGCATTTCACGTGACGAGGGAACAATTGGCACACAATGAACATTCGTCGTTTAAATTAGCCTCGCTGGGTCGCAACCTGGAGTCACGCACGTAATTAGTTAATGGATAATTACAATTCCAATTCACGATTTAAACACGTCCCAGTGATTGAGATCGATCGAGGCACGAATGGTAGAGAATACGCTGGTAAGCAGTCATTGAAGTTATAGTTTGTGAGAAAACTCTTTGAGCGATTTCACGCTATAGTTGACTGCATGATCGAAAATTTTGCAACAGAACAGAGGTGTCGAGGAAAGTATCGGCTTTAGGCACCTGCTGACACCCGGACTAAAGGATAGACGTGCCCGGAAAGCGTCAAGATCTTCAAATGTTGTATCGAAAGCTAGCCATTCGTCATTCGAGGCCTTTGCCACAGAACGCCAAACATGAATGGCGGTAACGAGCTGCTTCCTAGTTGTTGGTGGGCCTTCGTCTGCCAAAACCTTGATGAAGAGCCACAGGCAGATGGATTTAAGGACGTAGATGCCTATTGAGCCTTCAGTTTGCCGCAGAACGCCAAACATGAACGGGTGGTAACGAGCTGCTTCCTAGTTGTTGGTGGGCCCTCGTTTGCCAGGAACTCGATAAACAGCTTCCTGCAGATGGATTAAAGGACGTAAATGCCTATTGTGCCCGAGTCAGATATATCTCCCAGCATGAAGACAACACTCACCAAGCCGATGCCAGATTTCCCGTGCTCTACCGCCATGTACAACGCAGGGGTGCTGAGTCATAGTTTGTGAGAAAACCGTCGTTGTTCCAGCACCGCACGCAACGCTTGACTAGCTTGGGGGAGAAGAGGCAATTGCGGGATATGGGCGTTGTACGCGAGTCCACGCACAAGCCGGCCTACGTGGGTGGAAGCCCTCCGTTTGGGCACATTCAGCATCTGGAAACGTCCGAATGGTATCAAGTCTTGACCGTTTAAACGTGGCAATCACGTCATTCTGTTCTGGCCCTCCATACTGACTGCATTTTGATGCCAGAAAAAAAGAGAGAAGACACCTCGGGTCGATCCCAAATCGTAGAAGATAAGACCGATAAGGGATGACCTTGGAGCGAAACGAAATAATTTTGGGACATGGGCGCTATGCGCGAGTTCACGCACAGGCCGGTCCGCGTGCAAGCGCTCCTTCAAGGTGCATTCACGATTTGGAAACGTCCGAGTCGTTGAAATCGATTTCTGGCTGTTCCGACGTTGCAGTCGTATCATTCGGAACGCGGCGAGATTAGCCTGATCATCCTAGAAAAAGCACATTTCAAGGTCATCTTTGCCAGTAAACGAGGGGCTTACATGCTTCCGGCAAGGTAAGAGACTTAAGTCCATCCAGTTTGAAGTTGTTTCCTCAAGGCGGTGAGTAGCGGAGTTTAAACCTCACGTGGCTTCGATGCTCACGATTCATTTCCACCCACGGGCAATATATCAACTGACCTCTCGCTGTCAATGTCTCTCCTGAGAGTGAATTGAGCGTGGATTCGTGCTCTTGTATGTGGCCTTCGGGAAAATATCTGGCGATGGATGACGTTCTTAAGGTAGTATGTCCAACTTTTTCTAGTCCGTCGTCATACGCTGATTTGCAGCCCAAGGCATTTTTTAACATCATTCTAATGTCTCTCTGTTCTTGCCGGAGGGTGACTTGAGCGTGGATTTGCGCTTTTGTATGTGGTCTTCGGACAAATATTTTGCCATGGGTGACGTTTTGAGGGTATGTTCAGCTTTTTTCAGTCCGTCTGTCATACACTAATTTGCAGCCCACGGCATTTTCTGCAAAGCCCAGAATAACATTTCCCCGATAACCTCCTTTCAAAGTCGGGGATTTGCTTCTTGACTGTTGTCTTACAACTCAACAGCCAACATTTCGTGCCGCACGTGTAATCTGTTGGCCTTCGAAGGGGTCGGACCGCACACAAACAACGCAACAGCTTCCCACTAGCCGACCGGTTTCTGTTGTCTTCCAACTCAATAGCCAACATTTCGGTAGGCGATGACGCCTTTCGACTTATGTGCATGAAGTTGTCGATAAAGTCCGCACTTCAGCCGATGATCATTCTGCCGCCTTTTGACGCTGCGATCTTCCTCTACTTATCGGCTTTCTTCCGTGGCCCTCGTTTTCGTTAGAAGATTCGAATCACATTTCGAGGTACGTGCTGCTTTTCTAGACATCCAGACTGGATCTGACTGCTCATTCATTGCAGAAGATCTCCGATGCCTCCGCATTACTGTGTGTGAACTCGCGTGCAGTGTATATTCCGAGGTGAAGACATGTGATGCGGAGGCCGATTGACATTACCATTCTGTATGGAAGTTGAACGACATTGGGGATAATTGATTGTCCCGGATTATCATTTCAATGACCTGGGCGTGTATTCGCGCCGTCGGGATCTTCTGCCTTGACTCGCGCGCAGCAGTCGTGCGACATTCTCGACCACACTCATAACGTGAGGATCTAGTCCACGGCTTTTACGCTTGAATTGTCACTTCGCGCCAAACTTGTAATGTCCCCAACGACTCTTTCTAGGGCAAAATCTGCCTGCACTCTAGTCCCTTATTTCACTCTCAAGCCTAACTCTCCCTCGAATTCCTCGTAATATGCAGTTTCCGATTGGTCGCTTGGAAGTCCGCTACCCCAAACTTACCAGTCTTATCCGAATGTCAGTAGCGGTCACCCCATGCGCCGTTTATCAACGCGCTTCGATCATCGTCGTCACCATCTCTAGACGGTTTCATTTGCTTGACGATTGCACAATGGTCAACATTCGCCATCACGTGACTTGGTACCACAAACGATAGTTGGCTTCGACGCGATGAACGAGACTGCGCGTGGATTTGCGTGCAGCACTTGGACCAAGATAACAATTCTCTGCATGCTGAGTATATGGGTATAAACTTATTTCAGGGATATCCGTCAAGCTACATAATGGTGCAACAACGTTTGTGGGAGATGGCCTCGTCTACAAGCAATGAAAAGTCGCACTGTGCGTGCAGTCGCTATGCATGCAGCAATCGTCTTTTGTCTGATCTTTGGAAATGGGAGGTGGCAGCCGCTGTGGGTGATGTTGCATTCGAATCGATAGAAAGTGCAACTGTGGCTCGAGGACCCACATCGGCGGTGTCACACTAGTTGATAAAATAGCCTTCCACCATCGGTCTCACGACGCAGCCACAGATCAATCCGCCCCCAAAGTCGTCTCTTCCCTGTAACCATCGTCGATACCTTCACATCATCATCCCCGACCCCAATGCGTTTCCGAATTTACTGCCGTCGCCACTTTCCAACAAATCGTCGAACCGCCGCTCTAAAACTCATCCGTGAGACGATGAAGTCCGAGAAGGAACAGTTGGACAAAATGTTCGGGGTTCGCGATTGGTGTATTCTACTGCAGTACGTGTATTTCTACGTTTCTTCTTTTCGCACTAACGTTCCTTCAAGCGACGGCCCCCACAACTCTGACCGCAGACCTAGGGCATACGGTCGGTCAGAGGGCGATCATTGGTCCCTATGGGGCTATGCCTTCGGACTGAAGCGCTCAACCTTCTACATGCACGTATATGCAGACCAGAGCGCCACGTTCGGCCCCGACACACGTAAGGTCTTTTTTAGGCACCTTTGTCACCTCTTGGGGAGTGGGGAGGTCGGAATTATTCGCTTTTTCCCCCCATTTTCAAGACTTACGTTCAAATCTAGATATCCAACGGCAGCAAATCTTGAATCCCGTAGTTCAACGTCATCTTTTGTGCCAATTTGTGAATAAATGTAGTTCTATCGTGTTCCTTCTTCGATTACGACGCTCGGAAAACACGCGTTTTGGGTCGAGCTCTTCGCAGCAGTGATAGGTTAGACTCCGTCTGTTATCTCTTTTTGCTCTCACTCAATAACGTCAATCTAACCTGCTAGTCCTTAGTCCGAGTCCTCTGACTTTCCACCCTGGTCAGTTTCGTTAGTTGGCTTAACCTAACTTAGAATGTTCTGGCATATCCCACCCAAAGTGAGCGATCTCCGCGTGTTGTGGGACGTTGGCTGATATACACACCCTCAGCCGCACAGGAGTCGCTGCGTGTTCAGCTCGTTCCTCGAGTCCTCGTCTCTACGCCCGCATCCGAGCTGAATGACTGAGTACGATTAACCCCCCCGACTGTCATGAACACTATCTTGACCACGCAGGACAGCATCACAGATCTAACTTGGGTCGACAGTGATTGGCACGGATATCCACCTTTCAGCGACATCGCCACCCCACTGACCAGCCACACTTCTCAAGACAATCAATGCCGCCAACAAGCTCCGTCGCAGACGTCTTATCGACCACATCGCGCTGAGTTCGCCCGTCTAACACAGACCAATACATGCACTCACCGAATTCATCACGTGAAGGACGCGTATCGCCCGGGGAGAGTTTGCTTTCCAGGGATCCCCCCCCGATCAGCTTCTCACACGTCACAGCGCCTTCCTTCCATGTCCCCGCTGGACACTCCCAGAAGTTACCATACTCCGAATTCGAGTCAGGGAGTCTAAGTTCGAACTCCGGAAGTGGTGAACATGCGCCAGCAGGCTGCGCAACAAAATGGCACCATGCAGACTGGAAGCCGTTCTGGCTCTACTATTCCTGATACGACTATGTCGCTGTCGACTTTTCAGCGAACTGGGATACCTCGTCCGAGTTCGACTGTCCCGTTAATGATGGGTTCTTGACTTCCGTCGATGTTTTCTGGTTCTTCTTCCGCGTCTTCTAGTCTTGTTTCCGCCCCAATAAGTCGTTCCAACTCTCTCCAACAATCTGGAGGAATGTTTCGATCTAAATACGTCTCTCAGCCGTCTTTTCAGTAATCTGGCATGCAGTCAGGCGGTGGCATGTCCCGTTCTATTTCCACCTCTCAACCATTGCTCCAACAATCTGGAGGCATGTCCGGCTACTCTAATTCTCAGTCGTTTCAACAGTCTGGCATGCAGTCTGGTGGCGTGTCTATCTCTAACTCTCAGTCTTTTCAACAATCTGGCATGCAGTCTGGCGGCGGCATGCGTTCTAATTCTAGCGCCCAACAATCATTTGATCAATACGATATGCCCCGTTCTAATTCCAACGCTCAAACGTCTTTTCAACACTCTGATCGGATTGTTTGTATCCACGAAGGGCACATTCGCGTGCATGCGTATTTCGCAATTCAGGCTGCCCTGTTTCGCTCTAACGACGCCCATAGTCGGGCCTTTGCGGCCGTCGGACCACGATAACTGGTCCGGACGGTACCGAGTTGATTGATGCAGCCGAGTCTCGACCGATAGGCAGACAGCAGTTATGAGCGACGCAAGACTGGAGTTGAATCGCTGGACACCCCCAGAAGTTACCATACTCCGAATTCGAGTCATGTACCCAGCTTCGTTCTTTCCCTTTATCAATTCGAATTCATTTTGGACTATGTTACATTATGGCGTATGTGAAAATCGACAGGGTTTGCCGTAGGAGCACCTGACGGTAAAGCCCTCTCGTCCAATCCGGGAGAATACTTTTGGTCCTCTGAGGACTTTCCATCAAGACGTCCATATTATCCCCATCATTGCGATTGACATCATTTTCGTCCCATTCTCGCGGGCAATCTCCACTCCTCCTGTTTTAAGCGACCCAGCCAATGATCCTCCAACCCACGCCAGGGTTGACGGCGAAAACGCAGGCGCTTTCCCAGCATTAGACCCCAAGAAGGTGAAATGGACCCCAAGCCGACGTCGTAACCCTACTTCAACGGCGTGCCAACTTTCGTGTTGAGTGTGTCAGTGGCGAACCACCAATCGTAGGCCGCACTCCACCAGAAGCGGGAGTCCCGTAAGTTGTTGTAGTGCGCGTAGAATGTCTGAAGGAGTATGATCACCAGGATAAAGAGGCATGGGATGCGTATGAAGATCCTGGCCGTGATGGTGGTGGGATCTGAGCTCAAAGGAGCTCGAGTAGGACGTTTAAGGGGATCGGTATTGTCATCTTGCTGGACGGAGTTATTGTTGTCGGTCACAGCCATGAGAGTCTGGGGTGTAAAGTGCGATATGCGGATATTGAGGTCAGCTACTTGCTTCATTAAGGCGGTGATGTAGTCTTGCGAGGGAGGGTGGTACGTAGAATCATTTGGTACGCCAGATTTCATATCAGTGGCTAATGGGGCACATCAGAACAAAGAAGATGAGACAGCAAGATTGGAGAGGAGCATACGGTTTGCTTGGGCGTCGACCTTGCCAAAAGGAAAGATCGGAATGGGCTGGATCTGTTGTTTGAGAATGACAGGCCCGTCAATACCTTCACCGGATGCATGGGCGGGACTTAAGAGCGGAGAAGCACTCCCCATCGGGGTGTCTGTCGACATGGCGGATGGGTAACTAAGAGGCGAAGTCTTTCACGCGGTTGTTTTAAAGCGAATGCCTTATATATTTTCCTGATGGAGTGGCACTTGTTGGGCACTTGAGTGGCACAACGAAAGGTAAGGTTGCTAACGCACGATAATGAGGTACTAACTAGTTAGACATCGTGGGTATGGGAGAGCGCTGTCTTGACGAGTTCTAGAAATGGGCGGAAACGAAGACCTCAAATCTGTCATACGCTGTCCTACATACATCCCACTCAGACACACGTGATGTGTTGACCTGACGACTTGAGTCAAGTGGAGAGGCGCATCGCCCCTTTGGGCTGTAGGTTGTTTGTACTTGTTGTATTACTGCCAATTTCTTTGATTTTCACGGAAATCATCTTTTTTAGCGCATGGCCTCTTCTTTGGGTCATATTTATGGCCAAATCGAATCAAATATCAATTCCGCAGGGAGTCTTCGGACTCGTTTTTTTAAATTCGGGCGTGGGACCAGGAATTTAATCGAAAAATGACATTTAGAAAACACATTTTAAAAAAGTAGTCCGAAGTCTCCCTCCACCAATGCTAGATCATCATTTTTACGTGCTCATTTTGAGGCAAACGCGAGGGAGGAAAGAGAAAGGCTGTAATAATTGCTGATTGGCTACAAGACCAATTAATGGATTACATAATACGCGTCAAGAACGCGTCAAAAGCATACTGACTATGCAAAATCACATCCCATAACACTGAATATCCTGCGGCACCCTCCTATACCTACAGAATAGGTTACTTTCTTACCTCACATGTCCCAAAATTTGAAAGCATGAAGGTTGACAATGGGAAAGACTCTGTGGAGGTCACATGGAGAGGGTGCCATTGAAGAGCACATGAAGCCAAAGCCCAAGGGGGTCTGTGAGCTGATTAAGGTTGTCGCTAGGTTTCTTGCTCAAGGATACAAGGGAAATAGCAGGACAGGTACTTCCTGGGATGGACACCAACGATCAAACTGCAGGAGAGAACTTATATGAGTCAGACAACAACAATTTCTGGATTAGATTTTGATATACTATATGTTACATGTTTCATACACAACTCTACAGGGTAGAATGCCTGAAATACCTCGAACTTTCGTTTCGAAGTGGATGCAAGCGCGATTTGCCAGTTTCGAGGTGGCTGTGCACTGACTAAGCAGCCGCAACCATTTAGGGATGGTGCGCCTCTCCAACTTGAGGCCTTGAGGCATAAATGCATAACGACTGATAGGGCGGCAAGCCGCATGCCCCGCTACCTTCCGGCAAAAAAGGTTGAATTGGTTGTCTTAATAAATAGGAATTTTGCATTCAAGTACGGAGCAACTTATGTCTTCAAACGAAAATTGACGTCTGGCGCGCTGAGTATCTGTTTACTTTCACATTTGGAAGTGTACAGTAATTGGTGCCAGATATATTCTGTCTCGACACCGGAACTAGAGTCGGCCACAGTGGCGAAAAAATTGAAAGTGATTACGACCATTAAGTGGACAATTAATAAAATCTTTTTGAAACTAGAGGTTGACTTCATCAACAAAAACCTCACTTCTAAATCTGTGTTTTATACATATATGTTAATAATGGTTTCACCCAACAAAAAAACTTTCAAATTGTAGTTGTTTCGTCATTCTTAATCTGATCCTGTTATTTTTCGTTTTTTCACGAGAGCTCCATTGGAGCATTGAATATCTAGCTTGTCAAAGGAGGCCGCTGCTCGTCGCCCGGCCTTCGGCCAGCTCCTCGCAGCGGCGACAAGCAGTGTTAAGCAAACTGAAAATCAGTTGGACTTTGCAGACTTCGTGCCCTCATTCTTCATCAATGTGGAGATTTCGTTTTCCTCTTATTTAAATCCCCAGATTAATATTACCACACAGTCTGATAGATAGACCTAGAAATACGGACATGGGAGACATAGCTAAAGTGAGGTGATCAAGACCACCCAGATAGTGTACGGTGTGCCATGTCTGCAGAAGAGTGGAGTGGCAGCACGTTACATTAATCTTGTACAAAATTTACGGACAATTTACAGTATCTACCCCTGCAAATGATGAAGTCGGTTTCGGTTTAGACTCGAGCCAAGTCCCTTTTTGTAAATTGAAGACAGTCGTTCAATAGATTACCGTAGGGACTGGAAGATTTGATGCGTGATCTAGTACAGTGCAGAAAATTCCCACGATTTACGGGGACTTCGCCAAATTTCGCTGAGCTTTGAGTGAGCCTGGGACGCGATGTCTGGCACAGAGATCATTTTGGACCCTGAACGCCTTGCCTCAACGTCTCGAAGACTTTGCGAGACCTTTGCTATTCCATTCCTCCACCCATTCCAGATCCAAACCGGCCAAAATATCTTACAGAAACACAGCACTATCCTCGACGTACCAACCGGGTCCGGCAAGACCCTAGCGTTTTTCTACGCGGGTTTCTACCACTGGTGGCCTGGGAATACTGAATGCGACTCCTGCCAGAAGAAGATCATAGTGATCATCAGTCTGGCACTTGTTGCGTTGATGCAAGCACAGGTGAGTAACAGTGAGTTACCCCGTGATCCCCGCGTGTGAGGCTGACTCCAGATCTATTCACAAGGTCGTAGACTTGGTTTCGAAGCAGATTGTCTGCGACGTCTGGGTGTGGATGGCAATGCTTGGGTGCTTGGACCTGCAGTCTCTGTGTCAGAATCCGAGTTGGCAAGTGGGTCGTCTTGAGAGGCCGGTCGCTTCTCAGGCATGTTAACTTAAGATGTAGCAGGTTTGAGCGTGAAAAATGTTGTATTGGAGGACGTCAGCAAAGCATTCGAAAGTGTAAGTGGTGAGCATGAATTCGAAAATCTGTCTAAGTCCCATTAAATCGTGGGAACTTTCTGCACTGTACTCGATTACGGTTCAAATCTACCAGTCCCGAGACAAAACTGACTCGGGACTGGTCCGAGTCTAGTTTCGGTTCAGTATATGATTTTTCTCCTATGTAACTGGTGAAGAACGTGATGTACGTAGAGACGTGACTTTTCCTTGAGCGAGTGAAGCGTGATTACATGTGATGGGAAAATTTGGCACGTGATTTTTTGGCCAATCGACGCTGCTACAGAAGACCCACTACTGACGTAGCAGGAAATGGCACCTTGCGCTAAGTCGCGCTGACTCTGGATGAAGGGTACAGGTGTTCATAACGTTCATATTGTGATGAATGCGAAGACTGCACTGGAACTTGGTTATCCTTGCTTTCGCTCATGAATCTCTCAATGGTCATCGCACGAACACGCTCACTGGCAGCTGCAGGAAGAAATCGCATATGTACCGCAAGGTCGAGGGGGAAATTATTGAAGACGATTTCTTCTCAGTTCGCATTGCAAACATCGAGGCGGAGGCCGTACGCCAGAACAAGGACGCTCTCGCCATGTATGGTATACTAGAAGGTTCCGGTCCACACATTGCCCCCTTCGTCGAGCGCTCGTTGTCTGGGAACCTCTACAAGTCCACTTTAAACGGGACGGAACATGGAATACAGCCTCAAGTCCCTGCCCAGTTCACACAAGCCATTGTCTCCGTGCGCTAGGCCAAGACCACACTCTTGCGCTCATAAGTGATGTTTAAACTCTCAGACTACGGTATTGAACGTACGTATATCCTCGTTTTCTGTCAAAAGCGTTTTTCAGACATGATGTTTCTAGAATACTCTCCACCTTCCAGATGGTATAACTATCACGTCCGGGTAGGACTTGATTCAAACAGTCTGAGGCGGCCAAATCGTGAATGCACTGGCATCGAGCACGGTTTTGAGAACCCCATGAGTTGGGGCCTGCGCGTGGACTCGCGCGCAGCGCCTATGCCGGAATTGCTGCTCTGTGGGTTATATCCCCCCTAGACCATCTTCAATATCCTTCTGCTTCACCACGTGCACCTTTGGATGCCCCAACAATCGGGGCCTACTCCGTACGTGCTATTCTAAAGTTGACCCATGGCGACGAAAGCTCTGTTTATGTCTTGATCACGATAAGCTCTTGTATTCAAGCTTTCGCGCTTATTTCAATTTGAGATTGACGATATTCTTTGTATGTGCTTGTATATCTTCGCCTCCTATAAATCGTCTATTGACTACTAATGGTAAGCTCATCAACTAGTCGTCACCAACATAAACCTGACTATCACTTGCTAGCCAATGACCTAACCCACTAATTTCAACATAGAACCATACTAAGCCCTGACTATTCCTGGTTGAAATAGAGTCGGCAACACACCCTTGAGAGGGATACGTACATATGTAGGAAACCCACTATAATTACAGACACAATTTATTTGCATCCTAACCTCCAAGATTGAGTTTGGCCCCAAGTTCTAAACCAATCTGCTCCCAAGTAAACCTAATGGCCCCTGATACTGTGGCACGAGATCCAAACTGCCATTGAACTTTGAACTCCTTGGGTTGAAGTAGTTGAAGCTTGGTCGAAGTGAACTTCCTCAGCTGGAGTAATCAAGGTTTGGTTTCTCTGGAGTTGCTCCAACTGCTCATCTTCTATCAACATGAGGGCACTGTTGATGACTCTGTCACTCACTTCTTCATCGGTGAAATTTGCAAGGATGTGCTTGAGAATGTAGTTTCCATAAGAAAGATACATTGTGTCAACATATGCTGGGGGCACTATGGGATCATCCTGCTCATCAAGTTCAATCAACATGAGGGCATTGACGGTCGCTCTGTCGCTCACTTCATTGAAGAAACTTTCACGGCTCTTGTTCTTGGGGGGAAATAGATTTCGTATGATATCACAAAGCAGATACATTATGTCAACAACTGCCCTGGGAGGAGAGATAAGCCAAAGATAAGCTCGGGGCGATTGTTGTGTGCGAATTGAATCGAATCGCAATCAAATCGTTACAATTGTGATGTTTAAACTCCGCCACTCACCTTGAAGCGCGGCCTCTCTTGGAACTCATAGCACAATCATAGCATTCCATCAACTCCGAAACACTTGTTTTCACTGCGAGTCCTTTGCATCTTGTTTGATCCTACTCCGAGTCTTATTCGCCCATTTGCTCGCTAGTGCTCCTTTGAAACTCCGAGTGATGCAGTCTTCGGATATTCGGCGTGAAACCGTGCACAGCGCTTTCCCACCACTCAATATCCAACAGTCCGTATGTCAGAATGTGGATGGAAATCTACCAGGTAAGAGAAAAAACTTGACTATAAAGTTGGGTGCGAAATAGGAATCGTTACGATTGGCATTTTTGAAATATTGAGGTTTAAATCAAGAAATTTAAACCCCGATACTCAGCCAAGCACACTGGGATTCTTACACTGCTCCGGCTACGTACTTCGACACAACCAATCCAAGGCGACTAGATCGTTGGTGCGTTCAACATTGGTTTGAGGAGCCCGTTCACGAAGACCGTGGGTTGGCCTGTGCGTGAACTCGCGCGCAGCGTCCATGCGTATTTCGCAATTCAGGCTGCCCTGTTTCGCTCTAACGACGCCCAGACTCGGGCCTGTGTGGCCGTCGGACCACGATAACTGGTAAGGACGGTACCAGGCCTCTCACTGCAGTTCCAACACCTGTTATTTTTTTTTAGATAGCCGTGGTCAAAACCTAGGATGCACCCTCTTAGGATATACCACGCCTGCTTCCAAAGGACGCTCGCTTTGTAGGACCCTCATTTCCCACTCCCTGTCCGCTTGAGGCATGTATTCGCTGGTCTACCGTTGCTCCACTGCTAGTTTCCGCGCTTGGATTCGCCTCCAAAGTTTTCAAGCCAAATTATGTGGCTATTGGTCTCTTTGCATCCTAGTGCTCCGTCTCTTTATATACAAGTTACAGTCACTGCGCCATCACCTTGGTATTATGCACTTTCTGTTTTTTATCCCCACAACGGGACTCTTCACCCTTTCGGTCATACTCCCGGTGATTTCCGCCGTGAATCGCACTCCGCGAAACGTTAAAAGGGCCGCCTTTGTCCATATCTCTTTCGCCACTCCTCCTATCGCTTTCATCCCCGTCTGCCTTCATTCACCACATTCACGTTCAGTACAGCGCTATGCCCACGGATGTCTACCAGGTGATTTGACTGCAAACGCACCCTTTGTTCTTTCTGATTACTTTCTTAGCAAATTCATCTGAAAGTCTTGTACTTCTCAATGTCCTCAAGGAATGCCCGTCCGATATCTATTCCTGCTCTCGTTTCACCTTCTGGTGAACGGTTCCCCGTTTTGTCCACCGCCCTGAGCGAATATCCAACGATTACTCCAAGCACCACCCTCATCTCTTTAAAAACTCGCCACCGCAAACAATACAACTTCACTGTCTATCACCGGTACGATGAAGGCATGATCCGTAACCGAGCCGCCGCTGCCATTGCGCCGGAAGTTCACTGGGCAGGGGATTTATTGCTAGTCCGGGAAGGGAGTCGCGTTAACTTCACGGATCTGTCCAACCGTGATATCTCTTTTGCGAAGACTGCTGTTCGGCGGTGTGTAATTGCGCTTCTTGAACACGAGTCTTATACGATCTCACCACTCGCCCAGCTTTCTGCACACTGCGCACAACAGCATCCTTGACGCTGAGGCGGAAAACCTTGACGAGGTTGTTTTCCCAACAGTACTGATGTATAACATGTAGTCAAACGAACATCGGTGTACTTAGCTCGTCGAGCAACTCGCGTTGATGAGGGGTCACTGTTAATTTCTAATTCCATTTATCCGTAGCTGAAATTCTATCGGGTCCTTGTTTGTAATGCGCAAACCCCACCTATGAACAGCGTATATATCATCCTGAGCGAGGATAAAGCAAGGAAGGTCGGATGGCTCAAATCCTAATCTTCGAACGACGTCCAACGCGCTTTCTGACTTGAGTCTTGACCTTTTGGACTTCTCAAACACAGTTTTAAAAATGCAGTCCCCTCGGGCCTGGAGGAAGCTTCTTATCCTTTTCGTACGTCCCACGGTGATAGAAAATTAGAATTGACTTTAAGTAGGGAGATGGTAACACAAATTCATTCCAGATCCACCCGAGTACTAAGTAATGATTGTCATATAATATGTGTAAGTAGAACGAAAAATCTGAGGCACTATAAGATAAAATTCGTATTTTCGGCAGCTAATCATCTCCCTATCTCACCGCATGACAGGTGTGAAACCGAAAAGGAACAACAAAGACAAAACACAAAGTGCCTCGCAGGAAAGCGGAACTACACACATGGAAAAAGGGAAGCTTCAGTTTGCTTGTGGTTCATCAATCTGGGTTGGGAAGATAACCGAAAAAGCATCTTCCCCTCCAGCGGCTTGAATGCATTCGTGGGCATGATCGAGAAAGCTACAAATATGTGAGAATGGAACAGAAAGATATGAGGTTGTCGACGCACGCACACACGAGCTGCCCTATGCGCCATATTGTAAGCGTACCAGCTGGCCAATCCAATATAATTGTATCGATAACCTTCCTGGATGACGATGAAGTCCCCCGTCCACGGGACAAAGGGCGCCAGAGTACCAGCGGCGCCGTTGACACCCAGGAGCTGGTCATGTCGAAAATAGACCGTAAAGCGGTATTGATCGTTCTCGTCGTCCCGAATCGAAACTCTAACTTTCTTCACAGGGATAGTTGTATAACCACGAAGGGTGGTAGATAC